AAACTAAATATCCAACTCATGCGATTAATTCTTTGGCGAATGCGTCAATAAACAAATCGTTTTTTTTTTCTTTGGGTACAACTATACCTAACAGATGAAATTAATGTACCTACATATAGTATGTACACATGTTTGTACATATGTCAGTCCTTTAAGAATTCGAATAAGTGGGTGTGTACATACGGACACCTAGCAAGCAAAAGAGTCTAAACGACGACGATGAAGACGATGATAAAAATGATTGTTTTTGTTGATAAACAAACACATCGTGACATATAGTCGTTCAAATAAAATCAACTCCTCGTGCTTTTCCCTCGTGCTCGAGAGCACAGAGATATCATAGCCCCCACCGGGAGAGTGAGTGTGAGTGCGAGAGTATAATCCACCAACAAAACGGGCAAATTTGAATGCATCACTTTGGTAAAAACAAATGTACACAGAGTAATAGAGAGATAAACTGGTGGGCAGGGTTGCTGTGTTAGCAAAAATTAGGTGCATTTTGGGGGGATTAATTAAAATTGAATTTTGTCTAATATAAGAATATAATTACGGCCTATATTTTGTTGTTAATTAGAATTTATTAGAATTAAGGCTCGCGGCTGACATACGAGAGTTGATTTTCTGGGATTTTTACAATGATTAGAAGATGTGAAAAATATATTTTTGAAATGCGTACTAAGTTTGCGAACTGTACGTACCATTTAGTACCATTTTGACACAATGTAGTTTAAGCTGAACGGATGAAGATAGAAATTTGAAACAATATAAAGAGATGATTTTTGAAATGTATACAACAAATGTACGAGAGGTACTACTAAATAGTACTATATTCGGTACAATTCGGTATTGGTTGAACATATGGTGCTTGAAATTTGAAATTTAGTATTAGAGTCGCTGTTTATGTGTAGCCTTAATATATGGAGGTGTTTTGTAAAGTGTATACCATAATTGTACGAAAACTAATAAATGGTACTAAATTTAGTTTTGGTTGAAGGGATTGACATAAAATTCTGAAATTTCATATTTAGATAACTGCTTGCAACTTAGGCTGAAATTTGGAGTTGTTCGAAAAGTACTAAATTGAACTAAGTTGGGTAAAAGGGCGCTCCAGTAGTAGTACTAGATTTGGTACAATTTGGATTTGTGTGAACCGATAGAGAGTTTTGGATCTAAGATTACTGTTACAGTTTCGGACTGGGAAGTTTTGGAATTTCGTATTTATGTGTACTACATGGTATTAAATTTGGTACAATTTGTATTTGGGCGAACCGATAGAGGTGGAATCCTGAATTTGGGAAATAAGATTTGTATTGGATTGCATCAAGTTGTTGTTGTGCAAGTTGTTATCGAAATTTGTACTTATGTGTACTAAATGGTATTAATTTGGTACAAATTGGAATTGTGGTGAACCGACGTAGCTGGAATTCTGATATTTTGTATTAGGGTTAATGTATAGGCCGGAAGTGTTTTCGGAAATATGTACTATAATTGTACGAAAAGTACTGAATGGTACCATATATGATATTGGGTGAAGGGATAGGACAGAAATCCTAAAATTTAATATTTAGATTACTGATGGTATCTCCGTTTGAGATTTCGCGGTGGTTTGGAAATGCGTCCTATATTTGTACGAAAAGTACTTAATGGTAGTTGTTGCCGCCAATGTAATGCAGCACTGAAAATATGCAGCTATGTATCTATACTTTTCATTTTACTATTGTTCTTATACTTTTGTACCTCATGCACTATCCATCTTATGTTTTGCTTTACATCCGGAAATTCTTTTTAAAACTGTTTTTCAACCAAGCTGAAGTAGCTGCGCATAATTCGCGCAAGATTTTCTTAAATGAAAATTTGATGGTTTGAAACCAAAAAGTAAGTGTTAATATGCTTAACTGGATATTCAATAATAATGTACTATTTTAAGGAATTATAACATAAGAATGCGTCACAAGTTGACAATAAAGAAACAATTGGATTTCACTAAAATTAACCTGTGTTGAAAATCAACTCAATCCATCACGAGCTACTACAGCGAACAGTAGTAAATTTGGTTTTGAGTGAATTAATGTTGCTGAAATCCTTAATTTTGATATTGAGGTCTCTTTTGATATTTGGGATTGAAATTTGGAGGTGGTTTTGTAAATGTGCACTATACGAAGTTATACGAAAAGCACTAAATAGTACTACATTTGGTATTGAGTGAAGGGATGGAGCTGAAAACGTGAAATTTTATATTGCGATAACTGTTGGTGTCTAGGATTGAGACATGGAACGGTTTTGCAAATGATTACTAAAATCATACGAAAAGTACTTAATTTGGTACTGAGTGCATTTTGAGTTCTAAAAAGGCCTAACACGAATCTAAAATATTAAGGCGGACTTTTCCATAACAAAGTAGCGAGCACTTGCTAGTTATAAACAGGGTCCGCCATATAAAATGTTTTGGTCCAATAGCCGTAGCCGTTACGCTTTCGGTCCACATTGAACGAATTTTTGTTCACAAAAAATTATGAGGTTGATATTGGCTACATTTGGTTTGAACAGAACGACGCTACGTGCCACACAGCCGAACATGGCCCAAGAACGTAACGGCCACTAGTTGCTCATTATACCCTTAGCAATATGGCTAGAGAGGGTATATATCATTTGATACGGCCAAAAAGTACCACATCGAAATAACGATTTTTGACGCTTGGCCTCTTTGGACCAAATCCGTTTCAAAGCATTTGGAGTCGATCTAGAGATGTCCGTCTGTCCGTCTGTCTGGCTAGGAGTATCCAATGCGATCCAATCTTGGTACATCGAAATATTATTATCAACTTTAGATCGAGCTCGGATATGGGCAATATAGGTCCACTCATTATGGTACCTCCCCACAAAAGGTCGAATTAAAAAAAAACATATATATTTTACTGCACAGAAAGAGAAAGGATGAACCGATTTTGGCCCATCTTTGCATATCCTAATATTTCCATCAGTGCTAGGTCAGATGCGAAAATAGACAATATCGGTCAACTCCATCAAGTATCCCCCCACAAAGGGTCAAAATTTTGAATAATTATAACATTTATAAATTGTGATGTAAGAGTTCGATTATCTTTACATTACACACATTACAATATTTTTATTAGCCCAAGGTGTGGTGTGAAGATGGAATACATCGGTAAACTGCTTCTGGAACCTCCCCCACAAAAACGCGAAATTAACTTCCTATTCCATTTAGATTTTACACATCTTAATATTTCCATCAAAATAAGATCTGCTATAAATATGGTAGAGATCAGATCATTCCTTCTGGTACATCCCCTCACCTAGGGTCAATATTTTGAAATATGCATCCGGTTCTCTTCATATAATTTTGAATATCCTGGAAGCTCATAAAACACGAAATTAACATCGTACCTAAAGTAAATTCTTCTTCTTCCCCCACAAAGAGTCAAAGTTTTTGAATAACCGAAACGATCATAAAATCCGAAGTAAGCATCCGTTTTCCTTCATATTTCACACATCCTATTATTTCTACTAATACAAGATCTGCTGTGAAGGTGAAATATATGGGTCCACTACTTCACGTAAAGGGTCAAAATTTTGGAAGTCAAGCTATTTTTTACAACTTGATATTTCTAAAATACTTCGGAATCTGGTACCTCACGCACATTTCAAAATTCTCTAGAAATTATCACATATCTCTTATAAAGTGAAGGAAGTAGTTGAAAAAGCTCAAACCTGTCACGCCGCAATATTTATATCATATTTATTTAGGTCCGATACGAAATGGACAATATTGGCCCATTCCTTCGGAACCTACTCCATAGAGGGTCAACAGTTTGAATAATCATAACAGAAGTCAAAATATATTTAAATAATCGAACAATGGCTGAGGGTATACATCTTTCAGCTTAACCGACTGATATTTTTTAACTTGTGTTGTTTAGATTTTCCACAAAATAAATAATTCATTTTTTTTTTTGCCCAAACAGAAATTCACCGCAATTTCGAATTATATATTGTCTCGCCACAATAACAAGTTTCGACAAAAAAATATAGGTCTTTTTTTTGTTTTTGAGATTTCGCCTTCTTGTCGTTAGATTTAACCATATTTTTCATTTGAATGCAGTTACATTTAATATTTTTACAGATTTAGACACATATTTTCGTTTTTCACGTCGTTAAACTTAATGCCGTTTTTACTTGTTTCATAGTAATTATTCTTTGAGAAATGGCAACCCTGCATGCATATATTAGTAATGTTTATAGAATTCAAATAATAACACTAGCCAAATGTTTCATTGGGGCAGCGATAACACCGGTTACACCATTAACATGATGACCGTAGAGAAGAGAGTTTACATGTGAAGAGAGAACAGACATGAACTCACCACATTCATTGAGTGCGAATGGGCACGTATACCGTAAGGTACTACCCCACTGCTGTTCAAACTGGCAAACGGTGGGTGATGTGGTTAATAAGAAAGACATTGAGTGAAGAAGAGAGAGATAGGGAAGGAGAGTATGTGGTAGATGATACAATGCCACAACAGTGAGGGGGCACAGGAGAGTGGCACTGTTATTAATCAGTAAATGCAAGGCAAAACAAAACAACAAAAACCATTTCATATCATCAGGGGTGCTCAAGAAGAAATATCTCTTTTCAGTCAAATTTCTCTTTGCTTATTTAAATCAAGAACAAAACAGTGTTAAGTCATTATTTATACAAATATTTTTTATCCATTTGCTTTATAAACTATTTTGGCAAACATTCGTGTTTAAAAACAATTAAATAGAACAGTACAATATAAAGAAAAACAGAATTTTAATTTCCTCTTAAATTATCTCTTTTTTCTCTTCATGTTCTAGAACACGGTTTTGAGCACCCCTGATATCATCAACAACATACCGAGAACAACATCTAAAAGGAGAGTGAGAGACAGCAAATGGAAAATAGAGAGAGGGAGACACCACTGAACAACAAATATTTCAAACCGGCTTTAATAAATAAACCCAATTGCCAGACATATTCGGTATTTATCTTGTGCATCTCTTACAGTGAGGAACTGAAAATCGAAAAGCGGAAAGACTGCAGTAAAATCTGAATATTTTTGCCGTAAAAATAACAAAAAAAAAAAAAAAACAGACAAATAATAAGCGATAGCAAAGAAGACTGTTGAATTGAAAAATACAGCGCTACAAACATTTTGTGCTAACGGATTTGTTAAAATAAAGAAAAAATATATTTTTTCCTTTTTTATTTTTTGCTGTGAATAGACAACAAAAAAGTGCATTTATTAAAACATTTAAAAATAAAAAAACAAGCAAGTTTATTTTTGCACGCAAAAAGTGAATTGGGGTGCAGCAATTGCCAAAAAGTAAATTTGCAGATAACAAAAGCCAAGCGAGTGAAAGTCAACAATAAATTAAAAGACTAAAATAAAAAAAACAACTTTAAAGATTATAAATATTTAAGAAATCCGAAACATTTAATCCAACTGCAATCACGGCGCCCACAGTTACAATGACAGCCACAACTCCTGTTAAAATAAATCGTTCCAATAGCTTTGTCAACTCCCTCAAATGGTGGCCTCTGCAAAACCATCAGCCAACGAATGGTGATGGTGGTGGCGGAGGCGGCGGCGGTGGTGGAGCCAATAGTCCAGCTGGACTGGCTGGTTTCCGGGGCTTAATATCATTTAATAAAACACCTACCCAAACCACATTCGGCAGCTCGGTGGCTGTACAAAAATTACGTGAATCTAAATGGTTTACACGCGAGGAGCAGCGCATATTTTGTGCCGTTGTGGAGTGTGGCTTCATTGTGGAGTTGCGCAGCAGTGCTGCGGTGGCACGCAAATTGGCCCAACAACAACAGCGACGTCAACGTTTGCTCAGTTTAAGCAATAAAACAACGACAGGACACCACCATCAGACCACAATTTCTAATGGCAATTGTGGTGGCATTGAAGATCTGAGCGGCAAATGCAACAGTGTCGCAACAACAAACTGTCATAATGATTCGCAAAGAATTTTCACAACAAGTGTCTCGTCATCGGATTACAGCAGTGATTATGCCATTGCCGATGACGACGATGACTTCGATGAAGATGATTTGGAATTGCAAGATAAAAATGATACACCGATACCAACATGGTTCGGTATTGTTTTATGCAAAACCACAAAAGGTAAGTGTTGGGGGAAGTGTGGAATGGGGAATCTACACAAACTGGTTGGGAAAAGAATTTCTTTTCTGAAATTCTTTCTGGTGCAGCCGAAAAAAATTATGCCAATGAAACGTTGAGTAAAATATGAAATAAATGATTCTGATCCTGATTTAAAAAAAAAAACCTTTGGAAGAATTGACAAAAAGAAGCCGGAAAAAACAAAGTTAATCCTTTACAAAACTAGCATTATGCCTGTATTGGTGTTCGCATTGCCCATATGGTTCCCAATTTCTCTAATGGTAATGAAAAAAATTGAAATATCGAAAAGAAAAATACTTCGTCTCTGTGTTGGGAAAAAATCTTCGGTACCATAATAAGCGTTACTCAAATCAGTATGTCTACGAAGTATCTAAAACTACCCCAAATCGCAGCGTTTGATTAAAAACTATGCCACAGGAGATTTATGCATTCAAATTCATTTATTCAGGAAATTGTTAATAAACAATTTAATTTCAATTGGGAAAATACCAATAACGTTTCTCCATCAGATTTTTTAGCACCTCCCTGGTAAAAATTAAGCCATTCCCGGACAAAACAAAGTTAATCCTTTACAAAACTAACATTATGCCTGTATTGGTGTACGCATTACCCAAATGGTTCCCAATTTCTCTAATGGTAATGAAAAAAAAATTGAAATATCGGAAAGAAAAATACTTCGTCTCTGTGTGCGGAAAAAATCTTCGGTACCATAATAAGCGTTACTCAAATCAGTTTGTTTACGAAATATCTAAAGTTACCCAAATCGCAGAATATGCCATGCGTTTGATTAAAAACTATACCAACAGGGGTTTTTATGCCTCGAGTACATTTATTCCGGAAATTGTTAATAAACAATCTAATTTCCTCTAGGAAAATACCAACTACGTCCCACCACTGGGCATTGTTAGGAGCTCTCCAAGATTTCACAGGGGCTACTTTACAAACCAGATAAATGGTCTTTAGATCGTTTGTGTAATTCGTAATGAAGTTATAATAAAAACCTGTTCACTAAGGTTCATAAATTTATCACAATGTGAAAAATGTCTTCCCATATTACTGCACATTCGGTGGGGAGTCTTAAGACCTCTTAATTAAAATTTCATTTTATAAAACTTTGTCTTTTTGCTCATTCGATTTTGACGAACATTTGAGAGACAATAAATCGTCACGAGTTTTGTAGCTCACTTGAGTTTGATTAGCAAATATTTACTTGGCCATAAAGTTCGACATTTCGACGTTTGTTTTGTTTTCATTTTTTTTTTTCAGTGACACTAAAATTAAGTAAACAAAATAAAATTTGAGTGCTAAATTTGACTTGATCGATAATCAAAAATCAATCGAATGATAAATATTCAATTTGCAAATGCATTTTTAATAATAATGGACTTTTTTTGATTGGCTGACGCTGAAGAATTGTGAGGTGAAATGGGTCCAATCCACTTCGAAAGCATTATTAATTAAATTGATGTGAACATTTTTGAAGCAAAGACAAAAAATCTACGTTAGTTGACTCTGTGCTTAACTGTGTGGTGGTTGATCAGGAAGGTCGTTCACGTATAAAGAGAAAAGTACTGGACTAGAGTACTAGGATAGACCCTTGTGGGACTCTTTTTTTAACAGTCATTGCTTTAGATATCGAGGTTCCTGAGTAAACTGACTGAGATCTACAATAGCTCCAGCGAAAGTCGTACAGATAAAGAAATTTTTTTTTCTGAAAGGTCGTTCGCGTATGAAGAGAAAATTAGTGGACCCATGTTAGACCCTTGTGACACTCCTTTTTCAACAGTCATTGCTTTAGATATTGAGATTCCTGAGTAAACTGACTGAGATCTACAGTAGCTCCAAGAGAAACTCGTACAGCTAAAGACACATTTTTATTTTTCTTATAACTTCCAAAAACAAAATTTACGGATTTTTTTCGTTCATTTGAAAAAGCAAAAAAAAAAACATTTTTAATCATTTATAGGAAAAAAGAAATAAATATTTAAAGAGATCATTTTTCAATGCCAAAGCCAAACTCGTACACTTTGTATAATTAAAACTATTTCTAGACATTCATATTTTGTACATTCATATTTTTTACCATTAGTAGCCTATTTGGCATACTTTTAACAAGTTTTTCGCTAAAGCGAGGTTCAATTTTTTAACATTCTTCCAACAAAGCTTTCTTCAAATCTTCTTTGCAAGATATGGTATGTTGGCTGATTTTTCCATCGAAATAGCTCCATAAATTCTCTATGGGGTTTCTGCATGGACTCTTTACTAGTGTATCCATGACCGCACTTTAAAAGCCTTGTGTTTCGAATCATTGTCCTGATAAAAATATTAATCTTCGCCAAAGCCGTGCTTTTCCTCACAGAGTGGCAAACTTTCTTAAAATTGTTAAGATACATAGTCTGATCCATAATACCCTCAATAAAATGCAATACACCAGGTCCAGAGGCTGAAAATGAACCCCATACCATTACTGACTGACACCACCATGCTTCAGTGTAGGCTTCATATTTTTGGAAAGGAGCGCTTCATTTACCTTTCTCCATACATAAGGTCTGCCATCTGAAGCAAAAAGGTTGTATTTGCACTCGTCCGTGAACAGCACATTCTTCCAAAATGAAAAATCTTTTGACATGTGCTCCTTGGCAAATCGCAATCTTTCTTCTTGATTTCGCTTGCTGATTAGAGGTTTATATCTAGCTCTTCTTCCATTGTAATTCGACTTATGCAATATATTTCTTACTGTTTGAGGGCAACATACATTTTCCAAATCCTTTTCAGCAATTTTCGAGCTTCGATGCACTCAAAAATTGATCATTTTGGATCTGCCGTAAAATATACTTCTCATCACCCAAGGTAAATATTTTATTATTTGCCATTTTTTGACTTATTTTCTACACATCCATCTGTTTTGAACCGTTTTATGATGTACTGAACTGTAGATCGGCTTCTATTATCAGACCTCAGATATCTCACTTAGCAATTTATGGTTTTTGTAATGTTTAATTACTAAATTTCTCACTTCAACAGTGGTTTGTTCTCGCTGTCTTCCCATTTTTATTTTTTTTTTTAATATTTACGTCAGTAAATTACACAACACGTTGAAAATTTGTGATAAATTAGCTTTTAGGGACTTCCATAAATACATATTTCAAGAATCGCGTGAAGTTGGGCGCAGTTCAAAATAAATGTAAGCTGTACGAGTTTAGCTTTTTGCTTAGAAATTTGGTAAGTTTTAGAATAAACGTTTTTAAATAAATAGAAAACAATAAACTTTTGTTCTAGGCTAGTTCTGGTATCCCATACACTAATAAAAAATATAGGATTCTTCTGGTAGTGAATTTGATAACAATCATATATTGCATGGAAGAAAATTGCTTGCTAAGTGTACGAGTTTCGCTTGGAGCTACTGCACATTAAATAAAATTAAATCGTGTTTCGAAAACCAGGGAACTGATACTTGATACTTTAGCAAAGATATGCCATAGTTGAGGATTATATTCCTATAGAAATTCCAGCAAAGTATTGTTCAAGAATTCATTCGTCACTCATCCCATACCTGGCATTTTTATCCTTTCAGCATTTTTAAGGTTCTTGTTTGCCTGTCTAGGACTTCAATTACGTCTGCACTACATTTGATTAGTTTGGCCCATGCAGTTTCCGGATTGTTTATTTATTCGTTGTACAATCCAAAAAAAAAAAAAATAAATAATAATAATAATAAGTCTGATAACATCCAGCGTAGAATGAAACATGCCATTCTTATGACTGATTTATCGATCTGAGCGGAGGTTGAAACCATCCTCAGATATCTTTTTTTAACTGCCAAACCCCTTCACATCGATCACCGGCTAACTACGTTTTAAAATTTAAAACACACATAATGCTGAACTTTGTACCTCTCCCCCAGTTTCGGAAATGTTCTAAAAAGAGAAATGAAAAAAATATTTACATACGACTCAGCCAGAAGGGTAGATGATATCCATCCACACAATACCTTTTATTAATGCCCACATATAAAAATGGTGTATATACATACACATATAGTTCGCACATACCATATGTTAAGTCTTCAAATAATTTTTTGCACAGTTTTTTTCTAAAGCTTTAACAAGTCACTCTTTAGCCTGGAGCAGCCCCTCAGATAATGCGCTGTTTTCGTTTATGGGCAAAAAGAGACAAAACAAATCAGACTCATTGAAAAACCCACAATTTGCGAATTTAGTTGTATTTAAAATGGTATAAAATGATGTGTACGCGCTGTGTGTGAAGTGGTCGGGTTGAAAGGTAATGAGCAAACCGAAATGCGTCCAAAACAATTGCCAAACGAAGAGTGTGCGCGCCACTCAATCTGGAAAGTTCTAAAACAAACCAAGAATTATATTTCTTCAGCATTTACCACTCTACTCCACTCAACTTATTCACTGAATGCCCACAATACGACTGTCTCAATAATGTTGTTGTTGAATTTACGGTTTGATTGTTTTTGTTGTCTTTCTTGCATAGAAAGTAAATGAAACGTCAAAGGAGAGGTAAAGGCGTTTGCCAGACTGGCTTCGTGGATGGCATGCATGCGGGCAATATTTGTTTTGTTTATATTTCTGTTATTACGACGTTGTTATTGTTTTGATTTTTACTCTCTTTAAGAGAGAGAAACTACGAGCAATGTTTATGATTTGTAAGAGAAATAAGATTTGCTCTTAGTTAAAAACTACATAAGTCGTGTTTTATTTTAACCTTAGCCATATTGCTAGAGAGGGTATACATCATTTGATACGGCCAAAACCCTGCTTGGACCAAATCCGTTTCAGGACATTTGGAGTCGATCTAGAGATGACCGTCTGACTGGTGCACGCGATAACTCCCAAAGGGAGTATCCGATTTAATCCAAACTCGGTACATCGTAATATTATTATAAAACTTAAATCAAGTTCGGAGATAGGCAATATCGGTGCACTCCTTCTGGCATCTCCCACACAAAATGTCAAAATTTTTAAAGAAAATAATTTTTTGCACAGAAAGAGAAACAATAATCCGATTTTCCTCAAACTTTGCAAATCTTAATATTTGCATCAGTGCTAGGTCAGATGCGAAAATGGACAATATCGGTCCACTCTATCACGTACCTCCCCCAAAAAGGATCAACATTTTGAATAATTATAACTCTTATAAAATGTGATGTAAGAGTCCGATTGTTTTCAAATTACACACATCACAAAGGGTCAACATTTTGAATATTCATGTAGCTCATAAAACACGAAAATAACATCGGATTCCATTCAAACTTGGTGCATCTCAATATTTTCTTCAACACAAGATCTGTTATAAAGATGCTACAGATTTGACCATTTCTTCTGGTACCTCCCCCACAAAGGGGCCAATGTTTTGAACAACCAAAACGATCATAAAATACGAAATAAGTATCCGTCTCTCTTCAAATTACACACATCACAATATTTTTGTTAACCCAAGGTATGGTGTGAATATGGGGTATATCGGTCCACTCCTTCTGGTACCTCCCCCACAAAGGGTCAAATTTTTTAGTATCGATGAAGCTCAAAAACACGAAATTAACATCCGATTCCATTCAGACTTGGCATATCTCAATATTTCCATCAACACAAGATCTGTTATAAAGATGGTAGAGATCGGAAAATTCCTTTCCAAAGGGTCAAAGTTTTGAATGGCCAAACCGAATATAAAATCCGAAATAAGTATCCGGTTTTCTTCCAATTACACACATAATATTATTTCTACCAACACAAGGTCAACTGTGAAGATGGAATATATCGGTCCACTCCTCCAGGTACCTCTCCCAAAAAGGCTCATAATTTTGAATATTCATGAAGCTCATAAAATGGGAAATTAACTGCCGATTCTATTCAGACTTGGCACATCTCAATATTTCTACCAACTCAATATTTCTATAAAGAATTCGGACCTTGCCTTCTGGTACCTCCCCCACAAAGGGTCAAAGTTTTGAATAACCAAATCAATCATAAAATCCGAAATAAGCATCCGGTTCTCTTCGTATTTCACACATCACAATTTTTTTTATCAACCCAAGGTCTGATGTGAAGATGGACTATATCGGCACACTCCTTCTGGTGCCTCCCCCACAAAGGGGCCAACACCTTGAATATCCATGAAGCTCATAAAACGAGAAAATTAACATCCGATTCCAAACAGACTTGGTACATCTCAATATTTCCATCAACACAAACTCTGTTGTTAAGATGGGACCATTTCTTGCGGTACCTCCCCCACGTCGGGTCCAAATTTTGAATATTCATAAAGTTTATAAAACACGAAATTAACCTCCGATTTCATTCAGACTTGTTACATCTCAAAGTATCCATCAACACAAGATCTATTATAAAGATGGTAGAGATCGGAAAATTTCTTTTGCTACCTGCCCCACATAGGTTTCAAGATTTTAAAAAACAAAACGCTCAAAGAAAGCGAAATAAACATCCAACTCTCTTCAAATTTCACACATCCAAATATTTTTGCTAACGCAGGATCTGTTGTGAAGATGATATATATCTGCCAACCACTTCTGGCACCTCACCCACAAAGGGTCACAATTTTCAATACTTTTATCTGTTATAACTTGCGAAACAAGTCGGCGATTCTTTACAACTTGCTATAGCTAAATATATATCTCAACCGGATACCTGGATGAATATGGAATTTATGATTCCGCATAAAATTGGTTATAAATGTTCGATTTCCTTCAAATTTTGAACATATTAATATTTTTGTCTGTATTAGATGAAGTATGACAATGGATCCGGATCTGTCGAAGAAGAACTTAAAGAGAGGGTACATAAGCAGCTTGGCATCATGGCTAGGCATATTAATGTAAAATTTTAAGGGGAAACGACGGTAGGATTTAAGTGCGGCACGGTATTCATTTATGATATGTCAGAAAATATGTCATGCGAGGACTTGATACTTTTTTATAGGCCAAGAATGTGGAGTGCCTTCCAAAGAAAAGCCTTCCCAATTTATCCACTTTATTTTAAACTAAAACATTTTTTGACATTTTATTGTCTTCAAATTCTGCATTTTTCTTTTATTTACAAAAACAAACAGCAAAGTTATCCCCAATTTCAGTTGACTTAATGCTTCACAAAACAAGCCCCCCACCCTAAATTGAAAATACAATCCATGAGTTACCCTATATATTGTTATCGATTATTAATTACCACAGAATATTGTTTGTTGTTTTAATACAAAAATTTATTGACTCTGGAATAATCTGGATGTCTTGTTAAATCGTTGGTCAATAAATTTTGTTATAACAGCGATTATTATTAACTTTTTTTGGGGGACTAAGGTATTTTCAAGTTTTACCTGTCCCCTTGGTATTTCTTTTTTATCATGAATTCGTCACACCATATGATTAGTAATTTAGTTCAATAACAAACATATGTAGATATGTATGTCAGCATGACGTACCCATGAATGTACTTTGGTAGCGTCTTATAGTGTTGAAATATTTCTTTATATTGGGCGCCACTACCAGCTACTAACATTTTCTATTGCAGTATGGACTTTCAGTTTTCTTTTGTTCAAGGTCTTTCTACTCATGGTGAACTGAAAGTGTCGGATTACTTTCCACCCATAATTGTAGGGTTTTTGAATAATTGTTTCCCCGTCCGTGATTTTTGTTAGTAAATGGTGTGGAGAAATTGATTTAAAAATAAATGCCCATTAGTTCTGCTTATAGTAATTACTCCTCATGAAGAGGTCCAATTCAACTCTTTGTCAAACACGTGAAAATACCTCAAAGTTTCTTGTCATTTCGTTATATTGTAATTGGATTTTGTAATTACTCTCAGAAGAATAATTATTTGGAAATAATTCGAACTACATTGGGACAATGTCCAATTTGTCGAGGAAAAATTAAGAAAAAAAACACAAGTAAAATAGTATCAGTCGGTTTTATCCCCAGCCTTGAGATATGATTATTCATACGGCTGAGCCTTTATGGTGGAGGTTTCGAAGCAGTCGTATCTGACCTAAGACTGATATAAACATTACAACGTGCCAGTTTTGGACTATATCGACTATTTCCTATACTCCTATATGAGATGTGTGCACATTTTTGGAAATTGTAGAAATATGTGTGAGGTAACAGATATAGCGGAACGAAGTATTCCATTTTTATAATTTATATATATTATATATACAGACACAAATATTGGTATGTGCAAAATTTAAAGGAAATCGAACATTTATATCAAATTTTATGAATAATTTCCATAAACTCCATATTCATATCAGATTTCTAGCTAAGATAAATATTTAGATAAAGCAACTTGTAAAGAATCGCCGTCTTGTTTCGCAAGTTATGACAGATATAAGTATTGGAAATTGTGATCCTTTGTGGGTGAGGTAACAGAAGGGGTTCCCAGATATATATCATCTTCACAACAGATCTTGTGTTAGCAAAAATATTTGGATGCGTGAAATTTGAAGAATGTTGGATGCTTATTACGCGCTTTATGAACGCTTTTTTCAAAAATCTTGAACCCTATATGGGGGAGGTACCAGAAGAAATGGTCCGAACTGTATCACCTTGTGTTGATAAAATCTTGTGTTGATAAAAATATTGAGATGTGCTAAGTCTGAATTGGATCGGACGTTAATTTCGCTTCTTATGAGCCCCATAGATATTCAAAATTTTGACCATTTGTAGGGGAGGTACTAGAAGGAGTGGACCGATATATCCCATCTTCAAAACAGATCTTTTGTTAGTAAAAATAATGCCATGTGTGAAATTTGAAGGGAACAAAATGCCGATTTTGGATTTTATGATCGTTTTGGTGATTCAAAACTTTGACCTTTTGTGGGGGAGGTACCAGAAGAAATGGTCCGATCTCTACCGTCTTTATAACAGATTTTGATAGAAGTATTGAACTGTGCCAAGTCTGAATGGAATCGGATGTTTATTTCGCTTCTTATGAGCTTCATAGATATTCAAAATGCTGACCCTCTGTGGGAGAGGAACCACAAGGAGTGGATCTGTATATTCCATCTTCCCACCAGACCTTGGGTTAATAAAAATATTGTGATATTATCAGTTTCCGCACCTAACCTAGCACTAAGGCAAATGTTAGGAATTGCAAAGTTGCAGCAAAATCGAATAATATTTTCTCTTTCTGTGCAGTGAAATATTTTCTTTGAAAATGTTGACATTTTGTGGGGGAGGTACCAGAAAGAGCGCGCCGATATTGTCCATCACCGAACTCGATTTAAGTTTGACGATAATATTACGATGTATCAAGTTTGAATCAAATCGGATACTCCCTTCGAGGGTTATCATGAGCACCAGCCAAACAGACAGACAGACGGACGGACGGACATCGCTAAATCGACTTTAAATGTCCTGAAATGGATTAGGTCCAAAGAGACCTAGGGTCTAAAACCGTTATTTCGATGAGGCACGTTTTGGCCGTATCAAATGATATACCCTCTCTAGCCATATGACTGAGGGTAGATTCCCCACGATAGGGTAAAAACGATTTTAGTTAGGAAACTAAAATTTTGCACAGATCAGTCTTTTGTCTGTAAGTTCAAAGATGGGCTATATCCTTCCACCCCATATAACGGACCCCCCGATATTCGGTATTTTAATGATTTTATTCCAGAATTTTTAACCAGAATTAAATTAAATTTCGTATTTGAAGTTCGTAGAAGGTAATATCATGTCTTCTTATAGCCCTCAAATAACAGTAACACCCCCCCGGATATTCGGTATTTATCGACGATTTTTTTGAAGATTTGCAAGTTCCTTTCCAATGGTGAAGGTATAAAAAATTCGACCCGAACTTAGATTCTTTTTTATTTGATATTTTTCGCAACTTTCGTTTACTTGGGAACAAAAAAGTGTCAATTTGTTCCCTTCGCATTATTTAGGGACTCTTTTTTGTGCTATTACTTATAGGTTTATAATTAGTGCATGACTGACGAACTTGATTTAATTCGAATTTTTTCGCTTCGTTCGGGTATAGATTAAATTCTAGTTTTTATTTAAAAAATATTTTCCTGCAAAAACTAATGTTACTTAACCAAATCGCAGCCACACATTTATTCAGATCTATTCTTAGATTTCGTAAATAAGAGATTTTCCCAGCGCTTCAACTGCACCGAAAATTATGTACACAGTTCATTCTCTAGTCCAGTCATTCTCATTATTTCTTAAAACAACAATAAATTGGTTTTTCTTGGAGAAACTCCCAGTAGATTTCTCTTCTAAGATGTTTGGAAACTTCTATTATATTTATCGCCGGCACAAGAAGTCCAGAGGACAGGGCGCTTGGGAAATTCTAATTTTTTCTGTTATTTTTGTTCAGGGAAAAGATAATTTGTTAATTGCCCAACCTCGAATTAAATTCGTAATACATTTTTGGGTACATCGCTATCCATAGGAGTTGAGAAGAGAAGGAGCATTTTCTAGGCCATCACATAAAGACAATTTACAAAATTCAACCTTCCAATTCCATGATCTCCAATTATGCCTCCAAGTGTTATTGTGGCTCTTTGCCGTTTTTCCTTGTCTCTCTTTTTGGGTTGCAGTTAATTTATTGTTCCTTCATAAACAATTACACATTATCGCGTTTGTGTCGACAAGTCTTTATCGACATACATATTCTCTATTATCGATTACAAGACGATCTGTTGTTTTTATAAGAAAAAGAAGTGATTATTTTCTGCCGCCATTCCATTATTGCACTTTATGAGAACAAGAAGAAGAAGAGGAACATTTTATTACGGCGTAATAATTTCGAGTTTTAGCCACGTGACTATGGAGTACGTCGTGTCGGTCTAAAATTATGAAATACCACTTATCGCTGAAGAAATTCTTCAAGTGACACCATATTTAGAAGACCTCCATAAATGTGAAAATACAACTATTGATGGAATTGATGATAAGACCACTAATTCTTAAGACCCTTAGTTCCTCCACTTCATTTTCTATCTCAAGCAGTTATTAGATTCGAAATTATGCTCTCTTCAAATCTAAGTGGGTTAAACTATTCTACAAAACTCAAAAGGGTTTAGATCAAGGAGACATAAAGTGAGGATATACTCCCAGGCTTGTCTGAGCTACATCTGAAAAGATCAGCATATTTTATTGATCTACAGAAAATATACTTCTCTTTCCCCATTTTTAACTCTCCCATTGTGCAACAATTTGCGGGTCAGCCGAGTTAATTATTACAACCATGTAAATGTTGCTAAATTACGACATGAATTCAGATTGTAATTGTCAACACTAACCTATCACTCAATCTCTGGCATAATTTGTAGAGCAAAACAATAACTGTCATCCAGCAGCTAGAGAATCAGAACATGCTTAAATTAAGCAAATGACGAGAATTTTCTGTTGTTAAAATGCGAATTTTTTTATTTACTTTGAGGATGATATAATTGGGTATAGAAAAAAACCGAAAAAAAGCAGACAACTAAATAAACAACAGGTTGACAAGATTTAAATTACACCAGACAACAAACACAACAAGATAATCTCAGTTTGGAATTTTTAAAATCGTCTCTGTTTGAAATGGAGATGGAAGAGAAGAGAGGATGATTTTCTAATTTAAATCAAAATAGCGCCAAGCAACTATGCGTATCTTAAATGCTTAAATTTAAAGTAACAATTTTCGGTTTTGATGGAGGTTGTCAATTCCAAGATGAAAGTGTTTTTTGAAAAACAAACAAATTTTGTTAAAAAAAAAAAAAAACTAAAAACTTTCCAGGAATCCTCTTGATACGTGAATTATTTTCAAGGTGGTATATAAGAAGAAAAAAACTTGCTTCCCGCTAATGAATTTGATTTTGGAAAAAAGAGAATGAATTCTGTACATAATTTTGCGCTGGGAAAATCTCTTCTTTACAAAATATAAGAATAGATCTGAATAATTGTGTGACTGTGATTAGGTTATATCTGGAAAAAACTTGTCCATCTGTAGTATCTGAAAGTAAGTGGTCAGGTTCCCCAACTCTAAAATTTAAAGAAACAATGACATCTCTCGACAAATTCTGAATGTAAAAGATAAATAAGAGATCTATAACAGGTCAATCTCTACAAATGCTTAAATTTAAAACAACAACTGCAGTTTTTATGAAAGTTGTCGATTCCATTTTTTCCGATTACGGCTGTATTTTAGAACAAGTTAAAAAGTATCAGTCGTTTTTGACGACAGACCTATACCCTCAGCCAATGTTCGATTATTTAAATATGTTTTGACTTTTGTTATGAATATTCAAATTGTTGACTCCCTATGGGGTAGATTCCGAAGGAATGGGCCAATATTGGCCATTTCGTGTCGGAACTAAAAAATATGATATAAATATTGCAACGAACCTGGTTTGGACTACATTGACTACTTCCTTTACTTTATATGAGATATGTGAAAATTTTTAGAAAATGTTAAAATGTGCATGAGGACTCAGAAATAGACGATCGAAGTATTCCATTTTCTTACTTCATCTAATACAGATAAAAATATTGGCATGGACAAAATTACGAAAAAATCGAACATTTATATCCAATACCAGAAGAAATGGTCCGATATCTGACATCTTTATAACAGATCTTGTATTGATGGAAATATTGAGATGTGCCAAGTCTGAATGGAATCGGTTATTAATTTCGTGTTTTATGGGCTTCGTGGATACTCAAAATTTTAACCCTTTGTGCAAGAGGTACCAGAAGAAATGGTCCGATCCCTCTAATCATTGTAACATAGCTTCTGTTCATTGATATACTGATATGTACCAAGTCTAAATGTACATTTCGCGTTTTATGACCTTCATGGATATTCAAAATTATGACCCTTTATAGGGGAGCCACCAGAAGGAGTTGACCGATATATCCCATCTTCACAGCAGATCTCCTGTTAGTAGAAATAATGGAATATGTGAAATATGAAGATAACCGAATGCTTATTTCAGATTTAATCGGTTTGGTTATTTCAAACTTTCACCCTTTGGGGGGAATGTACCAGAAGAAATGATCCGCTCTCTACCATCTTTATAACATATCTTGTGTTAATGGAAATAATGAAGTGTACCAAGTCTGAATGAAATTGGATGTTATTTTCACGTTTTATGACCTTCATGAATATTCAATATGTTGACCCTTTGTGGGGGAGATACCAGATACCAATCTTCACAGCAGATCTGGTGTTAGTAGATATAATAGGATGTGCGGAATATAAAGAGAATCGGATACTTATTTTCGATTTTATAATAGTTTTGGTTATTCAAAACTTTGACCCTATGTGTGAAAGGTACCAGAAGGAATGGTCCGATTTTTACCTTCTTTATAAGAGCTCTCGTGTTAATAGAAATATTGAGATGTGACAAGTCTAAATCAGCGGTGCTCAAGAAGAAATATCTCTTTTCAGTCAAATTTATCTTTGCTTATTTAAATCAAGAACAAAATCGTGTTAAGTCATTATTTATACAAATATTTTTTATCCATTTGCTTTATAAATTATTTTGGCAAACATTCGTGTTTAAAAACAATTAAATAGAACCGTAAAGTATAAAGAAAAACAGAATTTTAATTTTCTCTTAAATTATCTCTTTTTCTCTTCATGTTCTAGAACACGGTTTTGAGCACCGCTGGTCTAAATGGAATCGGATGTTAATTTTGTGTTTTATGAGCTTCATGAATATTTAAAATGTTGACCCTTTGTGGGGGAGGTACTTGATGGAGTGAAGCGAAATTATTATTCCATTTTCGCACCTGACCTAGAACTCATGCGAATATTAGGATTTGCAAAGATAGAGCAATATCAGATTATCCTTCTTCGGACGGACATCGCTAGATCGTCTCAAAATGTCCTGGAACGGATTTGGTACCGTTATTTCGATGAGGCACGTTTTGGCCTCTCTAGCCATATGGCTGAGGGTATAAAAAAGAGACCCACAAATGCTTGAATTTAAAGTAGCAATTTCAGTTTTTATGAAAGTTGTCAATTCCATGTTTTCCGGTAACGCCCTGATTTTGGAAAAAGTAATCGATAGAAGTTTCATATCTGTGAAGATATTTCCGCTTAATTTCCTAGGTTATTCTTATTTTTGTAAAACTCAAACCATCAAACATTTGTCGAGTTTCTTTCAATTCTAGGGCTAGGGAACGTGACCACATTAAAAAATATTACCGGTGATACTAAAATATTGCTTAGATTGTACTGAACATTAAAAACTACTTTTGTTTTAAATTTTCGAAATTTTATATCAGACAAGATCCTGCTCCTCAAATTCGTATGTTCTCTTAATTTTTGTAAAACACAAACGATCAAAATTTATCAGCCACCTGTAGATGGGGAAAGAAGCTTATAAAATATACTCAAAGTTTCCACAATACCTGAAAAGGAAAATTCAAAGCTTTCAAAACTACATGTGTTTTAAATTTTGTTTAGTTTTTTGCCAAGTTATTTAAAGAACCCAATCTTATTTTCTTCTTCCAGACAATAAAACAAAACCCGATACAATTGAAATATTTTCTGTGAAAATACGTGAAAATGGTACATTTAAAATGTTGAAAATGTCCCTGGAGGATGTTTGGACCAATGGCTGGGAATTACGTATTAATAATTTTGCCGACAAGGAAAAGGCACCGCACAACGAGAAGGATATAAGAAATCAAGTGAGTTAACATTACATTAATAAAAATACAGAATTAAATTTGGCCCACACAAGAACGATTGGTAGTACAAAGATACAAATAATTAAAGAGGTACAGAAGTGATTGTTCTCTTCAAATTGATTAATTACAGAGTCATGAGTCAAAGTCATTTAATAGATACCATACTGGAAAAATGTCATACGTTGGTTATCAGAAAGCTTAGTAATACCTCTACTGATCACGTTTATGTCAATTTAGAAAAAGTTCCTCAAATTAGCTTTGTGGAACATTAACTAATCGGACCATAATCTGACTTCATGTCTAAATGATTTAACTATTGCCCAGTCTGATATAATATCAATTAACGTCATTCTTCGTGATCATAATAAGGTCGAAGAGTTGTGGCAAGAAAAACAAGTAAAAAAGCCGTAAGATCGGCCGGACCGGACTTTTAATACCCTCCACCATTTGCGACGAATTAGAAAATTCTCAAAAAAAATATATATATAAAATTCATTAAAAATTCTGAAAATTCCGAATATAGCCTTTATATTGGGGTCTATACGAAGACGTGAACCCGCATAGGTGACTTTTGTCATTAGCCATTACAATATTCAAATACGAAATTTAAAACACTTCCTGTGAGTATTGTCGCTAAAATCATCAAAATACCGAATATAGGGAGGTACTGATATTTGGAGCCTATACGAAGACCTGAACCTTCATAGACAATTTTCTGTCATAGACTGTAGTTCTCATTACGAACTCTAAATACGAAATTTGAAACAACTTCGGTGAATAATGTGCCAAAAAACCGCCAGAATATCGAATATTGGGGGTACCGTTTTATGTGGGCTATACGAAGACCTGCATATACAATATTCTGTCATAGACTGTAGTTACCATCAACTAACTCTAAATACGAAATTTGAATCAACAACTCCGGCGAATAATGTCGCTAAAATCATCAAAAATCGAATTTTGGGAGGTATCGGTATATAGGGCCTATACGAAGACGTGGACCTGCACAGACAATTTTTTTGTCATAGGCTGTAGTAACTATTGGAACTTCAAATAACACATTAGAAACAATTCCGGCGAATAATGTAGCCAAAATCATCAAAATACCGAATATCGGAAGGTAGCGTTATATGGAGGTTATACGAAGACATGGGCCTGCACAGATAATTTTCTGTCTTAGGCTGTAATATCCAATAAAATTTCAAATACCAAATTTCAAAAATATTTCCAGTGAATAATGTCCCTAAAATCGCCAAAATATCGGATATCGGGTGGTGCCGTTATATGGGGGCTATACGAAGACGTGGACCTGCACGGACAATTTTCTGTCTTAGGCTGTAGTATCAAATACAAACTTCAAATGCCAAATTTGAAACATTTCCGGTGAATATTGTCGCTAAAATCATCAAAATACCGAATATTGGAAGGTATCGTTATATGAAGGCTATACGAAGGCGTCGGCATGCATATGTAATTTTTTGTCATAGGCTGTAGTATCAAATACCAAATTTGAAACAACTCCGATGAATAATGTCGCTGAAATCATCAAAATGCCGAAAATAGGGAGGTACCGTTATATGGGGACTATACGATATCGTGGATCTATATAGACATTTCTATTCCAGGGGGTAAAGTGCTTAAAAACAACTTCCACAATGGATTTTTACACAATTTCATTGATAAATGTAGCTAAAATCATCAAACTACCGAATATTGGGAGGCACTGTTATATAGGGGATATACGATATCGTGGACCTATATAAACAATTCTTTTTGAGGGGATAAAGTAGTCATGAAGAACTCCTTGCGTAGAATTTCATTCAATTCCATCAAAAAATGTGTCTAAAACCAATGTGTAAAATGTGTAAAAAACCGAATATGGGGAGATACTTATATATGGGGCCTATGCAAAGACCTGGACCTGCATAGGCATTTTTCTGTCATAGGCTTAAGCATATTTTGGGAGTGCTACAAATGTCTATTAGTGCTATATGGTCTCGATGTTTTACCAATCCCTCTCTATCTTGTTTTTTATTTTCCAAAACACCACTTTTTTTAATCGTTAATTTTGTTTTAATCGTTAATATATTTTCTTTGCCATCTTCCAGATATCCTTTGCACGCAAAGCGAAACAAAGCCTGTGGAATAATAATCAGCATTTTGTTTATTGGTGTCGCTATGGCAGTCGTCAGCAGGATGTACGAAAACGTCAGGTAATGTTCGCACACACACTGTCAAGTACTTTTACAAATTTGGTAATAATATTTTGGTTTCCAAAATCTATTTCAGATGTCGGAATGTGTTAAATGGGGCAGTGTTGGCATGAATGCCGGCATGCTGTTGCTGATGAACAAAAAATCATATTCCACCTCAAAGTAAGGCGGCGAAGTGAATGCGAATTTTGTTGCCTCAAAAAACAAAACAAAAAAAAAAACTGTGAACATTCTTTATTTTTGGAATTTGCAACCAAAGAATGGATTATTTTATAAATACTATTATTATTATTATAATTATTGTTATTATCAATCACCAAAAGTTTTGGTATGTAATGAGGGTTAGAACACTTAAAACAGAAACAAAACAAATATTTGTGATAATCGAAAAAAAATTAATATTTTTAAAAAGAAACCCCCCACAAAGTAATACCTCAATACGTGATTGAATGAATGGTAATTTATTTTTTTGGGGAGGTACACTTTTTCTAATGATAAGATAACCAACAACCATTTAAGGCCTTGGCTAGAAATTATTTAAATTATGGCAGAAAAAAACAACAACTCAGAGTATACCAAGTATTAGTAAATGTTTACTTGCCAATTTGAATAATGAAAGTATTAGAAAAAAATGTAAAAAAATAAAAACGAAAATGTTCTAGTCCTCAAACTCAAGAAAAGCACAGCCTAAACTAGCCAAACCAACCCGACTCTTCACAAAATAATTTAAAAAAAATGATTCTACTCATTTATACGTAAAAATTCCCCAGAATTCATACAACTACATGTTAGAGAAAACTTGGGTTTTCTTTAAGTTTTTCGGGGATACATGATTTACACTGTTTTCATAAAACTACCCCCCACTTTTTAAAGAAAAAAATAACAACTTTATATTGAGACATTTATTACAAACAACCACAATGTGCTCTATTATAAATTGTCAACTATTTTACTATTATTATTACTATTAATATTGTTTTCTATATACACACATATATATTTATATGAAAACGGAAAACGAAAAGGAACGAATGGAGAAAAGACTTATTTATTTTTATTATTTTTTTTTATTATTATATAATTTAACTTTAAAAGAAAAATTGCAAAAAGAGATATATATTTTTAAGAGCTTGTTACTGTTATTACTCCTTTATAAAGATCTATTATTATTACTAGTGTTTAAGTCAAAATACAAGGAGGAGCTACAAAGTAATGAATTATTAAAATATCCTCAATAAGTGAGGTTAGTTAAGAAGAAATATATTTTCTAAACTCAAAACAATAAAAGAAACAAGTTAAGAAAAATAATAAAAAATATGTGCATTATTTTATATCCCCACTACGGGAAAACTAAACTTATGATTTTTTTTTTAAATTGGATCGTATTCCAGAATTGCAGTTTTCTACTGAAATATGTTTACTGATGTCCAAACATTTCTCATTGGAGCAAGATGGGGTTTATACTAAAATTTGAATTGTTATTGAAAATGAATACCCTTCGCCAAATTGGAACGAATTTTGAAATTTTAAAAAATAAAATCCTTTAAAAATGCTGTTGAAATATTAATAATACCGAATATAGCCGTTATATTGGGGTCTATATGAAGACGTGGGCCTTCATAGGCAACTTTTGTCATAAGTCATTAAATATTCAAATACAAAACTTGAAAAAAAAATCCGGTGAATAATGTAGCTAGAATCGCCAAAATACCGAATATAGGGAGATACCGTTATTTCGAGCCTATACAGGGTGGTGTGAAAAAACTGCAACAAACTTCAGACTGCTGTCATTTCTAAACCGCTCGTCCTACAGTAACAGCTAATTATTTTGTTTACAAACGCACAAAAGCATTTTGGTGAGAATTTTCCAGAAAGAAATTTATTCGTGATGGAATTCAAGCCTGATAATGTAATTTCTTTATATTTGGCTGGAAAACCACAGTGGCTATCGTTAAAGCACTCCAGCATTTAAATGTGGCCGAAAAATGGCCCGCGTCGCAGTGGCCGAAAAATGGCTCGTGAATCGGCTCGGCAAATATTTAAAAATGAGCTCGGGGTAAAGCCATTGAAATTCCAAAAAGTGCAAGAACTTACACCGCAACTAAAAGAAAATAGACTCAAAAGAGCTTAAGAGTTGCTTCGAATAGAATAAATGCCGAATATTATCGCGAAACTATTCTGGAGGGTGTATTAAAGCCTTGGGACGCAAACATTTTGGCACCATCGCACTCAGCACGCGCCAACCAAGAATGGTTACAAAATGAGGTTCCTCGCTCCATTTCCAGAGCACAATGGCCACCAAAATCTCCGGATACCAATCCGTTGGACTCATGTGTCTGGAGTAATTTGGAATGAAGCAAGCGCCTTCTTTCAATAAAATTTAAAAAAATGGCGTTTGACTTCGTTGCACTTTTTGTTATCTCATTATTATCTCCATTACAAATTCTAAATACGAAATTTGAAACAACCCAGGTGAATAATGTCCCTAAAATTGTCAAAATATTGAATATCGGGCGGTACCGTTGTATTTGGGCTATACCCTATCGTGGCCCTATATAGAAATTTCTCTTAAAGTGCTTAAAAAGAAGTTCTAGTATGGATTTTTAGACAATTTCATTGAAAAATGTAGCTAAGATGATCAAAATATCGAATATAGGGAAGTACCGTTATGTGAGGCATATACGATATCGTCGACCTATATAAACAATACTCTTCCAGGGGGTAAAGTACTCAGAATGAACTCCTTTTGTGGACAGACAATTTTATTGAAAAATGTTTCTAAATTCATCAAAATACCGAATCGCCAGGACCTCCGCTTGAAGGATCGTATTGTGGTGGAGCAAGCGGAAAGAGATTATGGTATTTGGTTCTTCAATAAAGAGTCCCAGTTCCGCTTTTTCCACTAGCACTGAGCCGTCTGTATAACAACAGTTTCCAGTCGGCATTTGCGGTAGTAATACGAAAATTCATGAATCTCTGGTAGGGATGAATGTTTCACGAGAGACAGCTACAATTGTTTCAGATATCTGGTTCGATACAAAGTTTTCTATTGATTCTCCCTTGTTACCTGTAAATTTTTTTGATGGTATGTAGCGTGGCCTTTGCTTATGCACTCGTCCGTCGCCCTGAGCCTTAAGGCCGCTTCTGAATATCTATTGGGCGCATACACAGAATATTTTTTAGCACAATAGAGATACATATGAGAGCTATATCCAAACTGGACCGATCTCTATAACATTTAGCAGAGGTATTTCTATGCTGTATCTGATAGCTGGGATCAAATATCGTTGCTGTAGAAAGCATTTTACGGCTGTGAGAGACTAAAATATAAAATCGGATGATATCTGAACCTATTTTTACCAAATTTTATGCACTTTTTCCAGCCTCAATTCGTTCGTATGTGCCAAAATTCTTTCAATTCGGGCTTATATTGCCCATTTGATAAAATTGAAATCGACTAAAGATATGATATAAAGATATATCTAAACCCGATCTCGATTTGGCAAGGATATTTCTGAGTTCCGAAGGAATGGGCCAACATTGTCGATTTCGTATCGGACCTAAATAAATATGATATAAATATTGCAACGAGCCTGGTTTGGAATTTGACTTTATATGAAATATGTCATAATTTTTAGAAAATAGTAAAATGTGCGTGACGTACCAGATATAGTTGACAAAATGACACGAAATCATAAATTCCATATTTATCTCAGGTTTCTAGTTGAGAGAATTATTTAGATATAGCAAGTTGTTAAAAATCGCTGACTTGTTTCGCAAGTTATGAGTGAGATACCAGAAGGGGTTCGCAGACATATATCATCTTCACAACAGATCTGGTGTTAACAAAAAAAAATGTGAAATTGAAAGAGTATTGAATGCTTATTTGGCTTTCTTTGAGCGTTTTATTTTTCAAAATCTTGAACCCTATGTGGGGCAGATGGCATCTTCATAACAGATCTTGTGTTGTACCAAGTCTGAATGGAATCGGATGTTAATTTCGTTAGTGGAAATAATGGGATGTGTGAAATATTAAAATAACCTGATGCTTATTGCGGATTTTATAAACGTTTTGGTTATTCAAAACCTTTACCCTTTGTGAGGGAGGTGCCAAAAGGAATGGTCCGATCTTTACCGTTATTATAAAAGATTCTGTGTTGATAGAAATATTCAGATGTGCCAACTCTAAATGGAATTGGATATTAATTTTGCGTTTTATGAGCTGAAGGGTTCAAAATTTCGACCTTTTTTGTACCTGACTTAAAACAGGCGCAAATGCATTGCATCTCTTTCTGTGCAGTCTTTTTTTTTTTTTTTTTTTTTTTTTTTGAAAATTCCGATTCTACCAAAAGGAGTGGACCGATGTATTCCATCTAGGCACCAGACCATGGGTTAATAAAATTATTGGGATCTGTGAAATTTGAAGACAATCGCACTCTTCACACATCAACACATCACATTTTATAAGAGTTGTAATTATTCAAATCGTTGACCCATTGTGGGGGAGGTACTTGATGGAGTGAACCGATATTGTCCACTTTCGAACCTGACCTAGCATTGACGCAAATATTAAGTTGGAGCAAAATGGGTTTATCGTTTCTGTGCAGAAAATATATTTTATGAAAATCTCGACTTTTTGTGGGGGAGATACCAGAAGGAGTGGACCGATATTGCCCATCTCCGAGATCGATTTTAGTTTGACCAAAATATTACGATGTACCAAGTTTGGACAAAATCGGATACTCCCTTCGAGAGTTATCGTTCGCACCAGTCAGACGGACGGACATCGCTAGATCGACTCCAAATGTGCTGAAACGGATTTGGTCCAAAGAGAACTAGAGTCTAAATCTGTTATTTCTACTAGGCACGTTTTGACTGTATCAAATGGTATATACCATCTCTATTTTCCTCTATTTTCACTTTCAAAAAACAGACGTGGATACATTTTTTTGGTTGACCTCCCCTTAGCGGTATTACTATTTATAAGGCTCAAATAGAATGAAGGCTTGTGGTGAAGTATTATATTGAGAAACTCCAGTCATAACCACATAAAAGCTGTTATTAAGAAAGCAGTAGAGTCAGTGAAGGACTTAGTTGCAATATATGCCAATAGTCAAGAGAATTCATGTCCTACAAACCCTCAAGATATTCCCTTTTGCAAGACGGCCGTCAATGGTATACTATGAGAAACGAAATAGATTAAAAGTTAGATCGATTGCGTACGGCCTACCCAGTAGTATTTTTACATTAGAGCTTTTTGTCGGGTTAAACAGTTGTATTTGGATCAATTTGGCGTATATGCTATTTGAATTCAGTAGGAATACTATGTCCGATCAACTGTAATCATACTATAGAGTTCGATAAATATTTAAACACGACAAAACAAATCAATCGATCAATCCCGCTTAGCAAATAAAGAGATTCTGAGTTCCTTAATTAATTAGATCGGAGTCGAATAATAATATAAAACGGTATAAAGCAACATCTGATTGAAAATTCTATCAAGAAAGTAAGCAAGTATTGTTTCTTATAATGGACTTTTCTGGAAGTAGTTGTTACATTTCGATTACATCCTATAGTTATATTCCCAATTTGATATTCATAAAATACGAAAGACTAAAAAAAAACTTACCTCACGCAGCAAACCGAACAGCACATCTGTAGACAATGAACGTTCATGGGCTTCATCCATAATAATTGCCGAATAACCATCCAAATCTGGATCACGTAAACTTTCACGCAGCAGAATACCATCTGTCATGTATTTAATGACAGTTTTCTCCGATGTGCAGTCCTCGAAACGTATGGCATAGCCAACTTCTTCCCCTGAGAAAACAAAAAGACAATATTATTACAAAACTCCGTATGCATTTATACTACACGGACTTACCCAACTTGGTACCCATTTCATCGGAAACACGTTTTGCCACCGACATGGCAGCAACACGACGTGGCTGGGTACATCCAATCATACCGAAATTACTATAACCATCCTCATGAAGATACTGTGTCAACTGAGTCGTTTTGCCACTACCCGTTTCACCCACAATAATGATCACCGAATTTTCGCGTATAATATTCAACAGCTCCTGGCGGGCAGCAAAGACGGGCAGGAATCGCCTTTGCTCGAATATTGATTTCTTACGCGAAAAATCACTTGATCCCGCCGAACTATCTTGATCACGCATATGATCGGCAAATTTCTGATCCTTACGATAATCGGCAGTGTCGGAATCTTTGTCATATTTGGCATCCTCTTCGTCGACTTTCTTCTCGATGCCCATGATATTGCCCAGCTTTGTGCCACCCAATTCCCAATGTTTCTTTTGGGCTTTTTTCCGTTCCTTTTGCTCCCGGTAGACTCGTACCAATGCACTACCCTTGCGGGCCAACAAAGCCATATCTGAGGTAGGATCCTTAACGGGTATGACAGGTTCCGGTTGTTTGGTGAAAACAATACGTCCATCCAGGAAAGGTGGAATAATGTGGTGGACCAGGAGGTGGACACGTTCCAGGGCTTCCTCGTCGAAATCATCGTTGACATTGATGGACATGACCACACCAGAGGTCAACATACGATTCCGCTCCCACAATTCATTGTCTTTGTTGTTTTGTCTCTGTTGGGCACTGATACGCTTGGTGCGTTTCTGCTCCAGCATTTCTTCGCGTTTCTTGAAATAATCGGCATTGGCATTGCCGAAGGGGTTGTGCTCGTCATCGTAACCCTCATCTATGTTGTACCATTCTCGGTCCAAACGTCTTTGTTCCTCCTCCCACATATCTCGATCTTCCTCACTTTCGCCCCAAGGTTGGCGATTGCTGCGTCCCGTTGATGGAGTTGCCCCGGAACGTTTTCGATCATTAGCCCATTGGTTGTACTTATGGGCTGGAGTAGGACGAGGTGTGTCGTCTTCTCTATCACGACGAGAACGGCTACGCGAGCCTGACATGGAACCAAAACCACTGCTGGAACTACGTTCAGACCAATCACCCTTCTCAGAGCTGGCATAAGATTTTGGTGTTGGGAAATCCCAAGACGATTTTCGCGACGAACGTTCGGCTGGATCATCATCGTCCCATGCACTACCCGATACTGAGACACCAGACGGAGTTTTAGGCTCGTCCCGAAATCGTGGCGTACTTACACTACGAGTTGAGTCCCGTTCGCTGCGATCCCGATCACGATCACGGTCTCTACGATGGTCACGATCTCTATTACGCTCCCTACTTCTATCTCGATCACGACGTTTATCACGACTTCGGTCTCTATCTCTATGACGTTCCCGATCTCGATCCCTGTCTCTTGAAGAAGATGATGACGACGACGATGATGATCTACTGCGATCTTTATCCTCATCACGGTCCTCATAACTTTTAGTGGAATAATGTACACCGCCTTTGCTGCGATCTCTCTTGATGTGCTCTCTCAAACGTTCTCTGGCCTCTTCGGATACACCACCCGTATGCGAAGGGGTTTCATCCTTGTGAGCCCTCAACTGGCGACTGATCTTTTGGAAACTCATTGTATCCGGTTTCTTGAAGGCAAACTCACTGAGATTTGCGGCCGTCGATGGAGTCTTGCTTCCACTTTGCCTATCATCATCGTCATCATGTTCGTTGTCTCTAAACGAAATAAGACGGTCATTTTCCTCACGTTCTTTGCGTTTTTGTGCCGCCAATTTATCCAATCCCAAAATTGAGGGTTTCGGAACTTTGAACTTGTTGCCATCATCGGTCTTTGCCTTTTTAATTATCAATCCGCCACGCACTTCACTGCCACTGGTTCCTTCGAGGCGATGAACGCCCGAATCATCGTCATCGGCCATTTCTATGGGATGGCAATCTATATTTCCATAAAATCCGCTAACTTTCTCACCACCGACCGAAACGTTTACAAAACAAAACAACAAAAAATCATCCGGCTAGAATGATGAGCCGTTGAAACGTTGCAATGAACGCCGTCAATTTTAGTCTTTAGGGGGCGAAGCGAAGTAAGTTCAAAAGAAAATTGTGAAATGTTTAGAATGTGGCGACAAAAGCAAATACACCAAAAACTGATAACAGATGGCTTGGCGTTGCCATATCCACTGTTATCGGGGATAATCGATAGGTTGCAGCAAATAAAGCGTTAAATCGATAGGAAAAATGATTGCTAACTTTTAAATGTTAAAAAAATATATATTTTGAAAATTTTATTTATGAAAAAAACCAAGGTAGGTTGGAAAAAAATTCGATGTGTTGAAAGGTATATTTATTTGTAAACAATTTTTTACTACAAATAAATTAGGAAAAAACCATCGAAATCTTTTATAGATCAAATGAAAAGAACAAACAAAAAAAGTTAAGGGGTAAGGAAATGAATACGTGAACTCAATTGCCTTGTCTTTTGTAAACGGAGGATCAGGCTACGACATATAAACAAGTCGCCCAGGTTATGACTTGGTGAAAATTATATTAGTTTTAATACGAAATTTGGTTGCCGCAATCAATAAAATATTTTGCGTTACTCCATGGAAATTTATTTTTCGGGAAGTCTTCTACTAAAATACTAAATGAACAAAGTTTATCGGTTTGATTTTTCAATATAAGGAATGCACCATTTACATATTTACATTTAAACTCTTGTTTTTCACCTGACATTGGGAGCCATAAAAAACTTTAAAAACTGGCCTCACTTCTTTCGGTGGGAATCAAGACAATTTAAGTCTCTATGTAAGTAGATTTATATAAAATAGATTTACTATTCATCCTTAGTTCGAATTTGTATGGGCAAAATTTGAAGTAAATCGACCATTTATATCCACTTTTATGTGAAATCATAAATTCCGATACATATTATATCAGATTACATATTCATATCAGATTTCTGGTTAAGAGAAATATTTACTTATAGCAAGTTGTAAAGAAAAGTACTGAAAATCGTGACTCTTTGTGGGTGAGGTACCTAAAGGGGTTCCCATATATACAGGGTGAGATAAAAAAAAACTGCAACAAAGTTAAACGCCATAATTTTTACATTATTTTTTTAATTTTTATTGAATGAAAGCAAAAAATTTCGGGAATAGCATCAAATTTTAGAATAAGTTTAGATTTGTTCAAATTGGTCCCATTTGACACAAATTATGGCCTTCAAACGGCCAATGAAACCGTCACACGCTACCCGAATGTTGCTCTGCAGTATTTTGGCCCATTCACAGCGACATTTTGGTATTTTTTTACTACCAACCTTGCTTTCCAAAATAATCCAGACACAGTAGTCCAACAGATTGGTATCCGGAGATTTTAGTGGCCATTGTGTGCTGGAAACGAAGCGAGAAACCTCTTTTTGTAACCAAACTTGGATGGCGCGTGCTGAGTCCTGTTGGAATGTTCAAGGTCTGAGGCCAAAATTTTTGCGTGTCGAAGGCTTTAATACACACTCCATAATATTTTCGCGATAATATTCGGCATTTATTTTGATATCACGGTCGATTAATACGAGCGGAGAGCGAACATCGGCTGTTATGGCGGCACACACCATCACCATGGCCAGTACTTGAGTTCTGGTAGCCAACCGAAGGTGCACATTTTCAGCTGACCTCTTTGGCAAGTAAACACGATCATTTTGTTTGTTTACAAACAGCTGGACAACGAATATTTTCTCATCGGAGACGGAGAAAACCAAATTCGGCAGTTCACCACTTTCGGCCAAGCTCTTTTAAGTCTATTTTCTTTCTGTTGCGGTGTAAGTTCTTGCACTTTTTGGAATTTCAATGGCTTTAGCCCGAGCTCATTTTTCAATATTTGCCGAATGGAATATGTTGTGCAATATGTTCAGCTCACGACCCATTTTTTGGGCGCGGGTTTTGATCTAGTCGCTTCTTTACTTTTCGAACCATTTCTGGCGATGTTGCTGTTTTCTTCCGTCCACTTTCTTAACTTAGGGCTACGCTACCTATATTACGGTAACGAGCGATGCTACGAGACACAAAAGATTTATTCATATTTAAATGCCGGAGTGCTCTGACGATAGCCACTTATGGTTTTCCAGCCAAATATAAAGAAATCACACTGTCACGCTTGAATTCCATCAAATTTTTTTTTGGAAAATTCTCACCAAAATGCTTCTGCACGCTTGTAAACTGTCTGTCTTTGGAATAATTTTAACACCTGTGTGACTCGAAGTGGCTTAGAAATGACGGCAGTCTAAAGTTGGTTGCAGTTTTTTCATCTCCACCTGCATTTCTTAATCTGACATGAATATGCAATTTATCGAAATTTATGATTTCGCATAAAATTGAATATAAATGTTCGATTTCCTTCAAATTTTGAAAACGCCAATATTTTTTATCTGTATTAGTCGAAGTATGGAAATGGAATCCTTCGGTCCGCTATATCTTCCACCATTTAAAAAATTTGCACATATCTCATATAAAGTATAGGAAGTAGTCGATATATTAAAATCGATAGCATTGCTACTATCTGTAAGACTTAGAGATCCCTTTATTTTGGTCGTTAAAAAAAATCGTTAATTACCGAAATTTTACGAATTTTAATTTTAGCGATTTTTTTGGGTAACTCAAAAAATGAGTTAGAAAATCCCGTCCCGATACCCGCTTCGAAATCAATCTCAGATGACTTAATGGTTAATATACCTTTATTAACAACAATTAAATTTATTCTTACACAGCTAATTAAACTATTATAACAATTTGACACCAATACTCAACTAAACCTAATGACATCGAATTTTTCGTCTTCTTCGTTGCTTCTCTAACCACTAAACGTTCCATATAAAAATATATATCTTGTACTTGTCTCTAATCCTTGTAAACATAAAAAAAAAAACATAAATTATTTGGCAAAAACAGATTACATTTCATCGTCGCTATTTTGAGTACACAGCACCTGCTCCTGCCACCAATCATGTACCTCGTAGACCGCATTCGCTTGATTATTGAAGGGTAATAACTTGGTGCCGGGTATTATGTGAGGCATCAGACCCGATGGACTACCCAAGGCCGGTATGTGACCATGATCGAAATGATTCAGTGTTGGATAATGGAATTGACTGATGTCACCCGCAAAGAAACTATTCTTTTTATGGCCCGGCAATGCTGGCAGCGGAACTACGGGCAGGGTACTGGTTGTCATGGAATTTTTCTTTTTCTGCTGATTGGCAATGTGTAAACGTTCCTTGTCCGTGAGCGTTGAACGTTGGGGATCGGAGGATGTTGGTGCAAGGAATTTGCGTCCAGCGCTACTTCCCGTGGAATCGGAGCGATTAAGGGCATAGCCTCGTTTGGTGCTGGTAATGATGCGCTGTGTAGCCTGTACAGTAGATGTTTCGGCAGTGGCGCCCGCCCCGGGTGTTGATGCCATGGCACTGGTGCTGACATCCTTCTCTTCGTTCTCCGTCGAACTAAAGGTTGGCGAAAAGGCATCACTGGTGGGTGGACATGTGGCAGCTGCCACAGTACCGCTTATTGTGGCAATGACCGATTTGTCACCCAGAGCAGTGGGGGTTTTGTCTTCTTGTACACTGGGTCGTATTATCGGCTCATTTGTGGCACGCAGGCCAGCTATGAGGGAATTTTGTTGCTTCTGAAAAGGCAGGAGTGCATTGTGGGTATCATTGTAGGATACGTTTCAGAATGTTAACTTACATAGGCATTTTGAGCTCTTATCTTCTTGAGGCAACCCTCCAACCAATGGCGTATTGTCATTTTGGCCACTTCTTCTTCCACCAGATATTCAAATTCTTCACGGGCCAGCAATTCCTCCAGCTGTAAGGCCTTACGAATATCCACGGATCTATATGAGAGCATGCTAAAAACGAGACAAAACAAATCATGATTAAAATTTTTCAATTCGAAATAAATGTTTTTCGAATTTTTACTTGATCACATCATGGAAGGTAACATCTTCACCATTGTGCAGTTTATCCAGTTCATAGCACATGTATTTGAATAACAGTCGATCTTTTTGCGGATCACACTCCAAACGTCCTTTGAGCAAACGCAATATGAATTTTACACGACGTACCGGTATGACACCACGCTGATGGATATCCACAATGTTCCAGGTGTTTTGGAAATTACGTATATCTGCATAGGAGAGCAGGGCATCCTCTTCGTTCGAGTAGAACAGTGAAAAGTTCTCCATGATAATAGCTGGAGGATAGAATCAACAGAATATTAACTTGTAAATAAATACGCCAAGGTCATTTTATACTAACCCACTAGCAAATTCAGCACTATATAGGTTATAATGACGTAGAATGTGCAGAAATAGATGAGGCTTGCCGTGAAGTTTCCTGAAAAAAATGATAAAAAGTTATTAGAAATGTTTAAAATGACACAATGTAAGGTAAAACATTGATGTCGCCCAGCATGAAATTTGAACAAGTAAAATAGTATCAGTCGGTTTTGCCGACAGATGTATACCTCAAGCCTTGCGTTATGATTATTCAAACTGTTGACTCTTTATGGGGGAGATTCTGTAGCAGTTGGCCAATATTGACCAAAATGTTGACCCTTTGTAGGGAAGGTACCAGAAGAAGTGGATCGATATATACCATCTTCATACCAGACCTTTGGTTTATAAAAATATTGGAATTTGTGTAATTTGAAGACAATCGGACTCTTACATCACATTTTATAAGAGTTATAGTTATTCCAAATTTTCACCCTTTGTGGGGGGGTACTTGATGGAGTGGACCGATATAGTTCATTTTCACACCTGACCTCGCACTGATGCAAGTATTAGGATTTGCAAAGTTAGAGCAAATCGGAGTATCCCTTCTCTTTCTGTGCAGTAAATATTTTATTGAAAATTTCGACCTTTTGTGGGAAGGTACCAGAAGGAGTTGACTGTTATTGCCCATCTCCGAACTCGATCTAATTTTGGCAATAATATTACGATGTACCAAGTTTGGATCAAATCGGATACTCCCTTCGAGAGTTATCGAGCGCACCAGCCAAACAAACAGACGGACAGACATCGCTAGATCGTCCTGAAACGGATTTTGTCCAAAGAGACCTAGGGTCTAAAACCGTTGTTTCGATGAGGCACGATTTTCTCGAAAGTTTGCATGACTACAACGAACAGACAGACGGGCTTAATCGACCTGGAATTTTACGCTGATATAGAATATATCATTTGTATGACCTAAAATGAGTATTCCGAGGAGTCACAAACGGGATGACAAAGTTAATATATCCTCCAAAGGTGGTGAAGGATATAAAAAGGATATTCGTTTAAAAACATTTTCCGCCATGATTGCCTTTATGGATGTTTCATGGATTTCAGATCACATGTTATTCATTTATGGCGCCCAACCTTTTGTATGATCTAAGTATTAAAGAACAATATGAAATAGTTTAAAATACCCAATATTCAATAGCTTTGCAATATCGATGTTGGGCGCCATGCAAGATATTATAGCAATATATCCAATGTCTATGACCAATCCAAAAATCCGACTCCGATTTATGACAATTGGGTATCCGTATTAAGAATATGTTAAAATTTTAAGAGGCCCATGCGTCTGCGAACAAAATGAAAACAATATTGGGTTCTTTTGAAATGAGGATGTTCAAGCGGCGACTTTTAGAAAAGTGTTCACACTTTGAGAAAGCAAACCTGTTTGTTCTACGACAAGCCCATAGGTTACGGATACTAGAAGACCCAGTTGATATATTACGTACTGCTCATTTGAAAAGAGAGTCTCGAAAAGTTTTCTTATCTGGCACTATAGCAGCGGTTTAAAGAGGTGACTAGATCGACGAGACAAAACATCGTGTTGACATTAACAGAACTCCATATCTCTGGAATGTTACTTGACCACGTGCCTTCCCGTGTTTAAGACTCGTAGCCTGTGAACCTATTACATCATGAAATCAGCTATATTTGTTACGTTGGGCGCCATATGTATTACATTTTGTTTAAATAAATTTAAATAAATCAGTTAATATAATGAAAATGGATTAGTTGGGCGCCATCGTTGAATGCTATTGCAATTCAAATAAAAAATGTTTCACATAACCAATATTTGACTTTCAAATTCAACTGGGAGAATTAAAAAGGTAATGTCTTGCAATCATATGTTTACATTTTTTTTTTCAAAATTATTCAAAATTAATATTTAAAAATCTATATGTTGGATATATGTTGTCTAGGCAGTAAAATTTGACCAGGGGATGGATATGCTTATTTGAAATGACTTTACCTACTTAATTTGACCATGGATGGAACAAACCACTTTCAAAGGCATTCTCATACTTACCACAATCGGTTTCCCAGTAATTTTTCCCCGGTGTACAATACGGCGGCTGGACCATACAATCGTGCATTATCTTATTCCAATCTTCACCGGTGACAATACGAAATAGCATAGCAACACCTGTAACGGGGGAACCAAAATTTGCTCTTCGTCCAATGCCTTCGCCATATTTGACAGTACCTAAAATGTTGTCAAGAAGAAAAAGTTAAAATTTACATTTAAAAGGGAGTTAGCGCTTAGAATACTGGAAATTAATATTTTCACAATTCTTAAGGCCAGGTGCTGGATTTCTTGTTCTATAAAATTCTTAAAGGACAAAAATATAATTTAACATTTTTCTCCTTTGTACATTTTTTCAAGTACTAGGTATGAGCCGGATTCCAACTTTCTGAATAAATCGAAAACAAATGTTGAACTTTGATATCTCGATCAAGCCCTAGATAAGGTCGACCAGAAAGCCCATCTGAAAACCATGTTTGCTGTCAAAAACATAACTGTGATTTGAAATTCAAAGAGAGTCATATCACAATAGTGTAAAAGCTACTATATTTATTGTCAAAAGTAGTCTTCCTGGCCGATATTATGTAGGCCTTGATCCCGATTTAAGCTAAATACGAAACTCAGATGTAGTTTTTATATTTTTTAACAGCCATATAATCCCCGAAAGCGAACATAACGAATTGCTATACGACGCGTCCACAGGTTGCGGATGGTGCAAAGCAGTCAGTGACAAGCAACGGGTCTGAGGGAAATTTATAGTTAGTACTTAGTAGCGAATCCGTTTATTTTTATACCCTCAGCCATATGGCTAGAGAGAGCATATATCATTTGATACGATCAAAACGTGGCTAGACGAAATAATTGTTTTAGACCCTGGGTCTCTTTGGACTTAATCCGTTTCAGGACATTTGGAATCGATCTAGTCGTCTGTCTGGTGCGCACGATAACTCTCGAAGGGAGTATCCGATTTGGTACATCGTAATATTTTTGTCAAACTTAGATCGAGTTCGGAGATGGCCAATATCGGTACACTACTTCTGGTACCTCCCCCACAAAAGGCCAACATTTATATATATTTTCAGCACAGAAAGAGAAGCGATATTGTTCGTACATCTAAAGAAAAAAGCCAAACTCGTACACTTCGTATAATTTAAAGTATTTCTAGACATTAATATTTTGTATGAATTCCTTTACATTTTTTACCATTTGTAGCCTATTTGGCATAGATTCAATTTTTTGCCACTCTTCCAACAAAGCTTTCTTCAAATCTTCTTTGCAAGATATGGTATGCTGGCGGATTTTTCCATCGATATAGCTCCGGTTTATGTCTGGACTCTGGGCTGGTGTATCCATGATGTGGGGACAATTATATAGCAGCCATGACCGCACTTTATAAACCTTGTGTTTCGGATCATTGTCTTAATCTTCGCCAAGGCCGAGCTTTTCCATACAGAGTGGCAAATTTTCTTTCAAAATGTTAAGGTATATAGTCTGATCCATAATAATAAAATGCAATACACCAGGTCCAGAGGCTGAAAATGAACCCCACACCATTACTGATCCACCACCGTTCGTCACTGTGGGCTTCATTTGCCCTTCTCCATATATAAGGTCTGCCATCTGAAGCAGACATTTTAAATTTGCTCTCGTCCGTGAACAGCACATTCTTCCAAAATGAAACATCTTTTGGTATGTGCTCCTTGGCAAATCGCAATCTTACTTCTTGATTTCACTTGCTGATAGGAGGTTTATGTCTAGCTCTTCTTCCATTGTAATTCGACTTATGCAGTACATTTCTTGTTGTTTGGGGCCAACCTACTTTTTTCAAATCCCTTTCAACAATTTTTGCGAGCTTTGGTGCACTCAAAAATTGATCCTTTTCGATTTGCCGTAAAATATACTTCTCATCACACAAGGTAAATATTTTATTATTTGACGATTTTACTTATTTTCTACTCATCCATATGTTTTGAACAGTTTTATGATGTACTGGACTGTAGATCGGCTTCTTTTAACAATCTCAGATATCTCACTTAGCGGTTTACCGTTTTTCTAATTTTTAATTACTAAATTTCTCACTTCAACAGTGGTTTAGGCTCGTTGTCTTCCCATTTTAATTTTTTTTTTAATATTTACGTCGGTAAATTACACAACACGTGGAAATTTGTGATAAATTAGCTTTGAGGGACATCCCCAAATACATTTTCCAACAAGGTAAATATTTTATTATTCGACGTTTTTTTATTATTTTCCACACATCCATCTGTTTTGAACCGTTTTATAATATACTGAACTGTGAATCGGCTTCTATTAACAATCTCAGATATCTTACTTAGCGATTTATGGTTTTCGCGTGAAGTTGGTTGCAGTTCGGAACAGGGTTGCCGTATAAATGAAAGCTATACAAGTTTAGCTTTTGCATAGAAATTTGATGAGTTTTAGAATAAATGCCATTATTTTGTTAAATAAATAAAAAAGAGTAAACTTTTGTTCTACGGCTAGTTCTAGTACCCTATACACTAATAAAAAATATATGTTTCTTCTGGTAGTGAATTTGATAACAATCATAAATTGCATGCAAGAAAATTGTTTGCGAAGTGTACGAGTTTCGCTTTGAGGTATTGGAATTCTTTGAAAAATGTTAGACAGCTACAACTCTGATTCCAGGTAATTTTTCTTATGTAAATGCCAGTTTAAGGCACCAAAATGTTAGGAAATGTAATGGAAATATCAAAATTAACCTAGAAATCACAATTCTACTTAATATATCGTTCAGCACGCCATAAATGATCTTAATAAAAACGATCGGAATATAAAATAGGAGTACTTGAAGAATAAGTACAATGGCTTAATTAAACTGTTGCAGTATTCCATAATAAATTACTTTGCATGAATTTCATTAAATTTCTAATCTTGCGAAGATTTACAGTTTCTTGCTTAAAATTGTTCATTATAAATGTAAAATGAAGTGATAAGTCAGATTTTTCTTAAATATCATAATCTTGCTTACCAAATAGTATCGTTCCAGCCAAGGCATAAAAGAACACCAGCAGAAACATGCCAAATATGATAAAGAACGATTTACACACAGACACGCCAACTGTCAACATCAACATTTTTAGTGTGGTGTGTTTGCCGGTAATGGTGAAAAATCTCAAAATCACCACCATAAAACCAAAGAAGTATGATAAGTCATTCTGAAAGATAAATTTAAAAGTTAATATTAATCTCAAAAATAAAGAAGAAATTCAAAATATTTACCCTTAAAATAGTTTGTAGAAATATCCAAACTACTCCGGATACTGTTACCAAAAGATCATAACGATTGCGGCGTGACTGCCAATAGCCGCGTGGTGTGAAGGCGATAATTTTCATCACCACCTCGACCACAAAGACAAATGTCAGTGTGACACTGAGCAAAATGCATATTTCCGTAATGCTTTCACCTTTTATCCACTAAAATACGGAAGAGAGTGTATTTATTAAATAATTTTTTTAACTATTTTGTTTATGATTATTTTATCGTTGGCTGAATGAAACGTGAAAAAGCAACACTGTTGTCAGCTACAACTGGCAACACTGTTTTACTTTCACACCAAAGTCAACGATTTAAGCGTTGATCTATTTCACCCTTTATTTCTGGTTTCATCGACTTACCGTTATCGATAACAATGCACTGTTGATCAAAACAATTGCCGCTATAAAACGTTTAAAGTAAATATGTTGCGTGACATCATAAGCAAATGCCCGAACTTTGCGACCATCCGGTCTAGGTGGCAAATGCAAGGGTTGAGCAATTTTCAATCTCTTTTTCAAATCACACCAACGTCTCTGATCGACAGTTAGAAGAGCTGTACCCTTATTCTCCGAATAGTTGGCAATGACAACGCCCACGAATAGGGTTAGACCAATCATACAGCCCAAGAAAATATAGATGTGAATGTAGACGGCTTGAATCTATAAAAAAATTAATGAAAAAAATGAAAAAGTATAGCATTATTTCAGAGAGCATCTGGTCATAATAGCCGCACTTCCCTTACTCACGCGGAAATCAATTGCACTGCATCCCTAACGAACTACGATTTTGCAATGCACTCTTCGCCAGAGTCGTCGGAGTGCGGATAAAGTTTTACAGTTCACGAACGAACTGTTTCGATTATACGATTCATTGTATGGAGCGTGTGAACTAAGCCAAAAAATGTAGTTCATTTTAATTCACTGAACTAAAACTAGAACTATATTTATGTACTTGCTCAGTTAAAGGAGATGAAGTAGGTGGAACGCTCGGTGTAATGAACTAGATTTTAAAAATCTATGTATGAAACTCCACCGCAGTCTAGTGAACCACCTCTACTGCAGAACATCATGCAAAATGTTGCGGTTTCACCTACTGAATGTGTATCATTTTAGTAATTCCCTTCCAACGGACTCTGAGGCAAGACAGAAAAGATAATGGATTTTATGAAGTGGAGGAATATTTTGCTTGCAGCACTGCACAAAACGAATCTCAATGAAATTGCAGGCATCATTATGGTTACCACGCATCGAGGAAGGATCGCCCCAAAGGCGGAGGTGGGGATTAGCTTTTTCTGTTACATTATTCTGTTCAATACTGGCCTATCTCGCTTGTGCCAGTCTCTAGTGAATCATACATGGAATGTATGGGCGTACCAGTCAAGTGTGGATCTTGCCAAGGTAGAGATGCTTAATGTGAATATCCCGCTGATTAATATCTGGGAACCGCTGTTGGTAGGCAATAACCGCTTGGTACAAGAGGATTTTAATCCCATTATGCGTTGTGGCATTCCGTCAGAAGTAATAACCGGAGGGGATCAACACTGGAAGAGCAGATTTAACCATAGTATCACCCATTACGTGACTTGACAATAACATGTCTGAAGCTATTCAGTTGCCTACCATCAGTATGGATTCTGACCACAACAGTATTCCACGCCATATGCACACATATTAGACGAGGATTGAACCAGAATAAGCCGCATAATAGAACAGTATTGGTAGTCCAAGACTTATGAAAGGCGTTTAATACCCAATTACCCCACATTCTTTGAGGATGTTGGGAAAACTACACTTCGTCTAATTTTGAAAGGTTGGATCATCAACTGTATGTGTGGACGACAGTCGTACGTGGAATTCCGAAACCCGAAGTCCAAACCCCGTAGAGTGGATCTAGGAGTTCCCCAAAATGGGGTGATATCTGTGTAACTGTTTAACCGCTACCTTACTCGCCCTCCAGATGACACAGATATCATAGCGTAAGCGGTCGCACGGTCATGTCGTCGGGTCTTATTTTTTGATGAATATGACGAATAACTGCTGAATTTTTATCACCCGGATCCTAACGGCTTCTTCCACGAGAGGAAAATATCCACCACTAAGTCAACAGCTACACCCTTTACTATATAGTCTGCGGAGATAAGAACACAGCTGAGTGTGCACGTCTAGAGAATTGAATGATCTAAGATCCTAGAAATACTTGGACACGAACAAGAAGACCTTGTTGACTTCTTACAGCGCTATAAGTCAGGCTGGGGGTGTGGTCGAAGTGCGATCTGCGAATGCAACGCTTTGGAAGAGTATCCAAACATGCCCAACTTTATAAGAGAGAGCCTCCAGATCAAAACGCCTTTTAGACAAGACTGAATGGCATTCATAAAAATGTCGTCCTCGGAGTGCACCCCCTATAAACTGCAGTTGAAAAAAACGTCGGCTACCTAATCAAACCATTGTAGTTTTGGTTCAACTTCGTTCAGAATTTTTCGAGAATTGATGAAGATGTGCAAAACGACTGTCCAGAGCGCGATACACCACCACTTTACACCCTTTTAATAACCCTGCCAAGCCCGAAGAACTTTTTGAACCTGACTTTTTGAATTTGGAGTTAGAACCAGACTAGCAGAAAGCAACACGCAACATATGTTGATGTTACACCAACTACAACAAGTTCGTCAATTTTTTTTACTTATCCTAACTTAAGTGAGCCGAGCGTAGCTGTGTACCAGTCCTCTGAAAGAATAGAAGACTGCCATTCCCGTGAAGCAGGCCCAGCTCGTTCAGCCTGGAAAGGACAACTGGAGGCAAATGCTTCCGAGCTCAAAGCTGGTCCGCTATTATCTATGAGCTGACATCTGTCTAAAAATGCCAGCCCAGTCTTCGTCATAAAGACGTCTGAATTTTCGTTCTATCGTAGATCGACCTATAAGAATGGGCCCTATAGGAGCAATTTGCCCCACGGGGGCGGAGGCCCAGACAGGAGGATACTATTTTTCTTTCCCACAACCTTAACTTTTCCATCTGGTGAGACGAAAATCAAATCTGACGAGGAAGGTATAGGCAACGATGGGTCTGATTACCTGCCGGTAGATCAAGAGGAAACCTTGAGGAACCCATGCCAATTCATCACATAGGTTAGAAGAGTATTCACACTGACGCACACCAACGGTTTATTGGACAGCTAAATGGATCCAGCACTGTGTACAGCCCTTTACCGAACAAAAAAAAAACAAATTTGAAATTTCGGATAACTTACCGGTCCAACAGCTTTAATTAGTACATCTCTCACATCCAGCCATCCCTTGAATGATAGGACCTCGAACAACGTCAACATAGCATCGCCAATATTATCGAAATTAAATCGTCTTGGATTTGCCCAGACCCGGGGAACCAACATTGCCGGAAAGGATTCTCCCTCGCCCAGGGTCAACTTCATTTTCGTTACAAATACCCGACGCATAAACACACCCACACAATCTTGACGTCTTGTGATTGTCGGATCATTACAACGTGCCAAACGGCCACCATACAATTGCACGCCATAGCTGGCAAAGATGAACATCAGCAGTATCAGGAGGGTGGATACCAAGAGGATTTCTTTGAAGCCACGGCATAATTCATAGACCACTTTACGCATGTGCGGTACCAAAGTGAATATTCTCAGCGGTCGTATGCAACGCAGGACCATTAGTAATTGGGCCGCCGAATTTGTGGGAACTTGTTTGGGCATCCAACATAGGAACAGGGTCGATACAATGTAAATGAAGACATCTAAAACGGCTGCCACATCTTTGATGTAGGCCTTTGGGGTGAAAAATAAACCATCGGCCAGGATTTTCAAAGCCAATTCCAGGCTCATAAAAATGACAAAGGTATATTCGGCTATTTGCAAGGTAGGATGATCCATCACTCGATCATTGGGCGTCTCGAACATCATTGAAATGCAGGAGAGAGTGGTCACGAATATCATTACCCAATCCAAGTAGGTGACGAGGCCCAAGAAGTTGCTAAGAAAGATAAAACAACGTTTATTAAATTGTTTAAAGCATTAAATGTATTCCACTTACTGCAAACTCTTATACTGCACCTTGCGTTCCTTTCCCGTCAGCGGATCCTTGAGCCGAGCATCGTAACGCCCATGCACAATCTTCTGACAAATCTTGCGAAAACGACTCTCCCGCGGCACCAAAAACAATGGCGTATCGAAAAATGGATGATTCTCACGCAAATCCTCCTCCCGCTGATTTCGTCTCATTTCAGCCTGTTGCCGCTTGGCCTGCAACAATTTAATGTCCAAATCATGTGGCCTCGCTCTACCAGAATTTGCCCTCGGCGCTGAGGCAATGTCTCCGTTTTCCATCAGATGTTCATAGGTTTGTTTCAGCTTTATCGAACCCGATCGTACGCTACGTCGAATGGAACGTGATCCAAATCTGTGAAATATTAATTTATATTTGCAAGTACTAAACTACGTTAAGTTCGGAGAGGCCGAAACTTGTGGGAAACCCCCCTATTATGGTATGCGAAGGGGGAAAATTTTTTCAATTTCCAATTAAGTAAAGCATGTGGGCAGGGAATGAAAAGCTCGGAAGAATAATTATTTGAGGGAAATGTTGGGAATGAAGAATACTTTGAAATCAAAACCCCTGACTACCCCGGATAACAAAGACTTGTGTTCGGAAGTGGGAGAATTTATGATATATCATTAAGATCCGAACTGTGGTGCTCAACCTTACACATACATGTCATCAAGCACAAGAACCTATGATCGTACAATAATCCTCATACGTTACGATCTCTATGTCATCTGAAAGACGAGGAATTACGAAAAGGTTTCGACTGCGCAATTCCAGAGATATTACCCAACCTTGCCATTTCATGTAGCGGGTCGGGAAATTCCCTGTTTCATTCTACGTGGTTTGAATTTCTGGTTCCGGATATCAGCTATTTAGTCAACAGCCACACTCATTATCACATGGTCTGCGGAGATGAGAACACAGCTGAATATGCTGGTAGAGGGAAATCCTAGGGATCATATTAAACAACATGTTGAAGCCGTCCGGGCAAATCACACCTGAATTGAAAAGTTAGAACAATATCTTCAAGACACTAGCAGACACCACCAAGTGCATGTCTAAGGAACCTGTTGATCTCTTATAACGGCTGGGGAAGTTTTGCGGCTCCAATGAGGTCTGACTATACTAGTGCTAAATGTTGGGCGCCAATTAAATCAAACCGTTCCAAATGAAATATTTGCTAGCTTAAGTTTAAAACGTTGGGCGCCAACCGCACTGTGTGACGGCGGAAGTCATTTGTTCATTTTCGCACACATCCTAATGGTAACGAAATTCATTTATTTTGTTGTTTTGGATTTTGAAATACTTTGTTGTTCTTTAACCTAAATTTTAATGTTCTGTTCCAAAACCTGTAAGAATCTACCAGTTTTGAAATTTTTTTCCATAACATAAAGGGGAAATCTGATGTGGTAGTAAAAAACAGTTCTGTAATGACCATAAAAGGCTAAATTTCCTCATATCAGTTTAGCTATTCATTTTGTGAGGAGACCTCATTAGATAATTACCCTGAATCATCGATTGGACCTCCTTGTTGTCATTCATGAAATGAGATCAACACAAGTTACCGGTAGGTCACTGCAACCAACGTCATTCGATCAGAACAAGTAGCAACAATACGCCTGCGTAACAAAAGGGAATGGATTGGTTGGTTATAACAACCGTTAGAAGCATCTGAGTTATGAATGGCATGTATATTTTCGCACCCCTACGAAGCGTTGTGCTGCAGAACGAGTTTCATAAGCCATCAACCGTAAACGGCAGCTAACAAAGGCTTTACGACAGATTTATAGATATTTGGCTATTTGAGAATGTCATGGAAATATCTTCGCCGACATTGGACGCATTTTTTATACCCCCAGGTATATGGCTAGAGAGGATATACATCATTTGATACGGCCAAAACGTGCCTCATCGAAATAACGGTTTTAGACCCTAGATTTCTTTGGACCAAATCAATTTCAGGACATTTGGAGTTGATCTAGCGATGTCCGTCCGTAAGTCTGTCTGGCTGTTGCACACGCTAACTCTCGAAGGGAGTATCCAATTTGATCCAAACTTGATACATCGTAATATAATTATCGAACTTAGATCGAGTTCGGAGATGGGCAATATCGGCCCACTCCTTCTGGTACCTTCCTCACAAAATGTCAACATTTTCGAAGAAAATGATTTACTGAAAAAAAAAGTAAAGGATAATCCGCTTTTGCTCCAACTTTGCGAATTCTAAAATTTGCATCAGTGCTAGGTCAGGTGCGAAAATGGAAAATATCGATTCACTCCATCAAGTACCTCCCCCACAAAGGGTTAATTTTGAATTATTGCAACTCTTATAAAATGCTGTGAAGATGGGATATATAGATCCATTCCTTCTGGTACCTCCCCCACAAAGGGTCAAAATTTGGATTATCCATGAAGCTCATAAAACGCGAAATAAGCATCCGATTCCATTTAAACTTGGTACATCTCAATATTTTTATCAACACAATATCTGCTATAAAGATGATAGAGATCGGACCATTCCTTCTGGAACCCCCCACACAAAGGGTCAACATTTTGAATATCCAAAAGGTTCATAACATCCGAAATAAACATCCGGTTCTCTTCATATTTCACAAATCAAATTATTTCTACTAATACAAGATATGCTCTGAAGATGGCACATTGCAATATTTTTATCATATTTATTTAGATCCGATACGATATGAAAATATTGACCCATTCCTTCGGAACATACTCCATAGAGAGTCAGCAATTTGAATAATCATTACAGAAGTAAAAATATATTTAAACAATCGAACATTGGCTAGGGGTATGTCGGCAATAACGACTGACACTTTTCAACTTCATTTTTTTAGCTCCATATACTTTTCGAATATGGCGGAAATATGGTCATATTTATAATTAATTTTTAAAATATTTTTACAGAACTCTTTTTAGAACTTTTTTTGTTCTGAAACGCTTATAACTAACCATATTCAATGTTTCAATTTTAAAATTGGCAATTTTGATGGGAAAAAACTAATACTTCAAATTAATCTTGTGATTTGACCCCTGTGTGCGTTGGGCGCCATCTGCACTTCCAACTCCATGCCATATATTAACAATTCTATCTCGCAGAACATAAATTATTTACATTTATGCACGTAGCAATCCATAAATTAATTCAGTTCAAAGGTCGAAACTAGAACACTTTTTTAAAAAAATTGAGAAAACATCCTGGTTAAAGTTAGACCGGTTTCCCCATTTTCCCATTTCAATTACAGAACACAGTTGTTCCACCTAAAGATTTTATATGTGTATGCTTAGCCCTAGAGCAAATTTTAGACAATATTTTTTCGAATTTCTCAAGCATATGATAATTTTGAGATTAATCAATAATTCGCTTTCGCGGAACTCATTCTTAGAACTATTAACTTACTTCTTTTGGTCCACACGCCATGGTTTCGAATGCGTTATAGTACCCTGGGATTTTAGGCCGCATTTTCCACCCACCACCGGTAACATGGCCGAATCGCCCAACATCAAACGTTGATTATTCGAATCACTTAAAGAATTTGTGTCAGAACTTTAATGAGAAATTTGCCGGAGCCGTTAATGCAAGCCTTCAAGTACTTACTTGATTATATGGGTTATGGCCAATTTTCTCAAACTGCTGCCGGCCGAGCGCACCTTGGCCGTTTCATTCATAATCCGAACAGGTTTCTGTTTACGAAATGCCCTCGACGATTCCCAGTATTCCGAGGTGGGCCTCTTGCAACTCTCCATCGAGGGGTCGTCGCTTTCCAGTTCGATAACAAATTGTTTCATAAAAGACTCCCTCACCTTGGGCAGCGTAAAGTCATTGGGTATTCGATGCAGTATTGTCATCTGTGGCGATTGCGGGAATTTCTCGAAAATTCTCAAACGAAACGGCAATGTCTCCTTGATTTCGGCACTTTGTTCCCGAAATTTCAATTGCTTCAATTTCTTAATGTCCTCATCTAACTCCAAATTATCCAAAATAACCGCCACGAACAAACTCAGCACGATAAGGGTTACGAACAAATGATAGAGTATAAAATATATGGCCACTAGAGGAGTTAGAGTTTTACTGGTGCGTATCATGGTCTCGTCCATGACCTCAACCCAGGCTTCTTGAGTCAAAATTTGGAACATAGACATGAAGGCTTCGGGGAATGTTTCGAATTTGGTGAAATCGCAAAGGAAGCAAAACAACTGCATTGAAATGCTGGAGCTTATGATCAGCAAGCAAACGGTAAAGGTGATGAGAGATCCTAACTTTTTTCCAGGGCCGAAGATTTTGTATACAAAACCCTCCAGCATGGGTGAGGCTTTGATGAGACGTACCACACGGAGAACCTGAAAGGAGAGGGAAAATGGTATTGTTAAATAAATGGAGACTAAAGGTGAGAATACATAAAACGCTTTTTTGACTGCCTTCTTCGAAAATGAACAAAGGGCCAAAATCGAACTAAGTCAACCTAAAACTCTTTTGTTTCTCTACGAAGAAGCCAGCCAAATAAGCGTTTTTTGTATTCCCACCTTAAGTCTTTTCCTCAACCTCACCTGAAAATATGTAAATCCCGACAGATAAAAATATGGCACAATATGTATGGTGGTGCCCACAGCCAGCAGCAATTCGAATTTATGAATGGAATGTTTATAGTAACCACGCCATCCCAAACAGTAGATCTTAAACAGTGTCTCCAAATCCAAAAGGAACGTGAAGACAGCTTCAATATAATAGTATCTCTCATAGAATACGTGGCGCGGTCGACCATCATGTTGAAATGTCATCGTTGCCGTCACAATACCATTTGCCAGAATAATCGACATTACCAACATACGAAAATAGGGAGATCGCAAGATGGCATGACACGTTTCCGGAGCCAGTCCTCCATGTTTACTGTCATCAATGGTTACCAAACGCCAGCCCTGATCATTTCCGCTGAGAATTTGTGATGCCGCCGTCTTTTGTATGTGACCCCGGGCACCCCACATTTGTTGGAATTGTACACGAATCTCATTGAACGTTTCCGTAATGACAGCAATGAAAACGTTCTTCACCAACCACGCCAGGAAGAAGATCATGGTACTGAAGAAAAAGTTAAAGGAATAATTTATATCATTAGAATTTTCACAAGATTTTCGTAGGCCTATGGAATTGAATGGAGTGGATTCGTAGTTTGAACTCCCAAATACAAAACCGCACGATATAATTGAGTGAGATTCCGCTTGCAATAATTACTTCTCTTAGTCTTCCCTGAATATTTAATAAATAATTGATCTCCACCGTCTTTATAACAGATCTTGTGTTGATAGAAATATTGAGATGTACCAAGTCTGAATTGAATCGGATGTCAATTTCGCGTTATACGACCTTCATGGGTATTCAAAACTTTGACCCACTGTGGAGGAGGTACCAGAAGGAGTGAACCGAAAATATTGGGATGTGTGTAATTTGACGAGAACTGGATGCTTATTTTGGATTTTATGATTGTTTTGGTTATTCAAAACTTCGAACCTTTGTGAGGAGGTACCGGAAGATATGGTCCGATCTCTAGCATCTTTATAACAGTTCTTATGTTGATGGAAATATTGAGATTTATCAAGTCTTAATGCAATTCGGTGATAATTTCGCATTTTATGAGCTTCATGGATATTCAAAATTATGACCCTTTGTAGAGGAGGTACCAGAATGAGTGGACCGATATATTCCATCTTCACACCAGATCTTGGGTTTATAAAAATAATGGGATGTATATAATTTGACGAGAACTGGATGCTTACTTCGGATTTTATGATCGTTTTGGTTATTCAAAACTTCCACCCTTTGTGGGGAGGTACCAGAAGATATGGTCCGATCTCTACCATCTTTATAACAAATCTTATGTTGATGGACATATATTGAGATTTATCAAGTCTGAATGCAATTGGGTGTTAATTTCGCGTTATATGGCCTTCATGGGTATTTAAAACTTTGACCCTTTGTAGGGGAGGTACCAGAAGGAGTGAAACGATATATAACATCTTCACACCAGACCTTGGGATAAGAAAAGTATTTTCATGTGTGTAATTTGAAGACAATCGGACACTTACATCACATTTTATAAGAGTTATAATTATTCAAAATTTTGACCCTTTATCCATTGTCCGTACCTGACCTAGCACTGATACAAATATTAGGATTCGCAAAGTTGGGGCGAAATCGGATTATACTTTCACTTTCTGTGCAGTAAATTATTTTCTTTGAAAATGCTGACATTTTGTGGGGGCGGGGTGGTACCAGAAGGGGTGGACCGATATTGCCCGAATTCGATCTAAGTTTGACAATAATAATCGTGTGCACCAGTCAGCCAGACAGACCGATGGACGGACATCACCAGATCGACTCCAAATGTCCTGAAACGGATTTGGTCCGCAGAGATCTATCTGTCTGTTGAAATCAAGATACAGCCCACATTATTTGACGTAGAGCTTCAAAATTTAGCAGAACAATTTGTATTGTGTCTAGGATGGTTAGTATGGAAAATGAGACATATAGGTCCACGTTTTGGTATAGCCGCCATATAACGGTACCTCCCGATATTCGGTATTTTGACATTTTTCCACGGATTTACCTTAAAATTGGTATTTGTAGTTTCTAATGGGTTCTAGCCCCTGTGGTGGAACATAGAATGAATAGGTCCAGGTTTTGGTATAGCCCCCATTTAACGGTACCTCCTAATATTCGGTATTTTGATGGTTTTTGCCACATTTTTCCACGGATTTGTCCAAAAGTTGATATTTGTAGGTCATAATGGGTTCTAGCTCCTGTGGCGAAACATTGTATGTATAGGTCCACGTTTTTGTATAGCCCCCATATAATGGTACCTCCCGATATTCAGTATTTTGATGATTTTTGCCACATTTTTTTCATGGATTTGTAAAGAAAATTGGGCAAATGGGTTCTAGTTCCAGTGGCGGAACATTGAATATTTTGGTCCACGTTTACCTATAGAGCACATATCCACCGATACTCGATATTTTGATACTCCTAGTCATATTTACCCCCGAAATTGTTTCAAATTTGGTAATTAAGAAGATTTGGTAGATGACAATCCTTGAAGTATAAAATTGTCTATGGGGGTTCCCGTTTTGGTATGGTCCCCATATAACAGCTTCACCCACTTTATGGTTTTGGGTAATTTTAACAACATTTTCCAAACGGTTTTACTGGGGATTGTAGTTTAAAGTGGAGCTCGTTTGAATTCAGATACGTTTATATAAAAATCTTTTCTTTACCCCAAGGTGGAGGTTATTAAAATTTCGGCCCGGCCGAGCATAATTTTTTACTTGTTTTGTATTATTATTCATATTATTTAATAAAAAAAAACCAGGGAACCCGGGAATGCAAATTTTGAATTTCTTATTTTCCTTATTAACTTTATTTTGGCTTAAGGTCAATTGAAAAACATCAGTGTTTTATTTTTATAATTTTGATTTTTATTTTCCGATATTTCGACTGTCTTCGACAGTCATCTTCAGGGAAAAAATTTTTATTGAGAAAAGCAACAGTCTTGTTTCACCGTCTATGCTCTTATTTTCCGTCAATGAAAAAAATCGGGAATCTTCAAACACTGCTTGCCACATAAAAGATAACTATGTGTCTCCATGAGGTAGAGCTCCCGTAACAAAATAATTTATTTCAAGGAGATCATACCATCTATCAACCATTGACTTTCGAGCAGTTATAATTTGGTTTCAGAGGGAGGTATATCATATTCTGAATCGATTTTTACTAAATTTGACGGAGACATTTTTATCGTTTATACCAAATAACATTGCTAAAGAGCGCATGATATCACTTCGAGAAGGATTATATTAAACAAGTAAAAAAACATTAAGTTCGACCATTTGAAACGAATTAAAAAATTTTCAAAAAAAAAAATAAAATCCATTAAATATTCAGTTAAAATCTTTAAAATACCTAATATCGGAAGGTGCCGATATATGAGGGATATACGATATCGTTAACCTATAAAGAGAATTCTCTGTCAGGGGGTAAAGTGCTCACAAAGACCTCCTTGTGTATAATTTCAGGCAATTCCGTTGAAAAATGTGGGTAAAATCATCAAAATACCGAATATCGGGGGGTAGGTTATATGGGGCTATACGATATCGTGGACCTATATAAATAATTCTCTTCCGAGGTATACAGTACCCACAAGGTACTCCTTGCGTGGTTTTTCAGACAATTCCTTTGAAAAATGTGGATGAGATCATCAAAATACCGAATATCGGGGGTACCGTTATATAAGGGCTATACAATATCGTGGACCGATATAGCCCATCTTCGAACTTGACCTGCCTGCAGACAAAAGAGGGATCTGTGCAAAATTTTAGCTTCCTATCTTAATTCGTTTAGACTGCAGCGTGATTACAACAGAAGGACGGAAAGGGCTAAATCGTCTTAGAATTTTACGCTGATTAAGAATATATATACTTTGTTGGGTCTAAAATGATTATTTCGATGAGTTACAAACGGAATGACGAACTTAATATACCCTCCATACTATGTATGGTGGAGGGTATAAAAATATATATCGGAACAGAGTTCCACCGAATGGAAAGGTACGTCCTGAAATTCACTCCATTTGGGCTGATATTAGCCATTATAATAAACCTGAAATCGGATAAAGGAGCTATATCCAAATCTTAGCCGATCTCGATAAAATTTGGCATAGGTATTTCCGAGCTCTATAAGATATCAGGTACCAAATATCATTGCTGTCGAAAGTATATTACGAATGTGAAGGACTTAAACTCAAAATCGGATGATACATATATATGGGAGCTATAGCTATATCTGAACCATATTTTATGTACTTGCTTCTAGACAAAATTCGGTGGGATGTGCCAAAATTCAGGTCATTTCTACTGATATTTGTCATTTGGTGCACAATTAACCCGAAATCGGTTAAAGATATATATGGAAGTTATATCTAAATCTGAACCGATCTTGATAAAATTTTACAGAGGTATTTCTAGGCTATATCTGATAAATTGGTACTAAATATCATTCTTTTGGAGTGCATATTACGCATGTGAGGGACTTAAACATCAAATCGGATGAAACATATATATGGGAGCTATAGCTATATCTGAACCGATTTTCACCAAATTGGATGTATTTGCTTCTAGACTGAATTCGGTCGGCTGTGCCAATATGCAGGTCATTTGGACTGATATTGGCCATTTGATGTACAATTAACACGAAATCGGTTGAAGATATATATCGGAGCCATATCTAAATCTGATCCGATTATCACCAATTTCAATAGGGTTCGTCCTTGAGCCAAACAAATGTTATTTAGAAAATTTCATCTCAATCGAATAATAAATGCGAGCTTTATTTTGTTCACAAGAATACATGGACAGACGGACTTGCATGTATAAATCGACTCAGAAGGTAATTCTATGAAGATCCTCAAAAGTGACTATGGTTGTATCTCACTTCCTCCTCCATGTTTAGGTGGGAATACATAAAGCGTTTATTTGGCTGACTTAAGTAATCGGCTGGCTTCTTCGTAGAGAAACAAAGGAGTTTTAGGCTGACTTAGTTTGATTTTGGCCCTAGGCTCTTTTGTTCATTTCCCGAGAAGCCAGCCAATGACTTAAACCGGTGAAGAATGGGCTCGATAAAATTTGGCAAAGATATTTCTGAGCTGTATTTGATATATTTCCCTGAATATCGTTGTTACGAAGTGCATATTACGGCTGTGGGTAACAAATATAACAAATCGGATGAACAGTATATATGGGAGCTATAGCTATATCTGAACCGATCTTCACCAAACTTGACATATTAGCTTCCAGACTCAATTCGGTAGTAAGTGCCAAATTTCATCCCATTTGGGCAAATATTAGACGTTGGTTTCACAATAAAATGTAATTCGGACGAAGTTATATATGGGAGATATATCCAGATCTGAACCGATCTCGATAAAATTTAGCAAATGTATTTCTGAGCTGTATTTGATATATTTCCCCAAATATTGTTGTTGCAGAGTGCATATTACGGCTGCGGAAGACAAAAATAACAAATCGGATGAACAATATATATGGGAGCTATAGCTATATCTGAACCGATTTTGATCAAATTTGGCATACTTATTTTCAGTTCTAATTTGGTTGTATGTGCAAAATTCCATACTATTCGGGCTTATATTACACGTTTGGTGCACAATAAAAGGCAAATCGGACGAAGATATATATGGGAGCTATATCTAATCTAATCTAATCTACAATAGGGTTCGTCCTTGGGCCAAACAAATCATTTGTGCAAAATTTCATCTGGATAGGGCAATAAATGCGAACTGTACTTTGTTTACAAAAATACATGGACAGACGGACAGACGGACGGACATGCATAAATCGACTCAGAATGTGATTCTATGCAGATCATCAAAAGGAACAATGGGTCTATCTCGTTTCCTTTTGCCTGTTACAAGCAAATGCATAAAGACACATTACCCTGACCACCTTGTGGTCAAGGGTATAAAAACAAACAAGTAGATTTACCCCAGAAAGACCTTGATATTACCCCTCACCTATTTATAAATGTATGGGTTTTTCTTTCCTAGCCAAAACATTCTTTCGTGTTTTTGCGGAATTTAACATTTTTCGATTCCACAACTTTCATTCAATTATTATTTTTTTATTATTAGCCATACATACCTGAAATAGAATGCAGCTCTCCATGCTGGCAGCGAATCGATGGCACGATACATTATAAACACCCAACCCTCCTGGGATGCAGCTTGATAAACCGTAAAAATACTCGTGGCAATATCTTCGAATCCATTGAAACCAATCACATAACTACTGAGAAAATCCAATTTCATGCATCTCATGCCCGGCGAACACTGATAGCCCGAATCGGGGTCCATGGAACAAAATGTATCCGGTATGGCCAATGAATTTAGAGTTAGAATTCTAGAAAAACAAAACAATGCCAAGTGATTTTCGGGAGCAAATTTTGTTGCCCTTAAAAATGGTTTCCAGGCGGACTTACGGTCTATCATGCTCATCGTAGACACTGTTATTCATGACGCAATGGTTTTTCAATTCACCAAAAAATTGAACACCCATAAGGCCATAAAGTGACATAAAGAACAAGAAGAATAGGGTTACATTGTAGATTTGTTGGCTGGAGCGTCTGTGGAAAAAATAAAGGGATCAAAATTAGAACTCAGAGGATATTTTGCTGCGACTTACTTGAAAATCTGATTAATACGACTTTTTGGCATTGAGAATTTCAGGAAGACTCTGAGGAAGCGTATCATTATTAGGGGTCGTGGTGCCCTCATCATGGATAGGGAGGAGAATCTGTTAAGGATAGAATTTAAAATAATTTTAACAATAAAAGTCCTCTTCGATCTTTTCTTTCATTCTTCTCCATTTTCCAAAATGGCATACTTACTTTGGCACAACTTCAAGTATTTCAAATATTTGCAGGATTATTGAAATCCATAAAAAGAATACCATAGAAAAATCAAATTGGCACCAATGATCCTTAAGATACGGCACTTCACCCTAGGTTTGTTTTTTTGGTCGTACATTGGTTAGATTTGAATTGAATTAGATTTTGGAAATACAACTCTGTGACACATAACACAGAAGCATGCATGCATACATGCAGGATGGATGGATGGATGACCCTGTAGGAAATTCGCTATGCCTAGGAAGCGTTTGTACTCATGTGGGATCTACACATACAACAACAGCTTTTGTTAGGGCTCCTTATGGGGAATGGAAACTAAAGTTGAATAAGCCTCTTCCTTTCTCCATTCGGATGTGCAATATTTGCCAATTCGTAATGAATACTTTGGCAAGGTCAGTGAAAACACAGGGCATTGTTTGACATAAGACCATGTCTTACATGCCAACAATACCCCCATGCATTCGTGGTCCTTGCCAGCTCATGCATCCGTTTCCATTGGCACAGCAAACCCCCCTTCTGCAGGATCACCATTTACAATCGACATTGGTACTCACGTGCAATACGCCGCGTATGTGCATTTTGGCTATCATTTCAGCGGTAAATAGTAGCGTTACCGCTATGTCCGATACGAATGTTATATACTGCAGGGATGGTTCGCGTTCGAAAGTTTTTGGAGTATTCAATGAGACTGAGGCCAAGGCAACTAAAGCGCAAAATCGCATTAGGCGTCTTACCCACAGTTTATTCACCCATTCAATATCGGCACTTTCGTTAAGCGACTCCTCGGGACCATAATCGGCTAGAAATGGTTCGCCGCCCTTTAGACTTTGCTTGCGACCGAGCATTTTATTGCCAATACCGGTTGCAAGTCCAAGTCCTATTGGCGGCACCCCAGTAATGACTGCGGCGTTACTACTAATACCGCCACAAATGCCCATACCGACGCCGCCCATATTGCCGGCCACCGCACCCAGGCCGGATGGGCCAATTCCACCGCCAAGGCCTGCACCAGCGGTTGTAGCACTGTTCGATGGTCCAGTTTGGGCCTGTGCCGAGGCACTGCCCAGCTGGCCGGCTGTGACACCAGAACCATTGTTGTGGGCGGTCCCACCCCCCGCAGTGGTGCTGGAGTGGGCACCGCCCTGTCCCGGATTGTTGGCACTGTAAGCAGTATAGCTATTGTTAATGGCAACAGTGGCCGATGTTCCCAGCATAGGTCCCATATTGGGCATACGTAGGCCACTACTACCACTGCCACTTCCACTAGCCGAATTTACAACCGTTGGACTGGGCTCAATGCCATAATTTGTTGTTGCGGCTCCTGTTGCTGCTGCTGTACTACTCTGCGTCTGATGCTGTAACGGCGATTGGTTATGCGTTCCCCTGGGACTATCGGTCTGATTAAATGTGAAATATTGCGCCTGTGTCGAATGCTGCGGATGATGACGAAAATATTGTTGCAGGAAATTACTGCTGGCACTGTGACTAATGTTCGGTGTTAGAGGTACACCACCAACACCTCCCGTTCCCGGACCACTGCTATGACTCGCACTGATGGGTGCCAAATTTGTGGCAGAAAGCGTTTTACTACGACCACCTAAGCGACGTATTCGCAATTGTTCACTCATTCAAAAGTTGTCTGACTTCATAATCCGTTGGAGACGGCCAGCGAGGGATCGGTTTTCTGGAAAAAATATTGAAAATTTGTTAATTAAAATAGAATTGTTGGCAATAATTTATTTTGTCAAAATCTAAATATTATTTTTTTCAAAGCCTTATTAATTTTTTATTTTTACTGTCCCAAGCAACCAACAGTGACCTCAATAGCAAGTTTCAGAATTTCGGCTCTATCCCAATAACATATTTAGTAACACTTTCAAATCAAATTTCAAGATTTGACCTCTGTAATTTTCCTCGTTGCCAAATTTCCTACCATTAAGTATAATTATAGTACATACAGGGTGAGATGAAAAAAACTGCAACCAATTTCAGACTGCTGTAATTTCTAGGTCACTCGTCTGACAGCTGTTAAAATTATTCCAGTGACAGCTCATTACATTGTTTACAAGCGTACAAAAGCATTTTGGTGATAATTTTCCAGAAAAAAAAACAGGAAAGAAAGTCCTAAAGTCGGGCGGGGCCGACTTGTATTACCCATTTGGTGCAAAATTAATAAAAATCAGATAAAGATATATATGGGAGCTATATCCAAATCTGAACCGATCTCGAAAAAATTTTGCAAATATATTTCTGAGCTGTATATGATATATTTCCTGAAATATCGTTGTTACGGAGTGCATATTACGGCTGTGGGTAACAAATACTAGAAATCGGATGAACAATATATATGGGAGCTATAGCTATATCTTAACCGATCTTCACCAAATTTGACATACTAGCTTCTGGACTCAATTCGGTCGTAAGTGCCAAACTTCATCCAATTTGGACAAATATTAGACGTTTGGTGCACAATAAAAGGTAAATCGGACGAAGTTATATATGAGAGCTATATCCAAATCTGAACCAATCTCGATAAAATTTAGCAAAGGTATTTCTGAGCTGTATTTGATATATTTTCCCAAATATTGTTGTTACAGAGTGCATATTATGGCTGCGGAGGACAAAAATAACAAATCGTATGAACAATATATATGGGAGCTATAGCTATATCTGAACCGATTTTGATCAAAATTGGCATAATTATTTTCAGGCCTAATTTGGTTGTATGTGCAAAATTCCATACTATTCGGGCTGATATTACACGTTTGGTGCACAATAAAAGGCAAATCGGAAGAAGATATATATGGGAGCTATATCTAAATTTTTACCGATTATCTCCAATTTCAATAGGGTTCGTCCTTGGGCCAAACAAATGATTTGTGCAAAATTTCATCTCAATCGGATAATAAATGCGACCTGCATTTTGTTCACAAGAATACATAGACAGACGGACTGACATGCATAAATCAACTCAGAAAGTGATTCTATGGAGATCCTCAAAAGTAACTATGGGCCTATCTCGCTTCCTTTTCCATGTTACAAACAAATGCACAAAGACATACCCTTACCACTATGTGGTGTAGGGTATAATTATTCGTGATGGAATTCAAGCGTGATAGTTTGATTTCTTTATGTTTGGCTGGAAAACCAAAAGTGGCTATCGTTAGTGCACTCCAGCATTTAAATGTAAATAAATCTTTTGTGTCTCGTGCCATACTGGTAGCGTAGCCCGACGTCAAGGAAGTGGACGGACGAAAACAGCAACATCAGCACAGAAAGTAAAGAAGCTACTTGATCCAATCCCGCGTCGCAGTGGCTGAAAATGGCTCATGAGCTGAAAATATCGCTATATTCCATTCCGCAAATATCGAAAAATAAGTTCGGGGTAAAGCCATTGAAATTCCAAAAAGTGCAAGAACTTACACCGCAATGGAAAGAAAATAGACTCAAAAGAGCTAAAGAGTTGCTTCGCTTGGCTGAAAGTGGTGAACTGCCGAATTTGGTTTTCTCCGATGAGAAAACATTCGTTGTCCAGCAGTTTGTAATTAAACAAAATGATCGCGTTTACTTGCCGAAGAGGTCAGCTGAAAATGTGCATCTTCGGTTGGCCACCAGAACTCAAGCACGGGCCATAGTGATGGTGTGGGCTGCCATAACAGCCGATTGTCGCTCTCCGCTCGTATCAATCGACCGTGGCATCAGAATAAATGCCGAATATTATCGCGAAAATATTCCGGAGGGTGTATTAAAACCTTAGCCACGCAAACATTTTGGCCGCAGACCTTGGACATTCCGACAGGACTCAGCACCATCGCACTCAGCACGCGCCACCCAAGAATGTTTACAAAATGAGGTTCCTCGTTTCATTTCCAGCGCACAATGGCCACCAAAATCTCCGAATACCAATCCGTTGAACTATTGTGTCTAGAGTATTTTGGAAAGCAGGGTTGGCACTAAAAAATACCAAAGTGTCGATCACCTCAAGCAAGCGCTTCGCCGGGAATGGGCCAAAATACCGCAGAGCAACATTCGGGCAGCGTGTGACGGTTTCATTGGCTGTTTAAAGGCCATAATTCGTGCCAGAGGTGACCAATTCGAACAAATCTAAACTTATTCTAAAATTTCATGCTATTTCCGAGATTTTTTGCTTTCATTAAATAAAATTTAAAAAAACAAGTAAAGAAGCTGTAAGTTTGGCCGGGTCGATCTTTGAATACCCTCCACCATTGGCAACGATTTTGGCAATTTTCAAAAAAATAAAATCCGTTAAAAAGTCTGTTAAAATCTTAAAAATACCGAATGTGGCCGTTATATTAGGGTCTATACGACGACGTGGACCTGCAAAGGCAACTTTTGTCATAAGCCAATACAACATTCAAATGCGAATCTTGAAAAAAACGGTGAATAGTCGCTAAAATTATCAAAATACGAAATATCGGGAGATGCCGTTATTTGGGGGCTATACGAAGACGTGGACCTGCACAGACAATTTTCTGTTTTAAGCTGTAGTATCCATTACGAACTTCAAATACTAAATTTGAAACAATTCCGGTGAATAATGTCGCTAAAATCATCAAAATACCGAAAATAGGGAGGTACCATTATATGAGGGATATACCAAAACGTGAACCTGCATGACCCATTTCAATACCAAAAGTCCTGCAGACATAATACACATTTGAGTAAAATTTAATCAACCTACTTCATTTAGTTCGTAAGCTAGAGTGATCTCCACAGACGGATAGACGGACGGACATCGCTAAATCGACATAGAATTGTATGCTGATCAAGTATATATATGCACTTTGTGGGGTCTAAAATGTATATTTCGAGGTGTTACAAACGGAATGACAAACTTAATATACCCTCCATACAATGGTGGAGGGTGTAAAAATTATGGCGTTTGACTTTGTTGCACATTTTTTATCTCTCCCTGTATAAGTACAAATTTCCAAAAATACCAAATATCCCAATCTTACACTCCGGCAGTTATCGATTTTTTCCAATTTTCAGGATACCAGCTCTATCGGTTCGCCCAAATTCAAATTCTACCAAATTAAGTACCATTTAGTACACTTAATTACAAATTTTTTATAACTTCCTACATAATATAGTATATATAGAACTATTTTAAATTTCAGGATTCCAACTCTACAGGTTCACCCAAAATTTAAAATGTACCAAATTAAGTACTATTAAGTACACATAAGTACGAATTTCCAAATCTACCTCCATTCCTTTGTCCTATCGGTTGACCCAAATCGAAATTGTACCAAATTTAGTACCGTTTAGTACTTTTCATGCACATAAGTACAAATTTTGAAAACTTCTTTCATATCCCAATATTACAGTCCACCAGTAATGTTAATTTATATTTTAGGATTCCAACTCCATCTGTTCCTCCAAATTTAAATTGTACTAAATTTAGTACCGTTTAGTACATTTGTACACACGTCCAAAACTACCTCACATCGACTCTACTCCTCAATCTTTATTCCCATTCAAAATTTCAAGTTTTTAGCTCAAACCGTTCACATAATACGAAATCGTACCAAATGTAGTACATTGTAGTACTCATCGTGCACTTATGGTGCGAATTTCCAAAGACCCTTTGGTACATCTATCATGCACTCTATCAGTGACCCTCATTCTGAATTTAGCTCTAATGCTTCCTCAAATACAAAGGGTACCATTCTAGTACGAATTTCCAAAAACCCAGTCTAATCTGACCCCTTCAGACCAAGAGTGACCCTCATCCAAAATTTCAAAATTCTAGCTTCAGACGTTTTGTCTGGGCGTTGATGAACCATTACGTCAGTCAGTCAATTATTTTACTCTTTTATTATTATATATAGATATAAAATTTATTAATATAGATTTAAACTTATTACGATCCCGTTTTATAGATGCTTTTTGATGATTTTATGAAAAAGCCCAATAGAATGAAATTATTAGAGTTACGTGAGAAAAAAAAACAATTTAATAAATCAATCCCATTAAATATAAAAATTTCATCGAAAAAAGATTAAACAAACGTTTTTAGGTGTAACATGTGTTTTTACCGGCCCCATCCAACCGGTAAAGCCGGCAACTTGTTGATTATTTATTTGTAAACATTCATCAGCTGTACAGTATAACAGTTAAGTTTGTTTACATTTACCGGCTTATTGTGGTAGAAGCAACATGTGAGAATCTAACAAGTTGCCAAACAGCTGATAAACTGTTGCTTTACCATGTCAGCTGTTTTCCAAACAGCTGTTATTTTCATTAAAATCATCTGATATTGACAGTTAATATTTTGTATAACACATAGCCAACAACCCCATATTTGGGGTTGTATTTCACATTTTCAATGTGGGGGTGAATATAACACTTGTGAAATTTTCACTAGATACACACGAATGATTGAAATTTTCCAGGATTTTCTTTTGTGACTTTCTTTAAGATTTTATAATTATTGAATAGGAACGAATGCTATTTTTCCATATTTTTTGTTATCTTAAGGGTTTTATTTAAAACGGGTTTATTAACATTGAATATAACCTTTCTGTTTGCTATTATTTCCTTATCATTTTCTTTCTCTCTTGTCAAATGCTATTAACATCTTGGCACTAAAAATTTATACATTTTAAAACGATGTATTTCTATATTTTTTGAGGTTTTTCAATAATATTTCAATTATTGCACTTTGTAATTTATATTTTGTACTAAAAACACTTTGTTTTACTAAGATTTATTTATTTTTCAGAAAGAAAACTTACAATAAATATAAAAATAGCAGTACTTTGTCGAGTGTCGAGCGACGACTAAATTATAATAGTTTATAACAGTTGCCACAACATTTAGGGGTTGTTTTTAACCCTTTTAGACATAAATGGACTAAAAAGTCCTCGACCGTGAAAAAACTATGTAAAAACAAGTAAAAAAAAATTAAGTTCGGCAGGTCCAAAATTTTAATACCCTCCACCTCGGGGACCTGTACATGCAATGTTTCGCCAAAGGAGATAGAACCCATTATGACCTACAAATCCTAATTTTCAGAGAAATCCGTGAAAAATTGTGGCAAAAATCAAATTTCCGAATATCGGGAGGTACTGTTGTATGGGGACCAAAACGTGGACCTATACGAACTGGGACCCATTATGACCTACAAATACCAATTTTTAGACAATTCAGTGAATAAATGATGCAAAAACCATTAAAAAATACCGAATATCGGGTGGTACCGTTATATGGGGGCTATACCAAATCGTGGACCCAAGCATGCAATGTTTCACCACCGGAGCTGGAACCCATTATGATCAACAAATACGAATTTTTAGACAAATCCGTGAAAAAATGTGGCAAAAATAATGAAAATTCTGAATATCGGGAGGTACTATTATATGGGGGCTATACCAAAGTGTGGACCTTTACATGCAATGTTTTGCCACATGAACTCAGACCCGTTATGACCTACAAATACCAATTTTCAGACAAATTCGTGAAAATATGTGGCATAAATCATCAAAATACCGAATATCGGGAGGTACCGTTATATGCGGGCTATACCAAAGCGTGGACCTATACATGCAAAGTTTCGCCGCCGGAACAAGAACCCATTATGACCAACAAATACCAATTTTCAGACGAATCCATGAAAAAATGTGGCAAAAATCATCAAAATACCGAATATCGGGAGGTACCACTATATGGGGGCTATACCAAAGCGTGGACCTATACATGCAAAGTTTCGCAACCGGAGCTATAATCCATTATGACAAACAAATACCAATTTTTAAACAAACCCATGAAAAATGTGGCAAAAATCATCAAAATACCGAATATCGGGAGGTACCGTTATATGGGGACTATACCAAAGCGTGGACCTATACATACAATGTTTCACCGCACGAACTAGGACCCATTATGACCTACAAATACCGAAAGTGTGGCAAAATACCGAATATCGGGATGTACCGTTATATGGGGACTATACCAAAACGTGGACCGATATATCTAATTTTCAATACCAACCATCTTAGACACAATACAAATTATTCTGCTAAATTTTGACGCTCTACGTCAAATAATGTGGGCTGTATCGTGATTTCAACAGACAGACGGACATCGTTATATTACAAACGGAATGACAAAGTTAATATACCCTTCTTTCCAACGTGGAGGGTATAAAAATCGGTCTGTGGTAAAAGAGCCCCAGAAGAACAAAAGGAATTTTTAAGAAATGTCCTTGAGAAAAATGTGGATTTGGCGAAGGATAAGTAAGAAAATTTACAATTTTACAAAAAAATCATGTTTCTTTACAAAATATAAATATGCGTATATTTAAGATTTTGTACTGTCGATGATGCAAAATATAGAGAAGAAAAATAAAAGGAATTGGCGGAATCCTTGAATGCAATTGGAGGGACTATGAAGGATAGTGCCAAATGGACGAAATATTGCAGTGATTTGAGGTATGACTGATTTTAATTGTAGAATATTAAAAACAGAAGTAAGATATTTTGGAAGAATGTACATGCGTTTATGAATGAAAAATGTATTGATACATTTCAATAAAGAAAATGATCAACTTGAAAACTAAAAGAAAAACTAATATTTGTCGTGCAAAAAACAAAAAGAGAAAATATGGAGCAACTGATGTATTCACTTTTGGATGATTCCAGCAGTGAAGAGGACTGGCTGAATGAGGAATCAGATTATTAATTATTATTATAAATTATTAATTTTAACTTATCGTCTTCAATACTCATTTTTTAAATGTTGGCGCTCTTTTCAGTAAGGTTTCACCAATCCGATTTAGGCTCTTTACGTTTGGAATTTTGAATTTTGACATTTTATCGCATTTCTGCTAATTTTCTGTTCCCTTATTTTTTGAGCAAACCTAAATGAGAATGACATTTCGAACTGTTCTCTCTTCTGCTAGTTTTACTACTAAAAAAGTACTGGAACACAACTAATATTATCAAAATAGTAGCGATTGATGGGGATAAAACTCAGGAGATGGGATTCCCATGTATTGCCGTGGGACAGGTGAAAAATTACTCATCAGACAATTGTTTTTCAGAATCTCCACCATGATTCTTGATGGCCACATTGTAGAGTTATGTTCATCCAACTCTAGAAAGGAGAGGAGAAAATTTCACGTATACAATTAAATTGTGGGGGGAGGGGGGTTAAGACCAAGAAAGTTGCTTTATATCCGGATGAAGCATACTTTGAGAGATTGTTTAAAATAGAAGAAGAAAAAGTGGAAGCTATGAGAACGTCTAACACTTTAAAGGAACGAGAGATTAAAGCTATTAAGGAGCAAATAGAAGCGATTGAGACTGATACAAAAGAAAAAGGGGATTTTTTTAAATGCAGGAAGTTATTCAAGTTCTCGCTTGTAATAATAGTTGCTACTAACACAATAATATTAACCAAAATCTAGCCATTACTAAAAATGATGTCGTTTATTCTTAAACTATTTTGGAAACATTCAAAGCTTGACAAAAATCAGCAATCAGGGAAATTGTTCAAAGCTTTAGCAACTACAATTACTCATCTGCTTACGGATAAAGCGGATAAATTATCACTTCGTTGGAAGCTACCAGTAGCAAAAAACGTAATGTACTTAGTACAATTAGATGGCATGGAATTGAATGAAATCTTGTTGATTTCGACAAAAATGACTTCAATTCTGCGATGAGTTACACACACAAATGATAATGAAATGCAAAAGTTTCATTTTGACATGGAATCGAAACATTGTTTTCACAAAATGATTCAAAATTGGAAAATAAGTTGTCATGGAAACGAATTTTGAAACGTTGTTAGAAAACGAAATTTCTAGCTTTTTGTAATGCTTCTGGCTGATCTTCACTCCAAAATCGACAATCAGCTTCGTAGCTGAAGACAATGCGTGCGGTATGATCTGCCTTAAAAGACCGCACATTTTGATAATAAAATTCAATGAATCTTACAATCATTGATTTTGAAAATATTTATTTTTTTAAAGTAATAAATACATTCACAAAATTGACAGAAGACGGGCACACGTTGAAAAAAAATTGCAATCAACTGATACCTCCATGCATGGTACAATGAAGAGAAGGTAGGTCAACTTTGAAAAAATTGCAAGTATAGAGGTCTACCTGTTTGGCTTGTAATGTCAGAATTACTATCAAAACAATAAAAAAGCAAACAACTTGTTGCATTGATTTTGAATAAATAATTTAAAACCGCGAAAACTGAATGAATGGTCAAAATTTCTTTTCAATATCATGTTCCTTACCTTTTTCTTGTAGCATGTTTCTAACGAAAGTATTTTTTTTTTGGAAAATATTTGTTTCACACCCATGAGAGTTGTCCTAACAGAGAAACGTTGGTTCCACAATGGGTTTATTAACTATTATACTCACAGCGTTGCATTGCGGATTATGCGCAGTACGTTTATTGTGACATTTATTTGCAACCTGTTGATATGTTTTATGGTTGTCACACTGGGAAGTTTCACGCATGTTTCATGACAGCTTTTTGAGTACTATACTAGTGACAGAAGGTAGAGGAACTCATTCCTCCACCTCTCCTCTTCTATTTATGAAATTGTTCATCGTCCTGGCCTAGGAGACTTGACAGAATATGTCAATGCGATGCATGACATTTAAAACTCACCATACACATAGGAAACCGTTAATGTTAAACATGTAGCATTTTTAAGCGATGGCAATCCTAACTTCACCCATTAAATATCAGCTTTTTTCAATAAACTCCCTCGTGTATTTTGAATAGTGTTTGAATTGTTGTGTTTGAATTTTTTGACTAGAATAAGATATTTATTGTTGACGATGACACCGCCGTCACTTTTGTAATGATATCACTTATTGTCGACGTCGAAACTAATTTGGTATTCCGAAAACGGCGTCAACTCTTTATTTTTTTAACTTTTTAACTAATTCATTATAACAAAGATAAAAGTCGGTCGGGCCATCTTCGTGATACCCTACACCACTGTGCATATTTAGTAATGCTACCCGGTAACTCTGGGCAATCATATGTTTATTGGAGGAGCAACCTAATTCTGTGAATTTAATGTTTATCATTAATAATTACTCTTGAAAGAATGACACTATTATATGGTCGACCAGAAGTCGAATTGTCAAAAAATACAACTCTACCACCTACATTTATAGTCAACATTTATTATTTTTTTTTCCTAGGCGAAAAAATTTCTCCGCAGATTTTGGTGGGCATTGTGGGCTGGAAATGAAGCGAGGAACCTCATTTTGTAACCATTCTTGGGTGGCGAGTGTAGAGTGCGATGGTGCTGACCTGTTGGAAGGTCTGCGGCCAAAATGTTTGTGTGCCAAAGGCAAACTCCAGAATATTTTCGCGATAATATTCGGCATATATTCTGATGCCACGGTCGATTAATACAGCGGGAGAGCGAACATCGGCTGTTATGGCGGCCCACACCATCACCATGGCCGGCGCTTGAGTTCTGGTGGCCAACCGAAGGTGCACATTTTCAGCTGACCTCTTTGGCAAGTAAACACGATCATTTTGTTTGTTTACAAACTGCGGGACAACGAATGTTTTCTCATCGGAGAAAACCAAATTCGGCAGTTCACCTCTTTCGGCCAAGCGAAGCAACACTTTAGCTTTTTCGAGTCTATTTTCTTTCTGCTGCGGTGTAAGTTCTTGCACTTTTTGGAATTTCAATGGCTTTACCCCGAGCTCATTTTTCAATATTTGCTTACAAGCCACTGCGACGTTTACTTTTCGAACCATTTCTGCTGATGTTGCTGTTTTCTTCCGTCCACTTCCTTGACGTCGGGCTACGCAACCAGTATCGCGGTACCGAGCAATGGTACGAGACACAAAAGATTTATTCACATTTAAATGCTGAAGTGCTCTAACGATAGCCACTTGTGGTTTTCCAGTCAAATATAAAGAAATCACACTATCACGCTTGAATTCCGTCACGAATAACTTTTTTCTGGAAAATTCTCACCAAAATGATTTTGTACGCTTGTAAAGAATATAATGAGCTATCACTGGAATAATTTTAACAGCTATCGGACGAATCGCTTAGAAATGACAGTAGTCTGAAGTTGGTTGCAGTTTTTTCATCTCACCCTGCAAATTATTCCATACCTTTCTTTTGGATTTTTGTCTATATGTTGCAGTGGTTTGGGATTTTGAATTGCAAAATTCTTAAAATTCACATGTGGAAGTGCCATGGTACCAGGGTCCTGTTGATCGTTTTTTGAGTTACCGACAAAAGTCGGTAAAATCAAAATGCTTATAATTTCGGTAATTAAAGAATTTTGTTGGTAAGTTAGCGAATAAATCAAAGTAATCGCTAAGACCTACCGGTAGATATCAATGTTGTCAATCTTAAATTATTTTTTATCGAAATTTTGGGTTTCAAAATTACCGATTTTAGTCGGTAACATCAACGTCTTGACAACATTGATATGTCAACATTTTTAAATGTTTTGTCAAAAATAAGTAGATTTTTATATACGTTTTTTTACAAATCGGAGGTTGTTATAATGTATTTTCCGACAATTTTTACAAATTTCAATAATTTTTCAATAAACATTTTCATTTTCACAATCGGTTCAACAGTTCATTGTACCCATGGTAGAAGAATTCAGGTAGACGCATTAACGCTTGGGAACATTGATATGTCAAAAATTTTTAAATGTCTTTTCAAATATAAGTAGATTTTTATATCTTTTCGTATATGACATCATTCGAAAGTTATTATAATACGCGTTTTCAACAATTTTTACAAGTCTCTATAATTTTCCATTCAACATTTTCAATTCCAAAATTGGTTTGAGGGTTCATTGTCCCAGCAGCTGTGTCGATGTGTCTACCTGTTTTCTTCTACCATATGTTCTACCTTGTCTTTATTGTACCATAGTATGCCATGTTTACGTTAGAACTTTTCGCAGGGTTAACCTGCTTTAAGATGATTTATTTAAAGTATAATTAATAGATATGACCATGGTACAATGAAGAGAAGTTAGGTCAACTTTGAAAAAATTGCAAGTATAGAGGTCTACCTGTTTGGCTTGTAATGTCAGAATTAGTATCAAAACAATAAAAAATCAAACAACTTGTTGCATTTATTTTGAATAAATAATTGAAAACCGCGATAACTGAATGAAAGGTCAAGACTTCTTTTCAAAATCATGTACTATATATCTCTAAAGGATTATTTCGCTACAAAAACTCTAGATTTTGTCGATGCATACGTTGAAATAAACATCTTGAAAACACATGAATTCGAATGTTTTCTGAACAATTTTTTTGTTATTGAAAAGAAAACACATACATAAACAAATAAAGATGACATATTAAGCCAAGAAAATAAAAAAAAATTAAAATCATATGGTATCATAGCCCTACCTTGATATCATTGTACCATGGATATGACAATATTAATTCAAATCCAGTGACCTAACCCATTTATATGTAAACGTACTGTAAACATGGTAAACACATGATTGCACAAGGTTACCCTGTTAGTCCACAGTAGTCGTGACGTATACTTTATCTAGTCGTTTTTTACGTACACTAGTACGTATGTGTCATTTAAAAAATAATGTTTTACATACTACACGATGTTTGACTTGGCAATGTTATTTACTCCCACCAAATGACACTGTTTTTACCAACTCATTTCCTCGAGTGTAATGAGAGCACATAGTAGCAACCACGAAAATGCATAAATTAAACAACAACACGTTGCGCAGGTCTGAGTAATGCTGATAAGGTAAATAATGTTAATTGTACAACAAATGAACCATAACAGAGAATATGGCATAGGAAGAGACGGAGAGAGAGCGCGCAGAAGAGAACGAAAGTAAGATATAATCTCTGTCACAAACAACACCAACATCAATCAGTTGAAAAATATTTTGCCGTTGTGAAACACCGTCGCTTTAATTCTCACAAGACAGCCGACAGAAGAGAATAGGATTTTTAGAAAATTATTAATGTGCATTAATTATAAAAATAGAATAAAGAAAACAACTGTTAAATAAAAAAATGGTCTAAATAGTTTTGATAAAGAAACAACACCAAGTATTCTAAATAAGCCAACTTGAAGTTAAGCTACCAACCAGCGCTAGTGTTAAGTAACAACAAATAAGCAATCGAAGAAAAAAACTAAAACACAAACGTCAGTGGTAAAGCAAAGAGCAACAAAAGCAATAATAAATAACAATAACAAAAAAAATGGGCAATAAATCTTCAAGCAATATAAGTTCATCATATCCCCAGCATGATGACCCGGCTTATCGCAAATGCCAGGAGTTAAAGGTGGGTGTTACTAAAGCTTACGATTTCCCAGACATAGAATTTTTAATGTCAAAATACTTTCTTCTTAGATGGAACGTTGGATACAAATGCATTACCAAATCAAGGAACGCGAAGAAGCCATTCAAATCGCCCGTAACCGGGAACTGTTCTATTGGATCAGTGGTTTCTATTTAACATCAATGTTTGGCTGTATCTCAATTTACCAACGCACCCGTAGGCCCATTTCATTACTGCCCATGGTACCACTCTCCTTTGTAATGGGCTATTACGCCGATTTGGCTTACGGCAGTAAAATACATCGTATAAAAGGTAATTATGAAATGAGAAGAAGAAGAAACAGAACAAAAAAAACCAATACCAAATCACGGCTACTCCACCGTTCCACATATCCATAATATCGAAATGATTACGGTTTTTTTGGCATTACTTTCTTTTTTCTCTCTCCGTTTGTTATTGTTTGTTTGTTTTCTTATTGAAGTTGAAGGCCATATATATGTAGGTACTAAGATATGAATATAAAAACCAATGGGGAATTCTTTTGAGGTTTATTCTTTAGCGACGGATGTTGAGAACAAATGTGACCTAAATGAAAAAAGGAGAAATGACTAACTTTCTGCGATGCTACAAATATGAAATTTTGAAAAATCATTGGTATAAACTGTCTATTAATATTTAAAATTAATTAGAATGGCAGAAGAATAGTCGAATCGGCACAGCTGCTGGGATTATTAACTTCCAAACCAATTTTTAAATTGAATATTTTGAACGAAAAATTATTGAAATTTGTAACCATTTTTAAAAAATGCATATCACAACAACCTGCGATTTATGTGCTATAAGAAAACATATAAAAATCTACTTATTAAAAAACAAAACAAGTTAAAAAGCAGAAAAGGTTAAGTTAATACCCTCCACCATTTCGAAAGAACTTCAAGAATTTCAAAAAAATTCGAGAACTACCACTTAAATGAAAATAGTCATATGGGGGCTATACGAAAACATGGACTTGCATACGAAAATTTTTGCCATAAGTTGTAGTACCCATTAAGATCTTCCAATACGAAATTTGAAACGATTGCGCCAAATAATGTTGCTGAAATCGTCAAAATACTGACTATCGGGTGATACCGTTATATGGAGGCTATACGAAGACTTGGACCTACATACACAAATTTTTGTCATAGGCTATAGTACAAACAATGTCGTTAAAATCGAATATCGGGATGTACCGTTATATGATGGATATAAGAAGACGTGGACCTGCATACAAAAATTTTTACCATAGGTTGTACACACTAGGATCTTCCAGTACGAAATTTTAAACTATTCCAGTGAATAATGTTGCTGAAATCATGAAAATACCGAATATCGGGAGGTAGCTTTATATGGGGGCTATACGAAGACTTGGACCTGCATACAAAAATATTTGTCATAGGCTTTAGTACCCATTACGAACTTCAAATACGAAATTTTTAATAACTCCGGTAAAAATGTCGCTAAAATCATGAAAATACCGAATATCGGGAGGTAGCGTTATGTGGGGGCTATACGAAGACTTGGACCTGCATACAAAATTTTTTGTCATAGGCTGTAGTACCCATTACGAACTTCAAATATGAAATTTTAAATAACTCCGGTAAATAATGTCTCTAAAATCATGAAAATACCGAATATCGGGGGTACCATTATATGGGGGCTATACGAAAACGTGGACGGACTGGCCCATTTACGATCTTAACCTGCCTACGGGTAAACTATGTATGTATGTACAATTTTAGCCTTCTATCTCAATTCGTTCGAAAGATAGAGTGATTAGAACAGACAGACAGACGGACATCGCTAGATCGTCTTAGAATTTTACGCTGATCCAGAATATATATATATATATATATATATATATACTTTGTTGTGTCTATTATGAATATTTCGTGGAGTTACAAACGAAATGACAAAGTTAATATACCCTCCATGGAATGGTGGGGGTATAAAAACATTTGAAGAATGTTGACATATCAATGTTCCCGGACGTTAATGCATCTACCTGTATTCTTCTACTATGGCTCTAATGCTATGTTCTCATTGCAATTTCAATCGCGTTGTTCGCTTTTAGGGTGAAAATACATGAAGCGCATATTTGGCTGGCTGAAGTCATCGGCTGGCTTTTTAGTAGATAAACAAAGGAGTTTTAGGTTGACTTAGTTCGATTTTGGCACTAGGTTCCTTTGCTCATTTCCGAAGAAGATTTCCGATAACTTAAGCCAGCCAGATAAGCGCTTTATGTATTCCCACCTTTAGAATTAGGTACACCAATTAACCAATTCAAGCGGCATGATTCGAAATTCATACATAGTAACTTGATTTCTTTTTTCAAAATGGTTGTTTATTGATTTTAATGCATATTTGTAAGAAAACATATGAAATTCGCATTAATATAAATAGAAGAAATGTCTTTTTTTTCTAAAGAACTATTGTAAACTGTAAATTTTGACATTTTGAATATATTTTTTGTGCTTTCTGTATTTTTATTTTTGCTGGTGATAGACCTCCCAATCTATTTTTTGTCAATGCAAATATTTTGAAAAATGTGCCTCTTATGTTTCCAGTTTTCTGAAAATATTCCAACTCTTGGACAAAAAGCGTACCTCGAATGAGAAAGAGAACAAAATTTACTTTCGTTTGAATGTTCATACACCATTCACCATTATTGGTTTGTTCCAGAACTGCAAGAATGGAAAGTTTTTACTCTGAAAACCGATTTTCTCTTTATAATATCGAAAAAATGCAAAACTAGGAGATTCTTGCAGGTTCTGGGAGAGTCCTTATATTTTTAATTCATAATTTTCGGTCGTTCTGAAAAATATGAAAATTTCATAAAATTTTCTATTTTGAATTTTTAAATGTCGTAATTAATTTTTTCCACAAATGCTCTCATATGTTAGGGATTTCACATATTTCATCTTATTTCTGTAAGTGATTTGAATGGAACAAAGAACAAAAATTTATGTGGGGAATTAAGAACATATTTAATAATTGATGGTCGAACAACGAATAGAGAACGAATTCGGTGCCATGTGAACTTAGCATAGGCAAGCATATGTTCAATTATATACAAACATGGTAGAAGAATATAGGTAGACGCATAGACACAGCTGCTGGGACAATGAACTGTCAAAGCAATTTTGGAATTGAAAATGTTGAATGAAAAGTTATTTAAATTTGTAAAAATTGTTGAAAAACGCGAATTATAATAACCTCCGAATGACGTCGTATAAGAAAACCTTTAAAAATCTACTTATATTTGAAAACCCATTTAAAATTTTTGGGCATATCAATGTTCCCAAGCGTTGAGTCATCTACCTGTATTTTTCTACCATGTACAACTTTGTACTTTATTATCATGTTCCTACGGGAACCTAAAATTCTTAATCTATTAAAAGTTGTTCTTTAAATATAATAAAAAATATAATTTATTTCTTGTTATGACCCTTTTCTCTCAAATCATATACGCACTCTGTTCCAGAACTGCTATAATATATAATATAATATATTATTTTGAATAAAAAACAGTTTATTTAGTTCAAATTCAGTTATAACTGAAATTCATATTTTCAATGTTAATTGGAAACAATTTGTACAAATTTGGGATAAAACAATATTGTCCTTTGGACTTAATTTTGTGGTTTTTCGCTCAGTATAAGTATTTATTTATGAAAAAATGTAAAATAAACGAAATCAATCGTTGTATGTTTAAATTACTATTTGACACAAACGGCTATAGTACAGAGTTGCATTTTCCTAATTGCTTTGAAGTTGAACAACCTTTATTTTTGAGCCATGTATAAATCCATTGTATATACACAAATCAGAGATGGGAACGTGTTTTCTATGCAATAAAATTTGACAATACAGATTGCAGAAAATTCAGAGATGGTTGCCATGGTAAAAGAATACAAATAGTCACATCTGCTGAAAAATAATTTATTTTTTTAATTTTTTTTCAAATTTGTAAAAAAATTTGAAAAAAGCATTGTCATAACAACCTCCGATTAATGTCGTATAAGAAAACTTATAAAAATCTACTTATTTTTGAAAAAAAAAAAAAAAAAAAAACATATTAAAAACTTTTGACGCGTTAGTGCAACTACCTATAATCTTCTACCATTATGGTTGCGTTAGGTTTACACGAGTAAATACAATTTTATGTTATTTTTTGTTTTTTTTTTTGTTATCGTCCGAGTCAATGTTTAAACAACGCCTTCGCGAAATATATGCTACTTTGTAGTGTTTCGAACACTATGATTCCTTTCGTTAAAGCACTATCAGACGGAATGAATTTTACATGTGTACAATCACTTTTACTATCCATGTATATTTCCATCCGTATGTCAAAATTACAATTTTACATATGATTTCATGAGAAAACAATAGATGTGGTCCCTTTCCTGGAGTACTCTTTTCTGGAGTACTCGACATTGTCATTTTTAAACCAAAAAACTATGTTAATTTCTGAAATATTTACGTATGACGAGTGGCATATTTTACAAATATAAACTAATAAGCATACCCATCTCTGCATTTTATGTAATTTACCTTGTCACATTTTACTACAAAAAATAGGTTCCCATCTTTGATTTGTATATGTATAATGGATTTATATATACAAATTTTGACAATGATATGTTGTCAAATGAATAATTTTTGAAAAAATTGTAAACATATGATTGCATGACTTTACCTTCTAGATTCTAACATGCTTAAACATATAAAAATATGTATATTTTAGGCCCTTCAGTTTAAGAAAACATTCTCGGCGCTGTTAGTTTTTGTGTTTTCTTCGAATAACGTTTTATATTAAGTCAGTCGTTATGGATCCATCAAAATTTATATTTATAAATCCATTGAATATACGCAAATCAGAGATGGCAAACTATTTTCTGTGCGGTAAAATTAGACAACGTAAATTACAGAAAATGCAGGGAGGAATATGCTCATTTGAAATGACTACCTTCTTAAGATGAAAGTACATAAAGAGCTTTTTTGACTGGCTTAAAGGGCTAAGTACATAAGAAGCTTGAAGTCATGGCACGGCCTATTTTGTGACATTTCATAAAGGAATTACAGAGCCGCACTAAAATCCTGCCGTCGTTTTTCATTATAATTTGGCATTAATATGCCTAGCCATGACTTCAAGCTTTTTATGTATTTGCAGCCTAAGTCATACGCTGGTTTCTTCGTAGAGGAACAAAGTAGTTTTAGGTTGACTTTGTTCGATTTTGGCTCTACGCTTCTTTCATTTCCAAAGAAGCCAGCCGATGACTTAAGCCAGTCAAAAAAGCGTTTTATGTATTCTCATCTTTAATTTTACCATGGTTTAGATCTTGATAGTTTCCACAACAAAAAAATATAAATGACAGATTTATTTAAAATAGATGACAGAGATTTGTCCATTACCCAACTTTTTACAACAATATCCAATTTTGATCATTACAACAAACGATTTCATTTGACATTTCAAAATTGATTTCCCTGTAGCTAACATTACTTTTAATTTCAATTATTATCAATTATTATTTTTTCAGATATGACTGTAACCAAAATTATAACTGACATGGGTTTACTGCGCCCATTTTTGGGTATACCTCCCACAAAATGAAATAATTATCAAATGGCACAACTTTTATGTTCGGTTTAGAAAAATTATAATTTCATTGATAAAAAATATCATGGCTGATCATCAATTCAATTTGTTTGGAAATGTGGGTTAGATTTTTTTATTATTTATTGCAACCAAAAAATTCCCAATAAATCAATATCCTCAAAAAATAACCAATTTCTCGATTTTTTTGTTTTTTTTATTATTAACAACTGTATTTTCTAGCTGAAGCTAATATGATTATGGAACATGAGTCCGAACTATTACATTGGCCCGGCGGCCTTCCAACGGTGGCCACCATCGATGAGGGCCGTGTCGAGGCCGAAATGGAAAAGAAAATGCATCCCCATCATTCATAGGCACAAAGAATGAAGGATTTACAACACTGGCTGATGTTTTATAAAATTGGCAATAGCACCTCCTACCCTATAGCTCAAATGTGTTTCAAAACCAACAACAAGAATGATTCCAAACAATGTAACAATGACAAATATTTAACAATGATACTACTATTACAAATGATAGATATTTAAGACAATATATTTATAAATTTACATATATATATAAACTTTGCTATACGATTTATTTATTAATTCCCTTTGAAAAGTTAAACAAACCAAATTTACATAAATTTAACGTGTACGTGTCTCTGTATTTTTAAATGTAATCGAGTGAATTTTATATATAATTCGTTATTGTTACCAACAAAAATAAATAAAAATTCATAAAATTTTTTTAACAACTTTTTATTTTCATTCCAATCTTAATTGTATTTTTATGCATGTGGATTTTATAAAAAAAATGTTATTGTTCTTATTTTAAGCTATTCTCTTCTTTTCTTACGACTTTATGATCTCAGTGTATGTAAAAATTAATTAATAAATAAATTATACAATTTAATAAAATTTTCCCAAACTAAATAAAAAATTTTTAATGTGTTTCAATTTGTTCATTGTTACATTCAAGTTATAAAAGGGAATTCACGATGTCTTCCTATTACCGGATCATCAGTTGTGAAATATGTGAATAAAGTGCAGATGTACTTTTTCGATCACAGTGATCCCTATTTTCATGGGAAAATGTAATTTAATCGAAAGTGTTGTTTGTTGTATAAAAATATATAAAATCAAATTTAAGGTAAAGTATAATATATTCACAATGTAACTAAAGAAAATCAAAAAATATATGCAATTGTGTAATAGCAAGAATTATGAGTCATATGTAAAATGATAATTTTGGCATACACACGAAAATACACATGGATAATAAAAGTGGCAGTATATATGCAAAACCCATGGTAAAATTAAGTAGGTAACGTCATTTCAAATTAGAATATCCAACTCAGCATTTTCTGTAATTTACCTTGTCAAATATCACTGAATAAAAAACAATTTTCCATGATCTGATTTTTGTGTATTCAATGAATTTACGAATATAAATTTTGACAATGAGATGTCAAATGAATAATTTTGAAAATATTGTAAACTTTCTTAATTTTACCATAAATGATTTCAAAAACGGGTTTTAATTCCAAATATGATCTAGACATGGTACAATAAGGAGGTAGAATAGCTTCGTAAGACTACAGAAATACACTTCTGAGATCATGCGCGCTTCCTGTCAGACTCATTCAAAATTATATGTATCAAGTTATTTTCAATTTTTTCCATATTTTTCGTCAATTTTAAAGTGAGTTAATACCGCGAAAAACGAATTAAATGCCTGGATTTTTGCTCAAAAGTATGATCCAAACTGTTCAATCTTTCAACTTCATGGCTAAACATGTTTTAATGCGCGAGCCGTAATCTATGTTTCTTTCAATCATTGGTTTTGAAAATATTTCTTTTTTATTTTTCAAAACAATAAATACATACACAAAATTGGCAGAAGTCGGCACACTTAGAAAAAAATTGTAATCAGCTGGTAGCTCTACCTTACCTTTTTATTGTACCATAGATCTAGACGGACAGACAAACTGGCACACATTGCTGAAGCGATATAAACCAGTTATTACATCTTTCCGATAGATAACAGACTAAATGTTTTCGGATAAATAAATCGTTTTCGTTAATTAAAGTTTCATTTAAATATGAAATGTTCATTAAGGCAAAGGTCAGGCCATCTTCCCTTTACATTTTAAAGTAAAGTTTATTGAATTCATGTTGCCATATTTTATAATGATAATATGCAATAACAGAAAAATGTATTCAAATAAAAATGGATAACGAAAATAGTTTCTTTTATATTGAAGAACAGAATTAAAGATTTATTTCCCGAAATTAATTACAAATTCGTCTTGTTTATAATTTTTAAAATAAAATGATGATACCACTGTGATAAAATGCAGTGATTACCAGTTACATTCACAAAAAGCTTGTCATATTTCTGAAAAATAGTTTGTGACAAAAAATAAGTGACAAATTTAATAGCATGTCGGTATTAATAGTTAAAGGCATGATTGCAGAAAATCCGATCGGAGTGTTATCCATTAAGTAATTTAATTTCGATCGTTTTTGTTTTAGCTTCTTCAAATTCCGATCGATTTGGTATATTACGCAAATTGCATTATTTATTGTAAATATTGCAACATTAGAGGAATGAAAAGATTCAAAAGAAAATACCTAGAAATACCTAGGTTTCGGAAAGAGTCACCAATCCTCATCAGTTCCCTTGCTTTTTTGTTTTTGTCTGGGATATTCTCCCCAAAAAACTTTTTTACCCAAGTAACGAGATTGTGGCTCTTTCCGCAACCTAGGTATTCCCTGCATTACCTCCTGGTAAACATTTCCATCGTTCACCACTAATAAACAAACGTTTTTTAACAATAATGGGATTAAGCCTGACCATTTTGCAACAACAAAATACCGTGGTATCCCAAACAAACACTGTTGTAACATTTTTACCATTTTAAACTGTTTTATAATTGCAAGTTTCCATAAAAATACAATTCCACTAACAAGATCAAAAGTGGTTTCATTCCGAAAATTCGGCGTTTATTTGACATACTGACAAAGACAAAGCCCATTTCGACTACTAAATCCACTCGATTTTAAATGTCAACTCCATAGCGTATACGTTACGTAAATTGTATTCATAAATCCAGTGGATATAATTTGACGTATACGTAAATCTAAGCATACTTTAAGTGATTGGACAAAGATGATCAGCTGCGGTAAAAGTACATTTGCATACCAAACTGACTAATCACAATAAATGTGACCACAAGAAACATACTTTAAATTTGTTGTCATTTGTCAATTATCAGGCTTAACCCGGGGTGGTGGTGGTAGAAAAACTATGTAAAACTTCTGAAATGCTGCCCTGAGTCTATGCCCGCTTTCTGTCAGAATTATTTAAAATGAGATGCAACAAGCTATTCTCATTTCATTGATATTTTTCCTCTTTTTTAAAAACGTTAAAAATGCGAAAACATGATCAAAACTATTCAATGTTTCAATTCCATGGAAAAACGGGTTTCCATGCCATGGTTTGTGACCTGTAGTTTTTTCTTATAATTTGACATTATTATGCCTAGCCATGATGACAAGCGGTTTATGTACACACATCTTAAGCTGGGAATACATAAAGCGCTTATTTGGCTGGCTTAAGTCATCGGCTGGCTTCTTCGGAAATGAACAAACGGGCCAAAATCGAACTAGGTCAACCTAAAACTCCTTTGTTCATCTACGAAAAAGCCAGCCGATGACTTAAGCCAGCCAAATATGCGCTTTATGTATTTCCAGCCTTAAAGTTGAGAATACATAAAACACTTTTTTGACTGGCTAAAGTCATCGACTGGCTTCTTGGGAAATTAACAAAGGGGCATAGGTCCGAAATTGAGCTAAGTCAACATAAAACTCCACGAAGATACCAGCCAGTCAAAAAAATGTTTTATGTACTCTCACCTAAAATATTGCTGGTGCTCACTCCGCAATGTACGTTTCTTTAGCCATCGATTACGAACATTTTTTGCATTTATTTTTTTTTTTTTTTTTCAAACAATAAAACATACACAAAATATGCAAAAGTCGGGCAAACTCAGAGAAAATTTGTAAACAGCTGGTAGCTTTACCTTACCTTTTTTTATTGTACCATGCACGCTTTAAATCCAGTATTTATTGATTTTGCCATGCGGGAACAGAACACAACACATCCGAGTTATCATTTTACTGTGATTAGCAGAGAATCGTGAATTTTAACGCTGTTGCATATTAAAAAGAATCGGCGGCTGGTCGAGTCGTCGCCCAATCCCCACTGGCGCCGTCAACAACATTTTAGTATGGCTCGGTTATTTGATCGGTGCGACAAAAAAATTAAAGAAGAAATCGCGAGAAAATTTTTAGGAAAACGCTGGCAAAAAAAATTGTATGGTTAATACGACAACCGACACGTTTTCATTAAATAATTCGTTTCGAGTAACTATTGCGAAACATTATTGCATTTATTCCAAATACAATTCAAGTGAAAACTCGTTTCTGGGAAACATAGAAATTAGTGAAAACACAAGAGCACACATACAAACTCGTGAGAATTAAAGAAGAAATCGCGAAAAAAAAAAGTTACCAAGAAACGCTGGCAGAAGTTGTATGGGCAATTGAATCGAATTAGAACAAAACAAACATCAGAAAAAGTGAAAAGTTTTTATTGTTGTGAACGCGCGGTTGCCGACAGAACCCCAAAAAACAAGAACTCGAAAAGGTTGTTCTCCAAGCCAATAAAAAACATACGGGAAGCTAACAATCGTCGTCATCCCATCCATCAACAAGCAATCTTGCATTGACTTGCAATTGCGTGCGATTGGTGTTATTGTTCAGCTGCTGCTGCCCGTCGTTGCAGATATTCACACTCCCCCTCCAACTGCATCCCCCAAAAAAAGAAAACATCGGTTGATAGGCAGGCGGGCAACGACAACAACAATTAAAAATGGCCGCGGTTAACGATTGCTTCAGTATTGGGTCGACGGTGAATTGCACGACCTGCTTCAATGAGGAATTCGAGGGAGAAGTTCTAGCATTTGACCATAACACAAAAATGCTAATCTTAAGTATCCTTTTCAAAACAAAGAAAAACCAACACATAACAATATGCATGCAATGAAAACAAATCAACAAATCATGAAATCTTCATGGCCCGCTTATGAATGTGTGTGGGGTATTGGCGTTAATACAAATTAAAGAAAAATTGCAAATATCTCAACGAAACCGCTTCGAAGCTTGCTACTTCAATATTGATTGCGGTGAAAGTTGTTATTTTGTCTTCGTCTTATTTTAAATTAGTGGCAGGTGTTATAGGGGGGCTTATGGAAGATTTTTGTTGTGCAAACCAATCCAATTAGTTTTCAAAAATACGTCAAAAAAACAAAATCACTGACTATGTAGGAATCCACAACATTTGAATATCTTAACAGCAGATTTGAAACATGAATTGCCACGAAAAAATAGAAAGCCAAAATGAAATGCCTACAAATCTGTAGTTCTTCATACCATTTGGGTAGAGTTCAATGCAAAGCAATCGACAAACGACATTAAAACTTCTCCCGGGTCTATGATCCGGAATCATCTGAGTATATATATATAGTATCAAGATTGGAATTGGATACTATGGCGCACTTACTATTCTTCTGTTTGGGCTCGGAATTTTATTAAGTCTTACTGTGGTTTTCTTCTAGAATTATTTGCTGATGCGCCTGAGATCTACGGGCAGCTCTTTTTCTTGTCTTTTTTGGTCAAGGTTTTGTCGATTAAACAAGCCTTAGTCCAACATCGTTGTTTTTAGGATGCATGGATTCCGCACACAGTGCAGTCATGTTTGACATATCTATCGCCGATTTATTCACTCTTGATCTATTAAAAGCCTGAATTCGTTATATACCTATACTGCTAACAAAGGCGGATATCATTATCATCAATTGACCTTGTCGTCCTCTTCAGCGTTTGGAATATGGCAAACCAAAAAAAAACCCTAGACCTAGTCAGAAGTGCATTTTGGAACAATTTCGGGGGAGTCCTACCAACTAAAATGAAATTTACAAGCAATTCTGTAAATATATCTAAAAAATACGATTTCTGAGGTTAGCCGCAACCTGGCTTCGTCGATGCAAAACACTCTACCGGTGGACATCCCCATTTTTGACAATATTTATTAAAAAATATATATATATTGCTAGAGTCTTCCAATTTTAGCGGAAGCGCAGTTACCTTATTAAGAAGGGGTCAATAATGGGTCCTTTTCCAATCAGAAAATACACTGACTGGATATATCTTTTCTTCAGATTGCGCTGCCTATTTGAAGAAATGCTAGAAACGGCTGCGACTGCGCCTCAAATTGTCCATCTGCTTGTTCCAATATTGTCATTCATTTTCCCACATTTTGGCCGGTCTCTAACAAAAGAATGCTTCAACGTTCTCTTCTAATGAGTCAATTGAAGTGGGCTCGTCTGTATAGACATGAGAATTTAATATAGCCCCAAAAAATAGTCTAAAGACGTAAAATTTTTGCCGTGCATTCGTCATTGTCTTGTAAAAGGATTGAGGTCGACCATGGCATAGCCTCTGTACCATTGTAAGGACTCAGTAACTTTCAGGCGCCCAAGTAAAAAAGTAAGCTCCGTTAGAATACAGTCGGTACCCTGATTACAAACTTGTAGCACAGATCGTGATCGCATCGATAGCACTCAACTGGCCCATCCAGTCATCTCACAACATCTAAATTGCGAAAAATCTTCGCTGCTAACGTCGACACCCTAGCGTTAGGGGGAGTCCTCTTTATGTGGTGACCAATACAGAGGTTAGGCGGAGTTTTGACATGTGGCCGACTTCAAGGTCTGTTTACTGTGAGCCCATCCTTTCCCATTTCCTTTAATAATACCCAGCAAAGCCGGATAGTAGTGTGCAGATTTCCCAGAGCCGTTTTACAACTCAAGACTGCATCGGAATTTTTTGTCGCAGGTTCAATAGCTTTAAGAGCCGCTTGACTATACACACCGGTTCAGTTATTTCATTCTCCATAGTTTTAATCAATTCTGCCGCTTTTATGATTGCAAATATCTCAGCTTGAGAAACACTGCATTTTCCACCCAACTTGTAGAAGTATGCAATTCCTAGTTGCTCACAGAAGACTCCGTCCGAGGTGCCTTCTTTGATTCTGTATATAGATAACGGCTGACCAGATTCGTTCATCCCTGCTTGGAATCAGTATCTCAATGCAGTCCAACGTTATGGTTCATGTTGGTTGAAATTTAATTCTGCTCTTAGAAAGACTAGCAAGCTGTCACGATTCTGTCGTGTAGTATGCAGCATGTTCTGCTCGGAAAACCTTAAAGCCATAAAAGGCTTCTCTGACTGGCTTAAGTCATCGGCTGGCTTCTTCGTAGAGGAACAAAGGAGTCTTGGGTTGTCTTAGTTCGATTTTGTTCTTCTCCAAGCCTGTCGATGAATTAAGCCAGTCAAAAAAGCTCTTTATGGGCTTGCACTTTTATCTCACTTCGTGCAGCCTGGCTCTGTATACTAAGTTCGACCGGGCGAGGTTTAGGTTTAGGTTGAAGGCTACGTGCCTAATTGAAGCTGCTCGTTGATTGCTTGAGAGTTTCGAGCTATTTACCTTGAATTTTAAAACGTGCCACCAGACAAGACTTCCAAAGAAAAGGATGAGCCAAACCACAGCTGTATGTTAACGAGAGAGAGGGTCCCAGCACTTTCCCATGAAATTCTTGCGGGAGTATGGCATTTCTTCACCCGTTCCGCATGCAGTAGTTGACAATCCAAAATTGTGTGTTTGGCGTCAGAAGAGAGCTTTAGGACACCCCATCCAGCACTTTTAGACTGAATTGATCTGGCTTACGATTTCGTGTGAACAGTACCAACTCGGTCTTTGTTGGTTTGACGACTAAGCCGGTTTTGCTTTCCCATCGCGACAGCTGTGTATAAACGCCGTTACTATGGACAGATATTTCCCCGTAATTAACAGCTCAATGTCACCAGCATAAGCAACATTTTTTGTGCCCGTTTTTCTAAAGTCCCTTACCTACTTAGATTATTTTTTAAGTTTCTTTATATTTATCATGTAAATACAAAGCCTCAAATCCTACCGATGCAAATTTTTATAAGTTAAATATTAAGATTTATTTAAATGTTCAAACATACTATGGTTTCCTTAATATAACAATAACTAATATCAACGAATCAGAATGCCGATCTAAAAATTCGGAACAATTAAATGATGTCCATGTGTTGAATCTTTCGTTATGCAGCAATGTTCAAGTGGTCAAGGAATGCAATGGCAACTTTGTCGAAGATCCTCAGAAATTAAATTTGGAACAAGTAAGTATGGGAATTCAGAATTATTAATGAGCAAAAGGGCTCTCACTAGCCAGTCTATATTTCAAGAATACTTTTCTACATATATGCAAGGAGACTAAAAGTTGCAAAACAAAACAAAATTTAATAATACAGGCTGAGATGAAAAAACTGCAACCAATTTCAGCTGTTAAAATTATTCCAGTGACAGCTCATTATATTGTTTACAAGCGTACAAAAGCATTTGATGAGAATTTTCCAGAAAAAAAGTTATTCGTGATGGATTTCAAGCGTGATAGTGGGATTTCTTTATATTTGGCTAGAAAACCACAAGTGGCACATGTGAATAAATTGTTTGTGTCTCGTACCATTGCTCGTTACCGTGATACTGGTAACGTAGCCCGACGTCAAGGAAAGAAATGGTGTTCGAAAAGTAAAGGAGCGACTTGATCAAAAACCGCGTCGCTGTGGCCGAAAATGGCTCGTATGCTGAACGTATCGCAATATTCTATTGCGCAAGTATTGAAAAATTAGCTCGGGGTAAAGCCATTGAAATTGCAAAAAGTGCAAGAACTTACACCGCAACAGAAAGACTCAAAAGAGCTAAATAGTTGCTTCGTTTGGCCGAAAGTGGTGAACTACCGAATTTGGTTTTCTCCGATTAGAAAACATTCGTTGTCCAGCAGTTTGTGAACAAACAAAATGATCGTGTTACCTCCTAAAGAGGTCAGCTGAAAATGTGCACCTTCGGTTGGCCACCAGAACTCAAGCGCCGGCCATAGTAATGGTATGCACCGCCTTAACTCTCCGCTTTTATTAAACGACCGTGGCATTAGAATAAATGCCGAATATTATCGCGAAAATATTCTGGAGGGAGTATTAAAGCCTTGGGCACGCAATAAAAATTCTGGAAGGAGTATTAAAGTTTTGGGCACGCAATAAAAATTCTGGAGGGAGTATTAAAACCTTGGGCACGCAAATATTTTGGCCGCAGACCTTGGACATTCCAACAGGACTCATAGTACTCAGCACGTACCACCCACGAACGGTTACAAAATGAGGTTCCTTTCTTCAAATCTCCGGATACCAGTCCGTTGGACTATTGTGTCTGGAATATTTTGGAAAGTAAGGTTGGCACTAAAAGATACTAAAGTGTCGATCACCTCAAGCAAGCGCTTCGTGGGATTGTGCCAAAATACCGCAGTGCAACATTCTGGCAGCGTGTGACGGTTTCATTGGCCGTTTGAAGGTCATAATTCGGGCCAGAGGTGACCAATTCGAACAAATCTAAACTTATTCTATAATTTGATGCTATTTCCGACATTTTTTGCTTTCATTCAATAAAATTTAAAAAAATATGGCGTTTGACTTTGTTGCAATTTTTTCATCTCACCATGTAATAGAATAACTTAACTATTTGTTATATTGACATTGTTTAATATCTGTCTTCATTGATTTTTAGGTGAAAATAAGGCTACGCAAAACAGTACAACATCGTCAAACGTATCTCAAGTCGAAAAATGCTGATGTAAGCCCGGAGGCACAAGAACTATACAGAGTGATTGCTAAGCAATTCAAGGTATAACCATAATTCATTCAATGTTCTCATTTTTTTACCACTTTTGTTTACCAAATTTATTCCGTTTTTTCTTTCAGTCTAATGAAGTATCTTGGCAGGGTTTAAATATTCAAATATTCAAAGAAGTTACCATCAAGCCGCCATATAGGGCAGAGAATGTGATTTGCACATCAAGCAATAAGAACTTATGCAACTATATTAAGAAAATGGTAAGTTGTGGTTGTGTAAATAATGCAAGGCGATAATAAAATTAAAATAATGACACAGAGTGTCACATATGGTCTGTTACAGAAACTGCAAGAATTGACTAGTTTTGCTATTGTTTTCGATATCATAAAAGTTAAATAGGTTTTGGTAGTAAATAATTTTGCGTTCTGGCAGTTCTGGAACGGACCAATACATTTCTAAAAATTTTACGAAGAAGCCGATAACATAAGCCAGTTAGAAATCCTTCTATATATTTGCTATTTTGAGGTGCAGATAGACAAAAGGCTTTAAAGAACAAAGGAGTTTTAGGTTAAATTAATACAATATCGGCCCATATTTTATACTTGTTCACACTAAGCTCCTTTGTTCTTTCACGAAGAAGATAGCTATGTATTCTCACATTTGGGGTCTCTTTCTGCATAACGATTCGAAAGTGAACTTGAAAGAAAACACCCACCCATTCCTTGTATGTTTTTATACCCTCAGCCATATGGCTTTGTTTTGATACGGCCAAAACATGCCCCATAGAAATAATAGTTTTAGACTCTAGGTCTCTTTGGGCCAAATCTGTTTCAGGACATTTGGAGTCGATCTAGCGATGTCCGTCTGGTGAGCACGGTAAACTGTCGAAGGGAGTAACCGATTTGGTGCATCGTAATATTATGATCAAACTTAAATCGAGTTTGCAGATGGGCAATATCGGTGCACTCCTTCTAGTACCTCCCTCACGAAAGGGCGAAATTTGCAAAAAAAAAAAAAAAATAATTTACTGCACAGAAAGAGAAAAGACAATCCGATTTTGCAAATTCTAATATTTGCATCAGTGCTAGGTTAGGTGCGAAAATGGACAATATCGGCCCACTCCATCAGGTACCTCCCCCACAAAGGGCCAACATTTCGAAAAATTATAACTTTTATAAAATTTGAAACACGACTCCGAAAGCCTTTAAATTTCACACATCACAATATTTTTTTTAACCCAAAGTCTGGTGTGAAGACGGAATAAATCGAGCAACTTATATTGCCACCTACCCCACAACGGGTCCAAATTTTGAATAATCACGAAGCTCGTAAAACGCGAAATGATCATTCGATTCTTTAGAAATTTCACAAATTCAAATACTTCTGCTCAAGATAGATCTGAAGTGAAGATGGTAGATATCAGACCACTCCTTCTGGTACCTCCCCCACAAAGGGTCAAAATTTTGAATAAGTATAACGTTTATAAAATTTGAACTAAGAGTTAGATTATATTCAAATTTCGCACATTTTAATATTTTAACCAACATCCGAGCATCCGATTACTTTCAAACTCGGCACATCAAATACTTCTATCAACACAAGCTGTGCTGTGAAGATGGACAATATCGGACTATTCCTGGTACCTCCCCTACAACTGGTCAAAATTACAAATAATTATAACTCTCAAAAAACCCAAACTTTTTGAAAAAATATCAAATACCTCATATAAAGTGAAGAAATTGGTCGATGTAAAATCCAAACTTGATACGTTTTCTATTTTTACAAGACTTATGTCAGATACGAAATGGAAAATATTTGCCCACTCCTCCGGAATCTCTCCTATGAAGGTTCAACAATTTGAATAATCATAACGCAAGTCAAAACATATTTAAATAACCGAAAATTAGCTGAGGGTATGCAGTTGTCGGCAATACCGACTGATTCTATTTAAATTGTTCAATTGTGGTTTAGTATTTGTACTGAAAAAATATTCCTGGAATCTTTTCAAATCGATTAATAGAAAATAATGAATAAATCACCATTTTCTTTTCCTTTTGTTACAGATTGAAAACTTCGTTATTAACAGAGCTGCACAGGAGAATGCATCAGTAATGGGTACTTCGTCAGCGTCTTCGCCTACATCATCATCATTGTCATCAAGTAATGCGGCATCGGGATCTCCAGTGCCTGCTAATTCATAATAATTATATGTTTTGAAAACAAAAAAACACCAAGAACAACAATAAAAAAAAACAAAAACAACAAAAAATAAAATTTATATTTGAATTGGAATAAATGATTACTTTGGATCGATAGAAGAGGAGTGAATAGCTAATTCATTCATTGTGATATGAAGAACCTCACCTCTCACCTTGACTACTATATTAATTAATATTTGGATGTTGTATAAGCATATAAGTCGCACTTCCCTTGATCTGATTTTTTTAAAAAAAATTTACATGTCAGATAATAAGTGAGTGGTTGTCAGTTCAGTAATCACGCCCCATTACATTTCCAGACACCCGCAACAATTTCAAATGAATATATGGCCGCTTTAAAAACTCAATTTGTTTGAGTATCAACACCTTTTAATACTCTCATCCTCAAGATTACAATAAGAGGATATATCTCATTTGATAAGGTCAAAAAGTATTTTTGGATGATATCCGTTTCAGTACATTTCAAGCCGATCTTAAGATGTGCGCATTGCTGTCTGATGAGCACAACTTTGGCCAATTTAGCCAAATTGTCAATTTAGTAATCCAGAGTCAATAGAAAATAGTTCTATTATTTTTCAAAACATCCTAAAATTTGAAAATGAATATCAGGCCGATTAAGGAACTACATTTTTATGAGTAACTACAGCTTTTTATACCCTCAGCCTTAAGGCCGCAAAGAGAATATATCTTTTTAATATATCAATAATTGATTCAATTCACATTTGGAGCCGATTTACAATAGTTAGCATGGGTGTCTGCTGAGCACGTAAATGCTCCACCGTCTCGGTTTCCTCCTCGCAGCCTGCAGTTTTTGGTGTTGTCGCCCCCATCCACTTTGAAGTCATGGCCTTTATATTGCAAGGGGATGATTGACGTTGATCTCCGTTTGGAGATCATTGGCTATATATTTTTGTAGATATTACATCCCCTTCCAATCAGCCAGTTCGGATTAAATCTCCCAAGGTAGTGCTTATGTAATACTTGGAAGAAGTGACATAATGGTGGCTTCACTGAGCTATCGATCTCTAGATCTACTGACTCAAATCCGCCTCTGCCCAATTTATCTGCTGATTCATTGCCAGATATGTACAATAACCAGGAACGCAACAAAGTTTGACAGACGTCTTAAATTTTTCCAAAGCATTTCTGCATTCCAGAACAGCCAAAAATTTAAGAATTAAGAGCCTTCAAGGCCGCCTGACTATCGACATATATAGCCACCAGGCGGTTCAGTTCATTGATTCAGTTTTCCAACAGCTCAACGGCTTTCCTGATAGCAAAGATTTCTGCCTGAAAAAAAGCTGCAGTCGTTGTTTAATTTAAACGATCTTATTTTACTTTGTCGATTTTTCTCGAAAAAGTGGGAGTTGTTAACAATGTGAATCTGAGTTCGATCCAAAAAGCTCTCTATGCGTCTGGTATTTCCTCTATTCTGATTAAATGGATTGATAGAATGCTAAAAAGTAGGATACTTCATTCGAGCTTAGGAGAGGGTCCCATTAGGGAACTGTCAGCAGAGGGACGCCGCAGGGAGGAGTTCTGTCACCTCTGCTATGGCTTTTAGTGATCAATGAAATGTTGGGCCCTTGATAATGGTCTGGGCGTCAATCCTGCAAAAAAACTTGGCTATTCACAAAGCATATAATTTTTCACATCCAATACTGAATGGAGGAGCACTGAAACATTTTTCGTGTGCCAAATACCTGTGTTCGATCTTGGACCAGCGTTTAAACTCGAATAAGAACATCGAAGAGCGTACATGTTGGAACTTCTGACTTATATGGTGGCATACGATTGAATCCAGAACGCTCATGTCAAAATTAAACACAGTGCAGAGCCGCGTCCTTACTGATATCAGGAGTTGTCGAGAGCACTCCCAGATCTGCATTGAGTGTGCTGCTAAATTTCCAGCCATTGTATATTCTGGCTCAATTTTAAGCAGCAAGAAGTGCTCTGGGACCAAGGGAAGCTGGAGGATGGTAGTCTTCACGTTTTGGTCATGCACGAATCCTAGTCATACCAATAACTCGGGATATTCTAGGTGAAGGTAATACAATTAGTGATTGAATGTCCACCTTCTTCGACTTTAATTACATGATGTTGAACCTCCTTTGGACGGTCTGACTTTCTATACAGACGGCCCCAAGATGAAATAAGGCACCAGTGCTGTCGCATTCAGCCCTAACCCAATGATTAAACGTTCATATAAGCTCGATAGCAATTGAAGTGTTTTTCAGGCGCAGATTCTTGCAGTGAAGAAGTCATCCGAGACGGTAAAAGAACCATGCAATAGAAGAACGAGACCAGTGAGTATATGTCGATAGTAAGGCGGCCGTTACAGTTATAAAGTCAAGTGCCTGTAAATCGAGAGCCACTCTGGACTGCAAGAAAGCCCTTATTGAAAAACGTGATTGCGTTAGTGCTTAAATTTTTCTTAATTTGCCCAATGAACGTTGAAGAACACCAAACCTAATACCAAACAGAATACACAGTGTTAATTATAACAATATAAATCATTATTTATTTGTTACGCTGGCCTTATAACTAACAGAAGTTTAAAAGAAAATGTAGTAGAAATATAACCAATGAAAATACAAGGATACAATATGTTGTAAATAAAAGGTGGTGTGTGGTATCGCAATTTAGCTCGACTTCGATTTCTTGTTGCGATTGCGATTTTTAACATTCGTAACCTCATAGAAATTACTACCCACTTTTTTGCGTTTCTCTTGCCTTTCCAAGGTACGCTTTTGTTTTGCCGTCAACTTCTTTTTGGCCGGTGGCGCTGATGGACTGTCTGAGTCACTGCCAGAATCGTCTACCTCTTCACGTACTCTAAATTTACCCGACGATGTAATTGCAACATTTTTCGTTCTCTTCGGTGCTGCCTTCTTGTGAACAACCTTCTTTAGATCTTCGTCGTATTCATCTTCGGAATAGAAATCACTAGCTCCATCACTAGACTCTTCCTCATCTTCGGCCGGGTTGAGGAGACGTGCCTTCTTGCGTGCCGCTCTTTCTGCCTTCTGTTGTTCCAATAATTCCAAATCGATTTTATCCAGTTCTTTAATATCATCTTCAACAAAGTCCACAGCCACCTTGATTTTTCGGAAATCTTGAAGCTGTTTGAATTCTTTAGCCTTTTTCACGGACTCGCTTACAACAGTGGCTGTTTCGGACTTTTCGTCACCTTTGTCATCTGACTCTTCGACATTCTGTTTTTCCACACCCTCTGAAACATGGGATTTTGGTATTTCAAAGCCCTCGGGAGCAATGTAGAATGGCAACTTTCCTCTCTGGAAGTCGTTGAGTATCATTCGTGCCGTAACTGTTATATCAGGCTCGCCGCCCTTCAACAATTTTCCCGTTTTCTTTGCCAGTTGCTCCAAAAAGTCCAAATGCGATGTCCATCTTTCAATTTTATACGTTTTTGTAATATATTCAGGACGTATGCGTTTCAATACCGTTTCCACATAATCTTCTGGATTTGTTACCAACTCAACACGTACCACACCTTTGAGAACCTTCTCCGTATCCGTCTCAGCCGAGGGATAAACAACACCGGGACAATCGATCAAAAATATGCGTTTCATCAGTGTAATGTATTGCCAAACTTTGGTTTCGCCAGCAATAGGAGCAACTTTGCACACTTTCTTTGATCTCAAGGCATTGATAACCGACGACTTGCCCACGTTGGGATAGCCAATGAAGCCAACACTGATTTGTTTCTTGTCAATATGTAATTTACCCAATTGACGGAACAAATTGATGAGTGCACCCTTACCGAAGGGATGTTGCAGTGAAGCGTGAAAGGCAATTGTGGGATACTCAGCACTCAGTATGGCCACCCAACGTTGCGTTACCCATACAGGCACCAAATCCACTTTGTTCAGTATAAAGAACAAATGTTTGTGTGGTTTTTCTTTACGCAAAAACTCCTCAATGTATTTGGAACGTGTGCCCATGGGGTCTCTGGCATCTAGCACCTGTAAAAGTACATCTGATGCGTCCACCACTTTGTGTAATTCATTCCAAATACGTTTACTTTGGCCAGCAGCAAATACCCAATCACGTTGGGCATCTTTTACACCGGTATCCTCGCGCACCAAGTCAACATCCTTTTCGGCGTCATACTCTTCGGCTTGCTCCTCAACTTTACGGCTCAAATCCTCAAGATCTCGAACCTTGATATTTACACGTTTCCTTTGTTTCTTTGGTCCAAAGACACTTTCAAAACTTTCCGTTTCCAGTAAATGTACTCTTTGATGCTTGGCCGTTTCGTTGAGCAGAGTTATGGGCAATTGGCTAGGCTTCATAATAACTTGATATGGATCTTTGACAGCCTTTCCAATTTCATCCTGGAATTTCTGCAGGGCCGATTGGGATATGACACGTGAATTACTGAACCATTTTGGTGTTGGCTCAACTCTGGCCATGGTGCCGGACGGCAGGCGACCCTGTAAATAAAACGCAATAGATTATTTCTTATCGTAAATTGAATAATTTTTATTTTCGCAATACCTGGAAAGGAGCGGGGGTTAAAATTTTGCCATTACGATCTCTCTTGGCTTTGAAGTTCCTGTACATTTGCAAACGTTTGATGGTACCCTTTGTTCTTGGATTGGCTACTCCTTTAAGGCCAGCTTTGGGTCTTTCGGGGTTCATGGAGTGGTTGGACTTGTTGAACCCCTGTTTACGGGGAGCCCCCGTTGTGCTTCGAACTTTCGGCATGTTTGCACGGGGTTTTTAATAAAAAATAATGTAGTTTTTTTGAAAATTTCACTCGTGGCAGACCAAACTATGTAAACATGCCGTTCGAAGTGTCAAAAGCGAAAAGAACAAAAATAGCATGGTCTAGTGATGTCAATATTTCGATAACTAGTTCATAGTAATCGGTTTACGATAAAGTGTTATGAGCACATTAGGGGTACTCACGATACTCATGACCTGGGCCTCAATTCGTGTTCTATGAAAATGTGAAATTAAAACTTTTATAGAGAAAAGAAATGCCAAATGGAAAATATTATAAAGGAAATATTTTTTATTTCATATTTTCATAGAACAAGAATTCAGCCCCTGGGCCTCGTTTTATGAAAATGTGAAATGAAAAAAATGTGATGGAAAGAAATCTCAATTGAAAATATTAATAAAGGAAATACGAAAGTAGAAACTACGTTTTCTGTCCCATTAAAATGAAATTTTCTACAAATTAGTTGTGTGACCCAAGAATGAACCCTATTGAAATTGGTGAAAATCGGTCCAAACATTGATATGTCAAAAAAATTTTATTTTTTTTTTTCAAATATAAGTAGATTTTAATATCTCTTCTTATACGACGTCATTCGGAGTTTATTGTAATTCGGGGTATTCAACAATTTTTACAAATTTAGATAATTTTTCATTCAACATTTTCCATTTCAAAATTGGTTCAACAGTTCATTGTCCCGGCAGCTGTGTCGATGCGTCTTCCTATATTCTTTTACCATGACAATTGGAGTACAAATTGACAAACCTTGAAGATTCACGTAAAGGAACAGATCTAGGTCTATGTAGACTGAGTGCAGCTGTTTGAGCCGGTATTATTATGAACTAGTTCGGTTAATTCCTCACGGTGAATAGTTCAATTTAAATCCTCGCTACTGAACGACGCCAACACATTTCGATAAGGGGGCCAAACAGTGCCGCATTTTATTTTTCCTAGCTGCTTTATTTGGGATATCAGGATGGAGGAAGTACAGAGACACAGTGTCCATACTCTTATTTTTCGCTCCTTGAAACGCACCCATGATATGTTTGTCTCCAATCAGGGCAACCTACCAGAAATTGATGAAAAACTGTAAGTACTAAGAAACGTTTACAACGCATCTCTGTGGAATACGATTTGTATTTCTATTTAATTTAAAAAATAATAATATAATCCTTTATTCTTTCCAGGGAAGCGAAGAGAAAATCTATAAAAGCTCGTGATAGCTACAAATTGGTATTTGATCGAGTGGCCAAGGCGGAACAAGCAAAGAAACTTGCAAATGGCATTGGATCCAGCGCGGGAGCAATTCAAGCACCAGAACCGCTTTTAGCAATTACAGATGGATCTTCAAACAACAGAGATGGCCAACTGGCTTCAATCGATGCCGCCAATAAACCCACCGAAAGTCCAGTTAGTAATTCCTTGGTATCTGCGCCTGGTATGCGTTCCTCTGGAGGAGCTAATAATGTTCAATTAATACCCAAAAAAGCGCCCACAATACCCAAACCTTCATGGCATGCGCCTTGGAAATTGTCACGAGTTATATCTGGTCATTTGGGTTGGGTACGTTGTATTGCTGTTGAACCCGGAAATGAATGGTTTGCCACTGGTGCCGGTGATCGTGTTATTAAAATCTGGGACTTGGCAAGCGGTAAATTAAAACTGTCACTCACCGGTCATGTGAGTACGGTACGTGGTTTAGCGGTAAGCGCCAAACATCCGTACTTGTTCAGTTGTGGCGAAGATCGTCAGGTTAAATGTTGGGATTTGGAATACAATAAAGTTATACGACACTATCACGGACATTTGTCTGCAGTATACTCTTTGGCTCTACATCCAACTATTGACATATTGGCGACATCGGGACGTGATTCGACCGCCCGCATATGGGACATGCGGACAAAGGCCAACATTCATACACTAACCGGACACACAAACACTGTGGCCAGTGTTGTGGCCCAGGCCAGTAATCCACAAATTATCACAGGTTCCCACGACTCCACAATACGTTTATGGGATTTGGCTGCGGGCAAGAGTGTGTGTACACTTACAAATCACAAAAAATCTGTTCGTAGTCTCGTTCTACACCCGAAACTTTATATGTTTGCTTCGGCATCTCCGGATAACATAAAGCAGTGGCGATGTCCAGAGGGCAATTTTGTACAAAATATCTCTGGTCACAATGCCATCGTCAATTGTATGGCTGTTAATCCAGACGGTGTCCTAGTGTCGGGTGGTGACAATGGTACAATGTTCTTTTGGGATTGGCGTACGGGTTACAATTTCCAACGTTTCCAAGCACCGGTTCAACCAGGATCAATGGACAGTGAAGCTGGCATTTTTGCTATGTGCTTCGATCAGTCTGGTTCACGTCTGATTACCGCCGAGGCCGATAAAACAATTAAAATTTACAAAGAAGATGACGAGGCAACAGAAGAATCACATCCTGTTAACTGGAGGCCGGAAATTTTAAAACGTCGCAAATTTTAATTTAGTATCTATATTTGTATTTTTATAATAGATGTTTAAATTGTAATACTTAAATATAGTCATATTCAAAAGATAAAATGATCCCGTCATGAAAATGATTGGTCACAGTCATATTTTGAATCGGCAATCTAAATTGTGGGTTATACAATGGTACAATAAGGAGGTTGAACTGTTTCGCAAAACTACTGCCCGCTTCCTGTCAGAATTATACAAAATTAACAAACAACTTGTCATCATTTATATGATATTTTGCTATGCTACAGAATTCTTGCAAGAATTGTCGGCTTTAATTTTTTAGATCAACTGTAATATTTTTGGGAGACGAATATGATAATGAACAAGGCAGGGAAATATTGCGACATTACTTTGAAAATCAGAGAAATGTTGCAGACGTATGTAAACTATAAAAATTGTGCCCTGTGGTGCCCAGAAAAAATGCAAATATACATTGAAAATTCGATGCACCTAAAACCAGTGCGGATTTTGTGCCAGTTTCATAATTTCGACTGATTTACTTTGAAAATCAGAGAAATGTTGCAGACGTATGTAAACTAGAAAAATTGCGCCCTGTGGTGCCCAAAAAACCTGCAAGTATATTGAAAATTCGATGCACCTAAAACCAGTGCGGTTTTTTTCTAATTAGCTGCTTTTTTACTTGTTCTTCGTTAATACTGTGCGACAAAATTCAAAATTTTCAATAATTACGGGGAAAATCCTCCAGATTATAAAAGTATAGACATGTGTATTACCATTTGAGAGAGCACGTCCCCCCTCTTCTACACTTTTGGATATTTTCGGATTAGGATTCCTCGGAATCAGTGCATTTTAGGCTTGCGTTAGCAAAAATATTTGGATGTGTGAAATTTGAAGAGAGTTAGATGCTTATTTCGCTTTCTTTGATCAATTCAAAAATTCAAATTCAAAATTGGGGGGGGGGGAGATGCCAGAAGGAATGATCCGATCTATACCATATTTATAACAGACCTTGTGTTGATGGAAATATTGAGATGTGCCAATTCTTAATTGAATTGGATGATAGGTTTGTGTTTTATGAGCTTCATGAACATTCAAAATTTCGACCCATTGTTGGGGAGGTACCAGAATAAGTGGACCGATATATTCGATCTTCACACCAGACCTTGGGATAATAAAAATGTTGTGATGTGTGTAATTTGATTTCAAAATTTTGATCCTTTATGGACCCATTTTCGCACCTGACCTAGCACTTATGCAAATATAAGGATTTGCAAAGTTGGAGTAAAATCGGATTGTCCTTTCTATTTCTGTACTGTAACTTATTTTCTTTAAAAATGTTGACATTTTGTGGAGGAGGTACCAGAAGGACTGGACCGATATTGCCCATCTCCGAACTCGATCTAAGTTTGAACTCAATATTATGATGTACCAAGTTTGGATCAAATCGGATACTCCCTTCGAGAGTTATTGTGCGCAACAGCCGGCCAGACATCGCTAGATCGACTTCAAATGTCCTGAAACGGATTTGGTCCAAAAAGACCTAGGGTCTAAACCCGTTATTTCGATGAGGCACGTTTTGGTCGTATCAAATGACATATACCCTTACTAGCCATATGGCTGAGGGTATAATGAAGAGGAGGACATAGGCAACTCTGCGTGCACAAAGCCGGAGGAGCACACGCTTTTATAAAAAATTGACTAAGCATTTATTAAAATTATTCGAAATTAATACTAACTTTATTAAAAATTCATCTGTGATTTTCCTGTATTATTTTGGCTTCATCTGATGTTTTTGTAACCATTTATTGCGTAACCGGAACTGCTAAGACAAAAGTATTAGGATAAGAAAAATCTTGTATAGATAATTCCGTTATATTTATAAAAAAAGTCTATGCTTCCGAAAGGAAAGTATATCAGCACTGTTTGGCAAAAACATAATCAGGGAAATCACGTATAACTACTCTTCTTTTTTCCACTTCGTAATAAGGTACAATCGTATTGTACCATGCTTTTTTAACATTTTTATTTCCGAAACTACAGTGAAAAGTGTAAATGCAAATGCTAGGTTTATAAAGGAATATATATTTATGTTTTCCATTTCGAAGGAATCATTTTGAAAATTTTTTGCTAATATTTTCCGCACGGAAAAAATCGTGAGATTATTCATGATTTGAATAAAGATTGTTAAATTTAAAACAAACGTATTCGAAAAAATATACATTTTTAATTAAAAGAACCTACCTTGTCTGCAGATACGCCATACCCAAATTCCCTTCAAAGTAATCAAACTTACCACAGGCCGTTTGTTGTCTCTTCCACACCTATATAGTAAGATCAGTATATAAAACGTAGTTTTGAGTTATTTATAATTTTTAGGTTAATTTTTGTTATTTCTTTTTTGCTGGAGAAGCATATCTTAACTACAGTTGACAGAGTTTTAAATTTTATAGTTTTGTTTTGCAAATTTTTCATATTTATAATATATATTTTTTTCTTTTTTTGTTTTTAATAATAAACATAAATAACAAACGCTTAGTTTTCTCATTAGAAGTGTTATGTATCATTTGATGTTTTCGTGGATGTTGTTCTGCGGCTGCAGGCCGTTACTCCTGCTGCTGCTGTTCGTTTTCGGTCTCGTCTGCTGTTATGACATCTGTTGTTGCTTGATGATGTGGTGATTTTACGTCTGTCCGGCTATTTCTTGAGGGGGGTTTTACCAAGTAGTTATTTGTTTCATATTTTTCATGGCAATATTTGAAAGGTCAGACGTTTCCGGGTCTGAATTGCATTTCCGAATACGGATGATGTTGGCTATATGTATGTATTTATAAATATACCAACTTTTAGCATAATAGGGCTCATCGAAATATTTGCATCATTCAAGAAGGGTATGGTTTGCTGATTGGTTGATTGATTGGCTGGCTGGTTTTTGTGGTATCGTAACGTATTTTTTTTAAACCATGAAAAACAAATGGTTTCATATCTATATATCTTATATTCCAAATACATTGATAATGTTGTGGTGTCCTTACAGAGTTGTTTTTGATGATGTTATGTTTTTGTTTTTATAAGAATGCTGGACAACACTTGGTGCAACGTGGGCTACACTTAGTGCATCTTTAGGCTCTTGGAGTTCATTTCTTCTCGTGTTTCATGCATATCTTTGATTTTTTTCTTCTTGATTTTCTTATTTCTCTCACACATTACTGTTCTTTTAGTTTTGTAATAATAGTGTATGTGGGTGTGTACGTGTGTGTGTGTTTGTATATGTGATCTCTAAGTGTATTTGTGTTACTATTTTTAATTTAATTATAAATCTTAATGGCCTTTTCGGAAAAGTTCAACGATGTTCGCTTGCGCGACTTGTTAATGTGATCCAGGCCAAAGTAGGGCGTCGTATTTCCATTCCATGATCGATACACAGACAAATCAACAGGTGTATTGTCATTAACATCTGGCGTACTGCCCCCAACAATGGCAAACTTGTAATTCTCCCATTCCTTGTCGGGGACATTCAATCGTTTTTGTATACGCTGCTTCAGAGCGCCATAGGGCTCACCTTGCCGCGCCTTAATTAGGAATGGCACACCAAAAACGCTAAAGATCTCCTTGCTATAGTGGGCAACTGGTATGAGCATTTCATTTTCAGCCAGTTGCAAATCTTCAAGAGGCACTTCTTCAATACGGAACGTCTTTTGAGTACTCTGAGGTGTTATGGGTTCAGTGGCCTTCTGCAGAGATTCGAGGGGCGTGTCCTCTTTGAAAACCATTACGATTTTATGATTGTTCACCTTAAGCAAACGCAACTTCTTCGAGCTGTTTTCCGAAAATTGTATCTTTTTAGCCGCTTCATCTAATAAACCTCGGACTGCATCGTTTTTGTTGGGATACAAAACCAATTCTTTCTCTTCCTTGAGGTCATTTGAAACCCAAATGCATTTAAATTGCTTCTTATTGTCAAGTTCGTGGATGCTCAGGGACAGTCTTTGATAGAAAAGCTTTTTGGGATTGCTTTGCTTGGTAGAGGCCAACGCTAACAGATCTTTGAGACAGCCCTGGAAAAATAAGAAGAAGAAAAATCATATGGTATTCAAACAGATAATGCTATGCTTTGCTCCAAAGAAGTTTTTAAAACCAACAACAAGTCATATCAAACAAACTGTTACCGATAGCGTGTCTATGTACTACAAGAACTCTATAGGTAAAGGTTCTCTACAAAAACTCTATAGGTAAAAATTGGGGTTTTAAACCGGATATGTCAGTCAATTGTTCACCCGTTCTAAGCTCAAGTTTAGTGATAAGGTAAATCATCCTACATACAAGGCATTGAAAATGTTGAAAGAGTCGCATCGCTACATTCTCATTCAGTCTGCACATCCCAGGCCACTCTAGATACCCTACATAGCTTAAGTTCATTACGTCTTCACGTAGAAGAACACAATCATGTGTACCCTACGAATCAAGAGAACTTAAATAATGGCTCACTCAATCCTTTGGACACTCTACCATCCTAGCTCGAGTGAAAGTGACTACATACTTAACAGGGACGTCTGGATCCGAAACAATTCACCCTTATGTGGTATAGCTGTCTATATTGACGTTTCTAAGATGGAATATGGGACGGACATAATAATGGTAAATCTGAAATCACACTTAGCAGCGACTGTAATATTCCAGGCAGAATAAGCCATAGATCTATTGGCAAACAGAAACAGTGAAGTTAACGGCACGTCATTAAATCTACGGCAGTTTTTGGAATGTAGAAAAGCCATCTCATGCTCTGTTGGGTTCCAAGACATTACAATATTTCAGGTAATGAGACAGCAAGAAGAGGATCCAAATCAACTGAAATCAACCTGTGAAACTTCTTTCGTGCGATACACGAACACTACTCCAGGAGATTCCAACATTAATTGTTAGATTGGATGGAATGTAATGTCCCCAATAAAATCTGACCTATAATCTCCGAGAAGAGAACAAGATCGCTCATCTCCATGGCAAAATCAGACCTAAAACTTGTGGTGGGTATTATCACAGGTCACTGTAGGGTGATGAATTCTTAGTCGCGGTTTGCTATTACATTTTTATATCATTTCTCCCATCTCTTTTCTTGTTGTCTTCCTCAAATTCAGGATGAACACAATGGGCCAGCAGGCCTCCCAGTGGAGCGGGAGTTAAGGCAATTACGCGTTCTTTAACCTAACATAAGGACCATGATAAGTGGGGTGATGACGACATCGTTTATTGCAGGTTCTGTCATTATACGGAGGAAACTGACACGGTCGAACAATTACCCTCCCACTTTCCAACTATCTTCGATGCGAGCCATTGGTTTTACGGGGGAGCAAATTCAGCATGATCTGTTTTCATTCCCCGAACTGAACAAGTCAGCCAGCAGACTAAAGTGGCTAAAGACGACGACAAAAAAGAAAGAAAAACATTAAGTGCGGTTCACGAAGACACGTTAACACCTTCGTGGATCTCTGAGGGGAGAGTTGTTACAAAACAAACCTAACTTTCTATACACCCCGTCTGATTCATAAATACATACAGCAAGTAAAGTTGGACCATACTTTTTCCTATGCTTGATAGTTTTAATGATACTTTTATATGACTCTGGCTAGGGTATATATTCATTGATTGTACACATATATCTGCGTCGCATTATATGAAATAAACGAAAATTGAAATATTCCTACTCACCTTTTGATTATACTGTATTGCCGTGCCCGGCTGATCCTTATAACTACCAGTACAGGTGAAGAACTGCAATTTATTGGGATCCGTATTTAACCGTTCGGCAACAGCTTGGGCCATTTGATCGTAATTATAGCGATTGGACAATTCCAAAACAATTTCCGGTTCATTGGGATTACTCTTATCACAGAATGTGATTTCAACTCGATAAACTAAATCGCTAAAGTAATCTATAACAGTTGGCAATTCAAGCTTCTGATCAATGTGTTCCTTTTCAAATATCAATATATAACCCTGAAGACTGCCACGTTCCGCATTATCCGGATTCAAACACAATATATTCTCCAATGAGTCGTTCAAATTCGTTATTTTACGGTCATTGCATTCATCGTAGACGCTTAGTTCAGTGTCAATCTCGAAACCCAGGTGAGTGTTAACGTCGGGCACTAATTCGGCCAGACATCTACCCAACGGCTGTTGGGAGCAGCCAATATAATTGAGTCGTTTGTTGCGAGCATCGTAATACTTGAAGAAAATTAACACTTCCTTTTTCGGATCGAAGGGCGGCAGTGCACAACCCACTTTATCGGGTGACGCCAATTCAAGGAAAATGACCCATGGTTTTTGTAAACTTGCTATCTGATCGATGCAGCGACCACCTTCACGATGAAAATCAAAGTAAAGGAACTTCTGTGTCTGTGTGGCGTACATAATCCAGACGCGCATTCGTTCCTTAGGTACACAGAAGGATTTTACAAATTGATCCATCATCTCGTCAATCGTCTGAGTCTGCCTCATTTTGAACAAACGCTGGTGGACCTTATCCAAATCGAAGAGGCGTCGCTTCTGTTGCGCTTCAAAGTACTCCTCCAGTATAACATGTATGGACACATACAAATTTGCCTCACTGCGCTCTTTGCGTTTGGCCATCTCAATGCGTTTCTCCAAATCCAAACGTTCGACTAGCTCACTGGGAATCTCATGTTCGGGTATATCGCTGAGGACACGATCGATTTCCGATTTTCGTATGTATACCAACATGTAGGCATTGCTGCATTTTGGATGGAACGATATTTCTTCATCCACGCCACCATAATTCATGTCGATTGCCTCATTCTTCCAACAAGTACAGACCACATCGTCGTCAAACTTTAACCATTTACCATCGCATTTGGGATTAATGTAGACAACATAGTGGCCACCATGATTATCACCCGAATGTACTAGGACAGCATGTAGAATATATTCAGCTTTGGTTTCGCCCTCCTTCTCCAAGAACCGATCTAGATTAATTTGTTCGTAAAATTGGAAGCGATCATTATACTTTATAGAGCTATCAGTGACTGGATCATATTGGAAACGCATTAAATGCAAATGTAGTACAGGCGGGAATGAAGTGAATTGAACACCTTTTTGGGCTTCCTAAAAATGCGGAAAATATTGGGGGTTAGAATACTTAAAAAAGTAACATGTAGATATGGAATCAAATGGTCATACCATTAGATCACTAAAAATATTCAACATAAATTAATTTTACATCCAGCTGGCGGAAAGCTCTTTTTATTGAAGGTATGTTTTTTTTATTCTCTTACATCCCTAGATATAGAGCTCCAAATTTACAAAAATTCCTCTTTCTACTTTGCTGCCACTAAACCGATTATTGAAATAACATTTTCAAAATGTTTCCATAGGCAGTATAGAACATACGCTAGAGGAGAAAATAAAGGGCCGGATTCTTTAAAATGTATTAAATTTTAGTTTAAAATATCTACCGAAAAATCCTACTATATATTTTTATTTCGGTCATCGAGTTTGGTAAGCAAAGTTAAAAGAGGTTTTTTTATGTATCATAGAAGACTAGAAGGTCTTCTCACAGAAGATCAGAAGGTCCTCTCATAGTTCACCAGAAGATCTTCTCATAGAAGACCAGAAGATATTCTCATAGAAGACCAGAAGGTCTTCTCATAGTAGACCAGAAGATCTTCATATAGAAGATCAGAAGGTCTTCTTACAGAAGACCAAAAGGTCTTCTCACAGAAGACCAGAAAGCCTTCTCACAGAAGACCAGAAAGTCTTCTCACAGAAGACCAGAAGGTCTTCTCACAGAAAACCAGAAGGTCTTCTCACAGAAGAACGGAAGGTCCTCTCATAAAAGACCAGAAGGTCTTCTCATAGAAGACCAGAAGGTCTTCTCATAGAAGACCAGAAGGTCTTCTCATAGAAGACCAGAAGGTCTTCTCATAGAAGACCAGAAGGTCTTCTCATAGAAGACCAGAAGGTCTTCTCATAGAAGACCAAAAGATCTTCTCATAGAAGACCAAAAGATCTTCTCATAGAAGATCAGAAGGTCTTCTCATAGTAAATCAGAAGATCTTCTCATGATAAACCAAAAGGTCTTCTCGTTTGAAACCCTACATCTCGAAAAGGATTTATTTTCCTATGGGTGTAAATTTAATTTGTTCAATTTTTTTTTTTTTTTTGCGAAGTTAATGTTTTCTTAGCAATATTTTTGGAGTGCATATAGCATACAAACAACTGATAGCAAGTCATTACTCACCTGCAAACCATGAACTCCGGCATCATACTTATTATCACCATCTAATGTTTCAGGTGTTATATAATCTTGAAATGATTCATAAATATCGGCTTTGTCTTTGATATTCAACTGGATGTCATAGAATGTCTCATAGCGGGTGCTATTATAGTCGACATTTTTACACTTGATATACGATGACATTTTACCCTCGAACAAACCGGGAATGGTGCCCTCCAAATTGGTGCCTTTCATTTTTGACTCCAGCTTATCCAACAGTACACGTAGAAATTCTTGAACATCGTGTTGCATAAATGAATCTAGCGTTTCCCAACCAAAGGACTTGGTAAGTTTCTTGGTTCCTACCGGTTTGTCGCTAAATTGCAGCTCGTGGAATACCCGTTGCAATGAAAGACCCACCGATTTAGTACTGTCGTCTGCTTCTGTGGGAATCTTATAAACTGCTCGACGTAACTGATTGGTGAAATAGAGAGTCTGCAGAAGAGAGTTCATGTAACAGGTGGCACCTTGATTTTTGAGGCCAACACAACCAGTGTGTTTCTTCGAATCCCAGAAGACCCCGTGTGGCGCATCAGCATGAACAAATACTTCTAAAGTAATGGCGCCATTATTAATGTAACAGTTTTCGGGATCCTGGAGCTCCGGCCATGTAATAAAGTTTGAGTAGCCGTAGTCGTTTTCCTTAGCAAAGAACAAATGCTTTATACGCATGCGTGTAAAAGGCTTTGCACCGGGCTTGTGGCTCTTTAGTCTCAATTCTGCTATGGCATTACACGACCACGAAGATGATTCATTTTCACCATTACACTGGAGGAAGAAACCTAATGTACGTTCATTAGGTATTACCATTATTTTCCAAGGCAACATGCGCACGTACACTGGAGGCGACAGAATTTGTGTCTTTTGTTGGGTTATGTCTTTCACCACGAATGAGAAGGTGGCCTCGGAACGGAAGTCATCCTCCTTCGGACCATCTTCAACAGCTGTCATTTCCTGCTCATTGGCATAGGGCGAGACGGAATCAGCTAATAATTGTTGCGGAGGAACGTTGCCATTTTCATTTGGCAGCTGTCCGGCTGATGGTGGCAAGTGCAGTTTATTAAGGTGCTGTTGATGCAATTCAGCACCGGGTAAAGATTCAATTTCTTGTATATCCATTGCTTCCATTGACTGATCAGGCTCTATGTCCATTTTCAATTTAGATCCTGTCTTACGTTTTGATTTGTTGCCTCGTTTCGATAGCGGCAGACAGATTTCAAGAGAGCTGCCGTTCTAGTCACAATTTGTGTGTTTCTATGTTTGTTGGAGACGCAAATGAGAGACAATAAAAAACAAAATTATGCATTGAGATCCCACTCCAAACTTTAGGTTCTAAACAAACATTACAAAATATACAAAAATTTGCATTTACTTCTAGTACCTTTTCTTTTTGGTATCGATGACGGCGCCTTTCTGTTGGACCTTCCACAATTGTTTTTTCTTTTCCTTCAGTTTTTTCTTGTATCACTCAATGCGACTGAATAAGTGAATCTTCGTTCCCTTCTTCACCACCACCTCGTTGTTTTGATTGCAATTCTTTTGTTGTTTTCTGATGACGGCCAACTTTGGAAAAAGATGTGATGTTGGTGTTGATAGTCGAGTCGTTCGTTCGTGATGGCAACAGCGACAAAAGAGAGAACACAGGAGATGATACACGCACGCAACGCATCCACCAAACACCAATGTGAATAACCAAAAAATAAAAAACAAATCCAAATATTGATAAAGAAATTATCCCTTTTTTTAAACGGCGTTTAAATTTCAATAACAAATAGAATTTGGTCCAAGTCCTACAATCTACACCATTATGATGTACGAAAATGAAAATGTGTTCTTGTGCGAACTTTCAGAATTTGCTCGCTAGCATAAAACTTGTATTTGCACGGATGGCAAGCGCCAATAGCAATTTTTTGCGGGATTTATATCACATAAAGCGTTAATCGACATACTTATGTCGTCTTATTTAGGTTTCTTAAACTCCGGCTTTTTCACTACAAGCTAGATACGCTCATTGTTCCACAATATAAATAAATTATAATTTACAAAAGTCGTACGTTTCTGTTTAGGACACACGGACACACGATTATGCTAACATTCTTACCTGTCAAAAGTTTACAATTCCCCTTTTGGTTATCTTTCTTTTGGCGTTTATATTTTCACAAGTCACGCACACACACAAAAATACCGACTTTAACCGACAAAAGCAAAAAATGCAGCAGAAGAGAGAACAACAAAACGGCTTCACTTATAAAAAAATTGCGATGATGGATTTTAAAGATGTATTCAATATGATTTATATATCTTTCACACAAATACGCAGTTATTAAAATATGTTTCAAAATATTGACTCCTCTATTCGTATTTCTGCTGCTGCGGCTGCTTATTCTTATATTATTGACAGGAACGGCAGCGACTGCCCTTTCGAAAGTGTAAAATTTTCGTTTCCAAATCAACTATAAAATGGTTTTTTTATCTCGTATTTTGACTATTTTTTCTCCAGCTTATGACATTCACAGATACTTTACATTTTTAACAATTACAATATTTATTTCTTAATTAAAATTTTCATTTTTTTCGCAATGATGTCTCTTTTCCTCTCTTTAATACAACAACGACAGTAGGGATATATAGGTCGACTTTATATAAATCGATTAATCGAGCTTTTATTGCGAATAAAGCGGAAAATCGATCAATGTATTAACTAATTTAGGTTAAGCAAGTTTACTTGCGGCAATTTTTGTAGTTTACTTTTGAACTTGACTCTCACATTTATACAGGGCAATTCGTATAAAAATAAGAACAGAACAGTTTGACAGCACGAGTTTTTTTTCATCATCTACAAAGCAAATAAAATTGCCAAATATCAATTCGGGTTATGTAATAGTGGCGTTCATTTAGTCCTTATTCAGGTATAGGCCGTTTTTATGAATTTTCTTTGTATTCCGGTTTTGTTATTTCTTACTATAGAAAAAGTAAAGGGATAAAGCTCACATTTTTCTCTAAATCAAATGCATTTTTTCAGAGATATAACAAGCTTTTTGTATATACAACTGGTAGTCATTGCATTTTTTCGCAATGGCATCTTCATTTTAGTTTAAAAGTAATGAACAAAGCGTAATTTTGTAATTAATTTTGTGAAGCAAATTTTTAATTCGATTCTTCAACATAAAATAAACCTTTTCTTATTTGAATACGTTTTGCTGTTATTGACATATCAATATAAAATATGGCAACATGAATTCAATAAACTTGACGTAAAAAGATAAAAGGAAGATGGTCTGACACTTCATACTTAAATGAATCTTGTAATAACGAAAAATTATTTATGTGTCCGACAACAACACTTTTTTATCTATCGGAAAGATGTAATAACAGACCTAGGTGTAATTGAAGACTATTAACGTCGAAAATATGCATTTATTTCGCAACCGAATACGGAATAATTTCAGGTAGACCTCCATACTTACAATTTTTTCAGTTATTCAGAGTTATTGTACAATTTTATTAATAATCTCTGCATTTTCTGTAATTTACCTTGTCAAATTTCACTGCACAGAAAACAGGCTCTATCTCTGATATTTATATGTACAACAAATTTATAAGTATATATTTTGACAATGTAATGTTGTCAAATGAATGATTTTGAAAAAAAAAAAGTGAACATATGATTGCATGACTTTACCTTCTTAATTCTACCATGAACAGATTTTCCGATTTTCCATTTATAATATCGAGGAAAATTGCAAAAATACAAGATTCTTGCATGATTAGAATAGAGCTAATATTGGAAAACTCATAAAAACGCACTTCCTCCATATCTACAATTATAATACTATTTTATTATTATATTTACATTTTATTTATAAAAATTCTTGTTTTCACTGTTGTTTAATAAAGCAATATCTGATGCTAGGAACACAATTGGAGCGAACGACGAATTTTTTCGCGGCGTATGTTCGTCGTCAAAAATAAAACACATATGTGTATATGGAAGTGCACACAATCACGGCACCGGCGAAAATTTCGTCGGTCGCCGCGAACTCAATTAGCTTTATTTCTATTTCATACGCCGGCGACCGGCGAACAAAACTGTACAAGGTGGCCATACTTGTACGAATTTTATGTGTTTTAGTAAATAAAGTTACTTTTTACTTTAAAATTTGTTATGGTCACTCTACTATCTGTTACTCGTATAAAAAAAACATAATTAATTTGTTTATTTATTTGTGTACTTGCGCCTGAGTGAAGATGGATATCAGTGAATTTATAATAGAGAAGATGGACATAAGTGAAATTATAATAGAGAACGTAAAGAATTATGTGTTCTTGTATAATTCATTGTAGTCAACAAATGAGCAAAAAGTAAACAACTTCATCAGCTGTTTTATAATTTCGTCGGTATTGTGTTCCATACGACGAATTTACGAGGCTCATTTTGTCGCCGCGTAGGGCGAAATTCGTCGTTCGCTCCAATTGTGTTCCTAGCATGAAGTTGCATACATATTTACGCTAATATTTTTGTGTGTAAACGTCTTTGGAATTATGCCGTATGAACACAGCATTAATTAATTAATGTATTGGAACTAGCTGATAGTTCGATTCACTGAACAAGAGTTTGAACTAGCCCCGTTCCAGTTTTGGAGCGACAAAACCTTTTGTCCATGCAAATCTTTTATATTTTTAAAAAATGTGGTATTATTTGCCATTATTTCTGCTATTGATAATACCCAACATTCATAATATATGGGCATCAAACCATTATGCGCTTAAAGAAGATGGCTGGATCAAAAGACGTCTTGATTCACCATTCCATTTAAGAGATCCAGAAAATCTGATCATTTTTTTGGAACAGATAAACATAAACGACCGTGCCGAGGAGGCATTCAGAAAGATGCAGCGAAAACGCATTACTTTGGATGATCATATTTTATTAATAGCACAATTGCTACAGAGTATACTTAAGCGTTCGGAATGCGCAAAGGTTTATGTGAAAATGACTGGACTAACGGATTATTTGAGGACAACCGGTGCCTCTATGAAACGCTTAGAATTCCCTGAGAAAATGGAAAAGGAAGCCGAGGGAGGTATGCCGGTGTGCAAGAATTATGCTGACTTAAATCCACAAAAAGATGAATTTGGCCATTTGGATAGCTTTAAGAATGAAGCTATAAATAAGTTGGAGATTGAGGAGGAAGAGCATCATTTAAAACGTGAATTGGGCTCCAAGGGTGCCAAAAGTGTTACAGAAATAATTTATAATGTAGCCATGAAGGGTCTTCTGAACAATCCAACGTCATGGAAGTTTCATATGTTGGGATCATACTATTGGCGTTTGGTTGGCGACGCTAAAAACGCATTAGAATGTGCAAGATTGTCAGTCTTTTTGGCACCCGAAACTCATAAGGATATACCATTACTGAGTTTGGGAACAATACTGGTTAGAGCAGAGTTATGGGATGATGCCGAAATTATTTTAAAAAGTGCCATTGAATATGGGCCGAAGCATGGCGAAAATTATATTGCTTTGGCCACACTTTTGGCAATGAAACATGATTTTAAACAGGCGAAAGAATATTTTAGTATAGCCGAAAGAATGGACCCTGCAATGTATAACAATTCCATGAGAATTCGAGAATTTATGGAGTGTATGGAGCCACTTGATGCTGACATCAGCCGACTTTTCAGTTTTGTAAAATACATGCTGAGGGAGATCAAAGATGTATCCAAGTTGAGACATGAAATTACTCAATACCAAAATAGGATCATTCAACAACAGGTTTGTTGAGAAAAAGTGACTTAAAATTCTAATTACAATCGATTCTAACGTCGTTATTATGGCTTTACAGATTCCACTGTCTTCACGCTACAACGAGAATGATCACAAATCTAAAGCGGATCTATTGAAACGCTATCAGTTCTGTAGTACACGTAAATCTAGTGAAAATCAGGAACCCGTGCTATTTTGTGACTTTTATTCCGATCTCCAAATGCAGTTGGAGAGCAAGCAATTTGATGCAGAACTCCTAGATTGGCAAGTTAATCGTTACATAGCCACTCTATTTGAGAAACTACCTTTTGAGTATAAGAAACAATTAGAAATATTATACAGTAAGGCTACGCCACAAATGGCACCAACAGACAATGCTTATTCCATGTAATGATAAGGGGTGCTTAACAGGTAATTCCTTCGAATAGGGCTTTTTTATACAAAATTAGTTTTAAGAGATTATTTCGTGATATCATTCATTTTATACTGTGTTCTTACGAATTTTATGATTCCATTAGTAATAGTTTAGTTTTAATTTTATTCATATTCTATTAGGTGTATAGTTTGTACCAAATAATAAAAAATAAGACAAATAACCAAATTATATCAATTTTTAATATTCAAACCGTCAAAATTTATGCCATCGTTTACTTCGTCTATGGCGAAATTAAATGAAAACCCAGTTCCAGATGTAAGATTTATTTTCTTAATGCTAAAGTCGTCCGTTTTCTTTGCAACATTGGTCTCGTCCTGTGGTGTTGCATTGCCATTTGTTTCGGCAGCTTCGGGCACTTTAAAATCAAATTTAAAATCTTTTCCCGAACTTAATATCGCCGCTTTCTTAACAAAGCTCGATTTTTTGACATCATTTGCCGAGGTAGATGTGAATTTTATTTGTTTGGGAGCTAAAAAGGAGTAAACATTTAGTTTAAGAAGAAGCTGTTCATATAGTTATCATTACCCAAAGACATTTTCTTTTCTTCCTCTTTCATTTTGGACCTATAATCTCCCATGGATGCTTTCATAACTTGACGTTTTTTAATTATGGGATGTCGTCCCTTTAAAATCTTTAAATTCTTTACCGTGTCTTCGGCTACTTTTTGACTAAGCTTTCCAGTGTTCAATGCAGTTTCCAATTGTTGCACACACCAGCACAATTCCAGTTCAAATTGTCTGTCAGCTTCGGCACTTCCTAAGACATCAGTTCCATTGCTACTTGTAGATGGTGTGACTATAGGCATTGGAGGCCTAATAGATTTCGGTTTTCTCATTTTATTCATGGTATTTTAATCGCACACTTATTTCACACAGTTTCCACGCCGCACCGGAGACTTTGTAGTTGGAGACTTTTGAGTTGAGTTTTTATTTACGACTCTTCTTCTTTTTCAGTGTTACTACTGGAATAATAGCAAGAGGAACATATGTTCAAAGTTGTAGCTCTGTTCCTTTAACTGTTTTATGCTTTTGAAAAGTCATTGTAGAATTATCAAAAAAAAAAAAAAATTGCAGAAAATTGCTATTGTAAGTAATAATTGTGTCCGAGTTATGTGTCGAAAAATATAATTTTGAAACGAAAACGAATAATCCTAAAAATTTAATTCTAATGCATTCAAATCCCTCCTCTCAATGTTTAGTTGTAAGCTACAAATAAACATATTGATACACTTCAAGGAATCGCTAGGAACGAAAAAACACTCCTTTACAAATTGAAATCAAAATATATTCGTACTCAAACTTAGAAAACATGAAAAGCATGACAATATATTCGAAAAAAGTTTGAGCACCATCGGCGTTGGATTTTTTTGTAAAGTATGACAACTTATTTTTATTCTTTTATCAGGGAAAATTCTCCACACTACACTAGTGTGAAATTTTATATTAAAAAAGTATACAACCATTATGTATCAAAAAAAAACCAAAACATCATATGGATTTCAACACTAATATAATAGTAGTCGAATCACCTAGGGTTTCCTGCTTTCTTTACACATTTTCCGTTCTTTATATCCCATTCAGACTATAGCATGGTAGAAGAATATAGGTCGATGCATGGTACAATGAAGAGAAGGTAGGTCAACTTTGAAAAAATTGCAAGTATAGAGGTCTACCTGTTTGGCTTGTAATGTCAGAATTACAAACAAAAAGCTGTAGATTTTGTCGATGCATTCGTTGCAATAAGCATTTTGAAAACACCCGAATTTGAATATTTTCTGAACAATTTTTTATTATTGAAAAGAAGACACACACATAAGCAAATGAAGTTGACATATTAAGCCAGAAAAATAAAAAAATTTAAATCATATGGTAGTTCTGCCCTACCTTGAATTCATTGTACCATGGGTCGATGCATCAACGCTTGGTAACATGTTAAAATTTTTAAAGTCTTTTTGTCAAAAAAAAAAAAAATAGATTTTTATATGTTTTCTTATACGACGCAAATCCGAGGATGTAATGATATGTATTTTCATCAATTTTTACAAATTTCAATAATTTTTCATTTTCATTTTCGATTTTCAATTTGAAATCCGTTTGACAGTTCATTGTCCCAGCAGCTGTGTCGATGCAACTACATGTATTCTTCTCCATAAATGCACCGTTTCTTATGCCTTCAAATTTGACAAGGTAAATTACAGGAAATGCAGAGCTGGGAATGCTAATTTTAAATGAGGTTACCTTTATTTCATTGTACCATTAATATAGCCATGGTACAATAAAAAGGTAAAGTCGAGCTACCAGCTGATTACAATTTTTTCTATGTTTTTTGAAAAATGAAAACAAAATATTTTTCAAATCCAATGATTGGAAGACACGTACACTGCGGCTCGCGCCGTGGTAGAAGAATATAGGTAGACGCGTCGACATAGCTGCTGGGACAATGAACTGTCAAACCACTTTTGGAATTGAAAATGTCGAATGAAAAATTATTTAAATTTGTAAAAATTGTTGAAAAACGCGAATTATAATAGCTTCCGAATGACGTTGTATAAGAAAACATATAAAAATCTACTTATAATTGAAAGAACATTTAAATTTTTTTGACATATCAATGCTCCCAAGCGTTGATGCATCTACCTGTATTTTTCTGCCATGGGCTCGCGCATTAAAGCTATTAGCCATGAAAATGAAAGATTGAACAGTCTGGATCATATTTTTGAAAGAGGTTCTTATGACATCCATTTTTAACTATTTTTACAAATTTGAGTAAATTCATTATCCCAGCAGCTATGCCGATGTGACTACCAGTATTCTTCTACCATGATTGACAACTAATACATGAACTATGTTGTCTTAATTTTTGTCAAAAAATAAGATTAGTAATGCCATGTTTACGTTAGAACTTTTTGTAGGGTTAACCTTCTTTGAGAGGATTTATTTGAAGTAAAAGTAATGGATATGACAATTTAAATCCAAATCCAGTGGGTTAACCCTCATATATATAAACGTACTATAACAATAGATTCTTCAGTAAAAATCAGTACTTTTCCAACCACGATGAAATTAAATTCATTTTCGTTTGAAATAAACATTTTCTAAATGTAAACGTCACAAAAGTTGCTTTAATTTCCACCATGACATAAAAGACCCGCGTTTAAAGGCAGCAGCAAAAAAAGTCATGACATTAATGCACTCAGATGTTTAATGTAATCGAAGAAGAAGAAGACTCTATAAATATTTCACTTTCGGAAAATTAATTCTACATTTTTGTTAATCTGAGCCGAATTACATACAAAATTTAAGAAATAATCAAAAGTATAAGTTTTCTCTACTATTTACGCCGAAGTGAATATGTTTCCATAAATTGTTTTTTGTCCGGAAAAGATAATACACCACAAAATACGAACCCACGCAAAAGATAGAAAAAATACTTTTTTTTCATAAACGATCAAGAAAAACTATTCGAGAACAACAAGTACCACACAAAATTAGTTGGATCAAACAGATTTACAATTTAACCAAAAAAAGTCAATCGGAAAATTATTACGGGTCTAAAGAAAAAAAAAACAGAGCTCACACACACTGACTAAAATATAAGCAGCAGCAAAAAGAAAAAACACTTACCCAACTAATACAACAGCATATAAAATAAATACATATAATAATGTCCAGGCCAAGACCTAACCTCCGTATGACCATACAAAAGGAACCAGAGCCGGAATTGTAAGTTGTATTGTAATTACATGAAGAAAACGCTAGGATAATGATATTTGATATTTTTCTCACTTATGTTAGAGTTCCCCCGCGTAATCTGGACTCGAGTACAACCATTCAGATTGGTGATCGTACTTTTGAAATTGATGCCGACAGTTTGGAGAAAATATGTGATTTAGGTCGAGGTGCCTATGGTATTGTGGAGAAAATGCGCCACGAACAGACGGGAACTGTGATGGCAGTGAAACGCATCACAGCCACCGTCAATCGCAAAGAACAGAAACGCCTCTTAATGGATTTGGATATTTCGATGCGTTCCAGTGATTGCCCATACACTGTACATTTCTATGGTGCCCTGTTTCGTGAAGGTGATGTATGGATTTGTATGGAGGTGATGGACACCAGTTTGGATAAGTTCTATCCAAAGGTTTTCAAAAACAATTTCATAATGGAAGAGAGCGTTTTAGGAAAGGTAAGGAACACAAATTGATATTGCCTACTATTCAGATAAAATTTTCTTACAAAACTGATATCATAAAACAAAAAGAGGGAAATCTACTCCTTAGTACATTGTTTCATAGACGGAACTTTAACAGGACAGCATTTGCTCGAGGTCTACATAATGTGGCGATAGTTGATCTCGGTTAAATCACTGTATACATTTCAAAATAATTAATTTCTAAGAGGTCAAAAGGGTTTGCGTTTTCTTTAATCTGATTGATTGTGGAGAGAATAACGCTCGTCAAAGGCAGTCGTGCCTTTGTGAATACTAGTGCTACGCATCGGAAGCACATGCGGACCTGCCAGAACGCTGCCCTGAAAACTGCGACAGGGTGCCTTCTCATGATACCAGTGAACCATCTACATGAGGAGGCGAAAATGCTTCCCTTACGTCAGCTTAATCATATGCTTTCGTTGCAGTAGCTGTTTGGGTGTTACCGTGAGAGTCATCCCAACCATCATATGGTGGATAAATCTCCCCCACCAAGGCGTGTTAGGAAAGACATACACGATCTAGAGGGGAACGTCCAACGCTACAAGAGAGAACTTCTAGATCAAGAAGCCTATTAGGCAGGTCTGAGTGGCATTCCTACCGATACAGTCGCTATTCGCTATTAGCGGTTATAAAATGAAGTTCAGGATGGTGTAGTCGTCTCAATTTGTAACGCCTGTCCGGTGTGTGATACAGGCCACACAATACGCTGCACCTCTTTAATTGCACAGCCAAACTTACCAAACTCACTCAATGTAGCCGAATTTCTAAACCTGGAGCTTTAACCAGATTAGCAGAACGCAAACACTTACATGTACTTCGGCTACAAAAACAACACCTGCCTGTTTTTGCCTGATCCTGCTTTATTCGTTTAACAGAACGTGTTTCTCGCTACTGTAGACTATATAAAGATGGAGAAGAAATAGAGACAATTGAATATCTACTTTGTACATGTTCCATGTCATCCAACAAGAAACATAGGCTATTCCGCAGGCGGTAGATATAAACTCCAACATTCTTCGCAGACATAGATCCCATCATCATTTACAAGTTTTCCAAAGGCATTCCCTGGAAAGGCAGACCACCCTCCTAACTATAGAATTTTTTCTACTTCTTGCTTCTATATCTCTCCTATCCCCAAATTTTTCATTTCTTCCTAAGATGAACACAATTGAATCGTGAAACTGCGAATCCTTAAACCCAACCAAATCTGAAATGTTTTTAACTCTTTTCATTGTGCATTTTTTATAGATTGCCATGTCCGTCGTGAATGCCCTTCATTATTTGCATGCTCAGCTAAAAGTTATACATCGTGATGTTAAACCATCAAATATTCTAATAAATCGCAATGGTGAAGTAAAAATGTGCGATTTTGGCATTTCAGGTAAATTTCTAAAACATTTCCGATATAAAAACATAAATTAAGCTTCTTTTTTGTTATAGGTTATTTGGTAGATTCTGTTGCAAAGACCATTGATGCCGGTTGCAAGCCTTATATGGCCCCGGAACGCATTGATCCCACTGGCAATCCGGCCCAATATGATATCCGTTCTGATGTCTGGTCATTTGGTATAAGTATGATTGAAATGGCAACGGGCAAATTTCCCTATAACACATGGAAAACGCCATTCGAACAGCTGAGACAAGTTGTCAAGGATGATCCACCACGTTTGGAATCGGGGAAATTTTCATCGGAATTCGAAGATTTCATTACGAAATGTCTGCAAAAGAACTATACGGCTCGACCCAATTACGAACAGTTGCTACAGCATCCATTCATATCGGAGCATATACAGCGTAACACTGATATTTCTAAATTTGTTGCTGATATTCTAGACTTGCCCGAGTGATGCGTTGGGATTGTGGCGGAGAGAAATATGTTCGACAACCATTTACAAAAAAGCAAAGAATTAGTTTATAAGCTGTTGCCATTTTCATTTCGTAGAAATTAACATTATATAACTAGTAAACACACAACAAAACACAGACAGAGACAGACATCAATCCCATAAGGCTTCCACGAAAATATGTATTTTGAAGAGAGAGAGAGAGAGAGAGAGTGAAAGCGAAACGTATAATACAAGTGATTTTTAAAGAAACTAATTCACAAATCTATCGGTTATAGACCAAGATAATAATTTACTGGAACAAGATTGTAGTTTTGTTATATACCAGGAAACTAAGATATCCTACTTAAGTCTATTGAAATATGTATTTCAAATCTGTACTCCAGTTTAACCATCAGTTCGGAGAATCTAGTGTTTTTTTAATATCCCTTAATAATAGCCAAAATAGTTACAGTTCTCTCGTGTTGAAACGAACTGAATTCGAAAAAAAAAACAATGATAATCAAAATTTATTTTATTCGCTTTCTTTTTAGTACTTGTAATGTAGGATCGATTCAATGCAACCAAGAAAAAAAAAACGACGCATTAAGTCCATTGAACTGTAAAACAAAAACTAGATATACTTGGAGTTTTGTAAAATGCCTGCCTCCCTCCATTGAGAAATGTGTAGTCTACAAAAAAAAAAAAACAATAAAGTGTACCGACAAAATACACTGTATACTACTGCGCTACTATATTTATATATATTTTTTGATAAATTGTATTTTTTTATAAGATATAAAAGCAGCAAGTTGCAAAATTAACGCTCCCCTCCTCCTTGAAAGAAACGCAAGCAACTATATACACACATTAAATATCCAGCAGTTGTAAGTCAATTAATTATGTGTTAAAAGAGAATGTATTTGTACAAAAAAAGTAGAAGAAGAAGAAAAAAAAAAACAATAACAAAGTAGAAGTCCTGCAGTATGTATAACAAGCAAAGAAAAATCCAATTGTAAGCATACAAATAACCTATGAAGAAATTATGAACTGTTGACAAGTGCTTTAACGTTCTAAACAAAAATTAAAATAAAAAAAGTAATTATTCAAAAGTAGTTTGTAAATAAACATTCAAGCTAGTCATTTCGTCATCTCGTTCCTGATCATTATATATGCTGTTATGTGGGTAGAAGATTATTTACTGAAGACCTCTTCAAAATTCGTGGATCTCTGTTGTTCTGGGTGCCAATGATACAACTTTGTATCAGTTAATATTACAAATAATAAGGATCAAATCAAATTATGGAAGAATTTCCCGACTGTCATATATTTATGAAAATTGATTATCAAAAAAGTTTTTGCAAATCTGAATCCAAAAGTTGAAACATTTTCTGGAAAATCTTTTATTGGCCAGAAGAGTTTGTTTAATCACCTTTTTCACAGAAATACCAAATTAGTGTCCACGTGGACAATCACATGTCATCCAGACAAGAGGAATAAGGGTGATTGACTAGAACTTAAGCAAGAGTTCGTTTATCCCTTTTCTTCATAACATAACAAGTAAAAAAAAGCTAAGTACGGCCAGGCCGAACTTTTAATACCCTCCACCATTTGGAAGGAACTTGAAATGTTTAAAAAAAAAATCCGAAACTACCACTTAAAAAAACCGTTGTATGGGGACCAGGTTTACGTCTACGAAATCTTTTATCATAGGCTGTAGTACACATTACGAACTTTAAATACGAAATTTGTTACAATTCCGGTGAATAATGTTGCAAAAATCATGAAATATCGGAAGGTACCGTCATATGGGGGCTATATGAAGACGTGGACTTGCATAAGATATTTTTTGCAATAGGTTGCAGTTCTCATTACGAAATTTAAATCAATTCCGGTAAAAATGTCGCTAAAAACATGAAAATACCGAATATGGGGCTATACGAAGCCGTGGACCTGCATACAAAAACTTTTTGACATAGGCTGTATCTTCCAATACAAAATTTGAAACAATTCCGGTGCATAATGTAGCTAAAGTCATAAAAATACCGACAATCGAAGGTATCGTATTTGGGCTATACGAAGACGTGGACCTGCATAGACAATTTTCCGTCAGAGGTTGAAATTTGAATAATATCGCGAAAATCCTGCAAATACCTAATATATGGGGGGGGGGTGTTAGCGTGTGGTAAAAATCATCAAATTACCCAATATCGGGGGACACCATTGTATGGGGGCTATACGATATTGTGGACTTATATAAACTTTCAGGGGGTAAAGTACTCACAGAGAACTCCTTGTGTAGAATTTCAGACGATTCCATTAAAAAATGTGGATAAAATCATCATCATACCGAATTATTTTATTTTGTTTTATTTCCATAGAATATAGAAAAACTAATTAAATACAATGACAAAATTTATATTTGTTAAAAAAAACCTTGTCCCACCACTATTTGCTCGCCAAACAGAGAGAAAGTTCAACTGTCAAAGCTTATTTCTTCTGTTTTTTCTTTTCAGCCTCTTCTTCCTTTTCTTTTTCGATAACAGTAACATATTCTTCAATAGTTTTAGCATCGAGCATTTTAAGTGGTTTATCTCTTTCCATAACTGCAATTTCCAAATTCTTTTGACCAGACTGTGCCACTTCTAACAAGGCTTTAATGGCCAATTTAACAGCACCATTTTCTGTGGCTACCTCCTCATCTTTGTATTGTTTCTCCAAGAATTCACGTACTGTTTTTGCCGAACGTCCGGTGGCATTGGCCTTCCATTCATAATAGATGCCAGAGGGTTCAGTTTGATATAAATGCGGCGTACCATCATAATCAAAGCCACCGATGAGACAGGATATACCAAATGGACGGCGACCATTACTTTGTGTATATTTTTGTTTCAATTGGGCGATATATCTGCAAGTAACAATAACATTCCTGTATTATATTTTTCCCAGTTTAACGCTTTCTCACTTACCTTGTAATGTATTCCAATGTAACTGGATCTTCCACGTTCAGTTTATGGCTCTGGCATTCCACTTGGGCACGATTGATGAGAATACGAGCATCGGCAGTGAGACCAGCAAAAGCCATTACAACATGATGATCGAGCAAGCAAATCTTTCGCACTGTGCGTTCTTCTTGTAGCTTTGCCACAGACTTCTTTTCCACACCGAGGACAACGCAGTTGGCGCCACGAACACCAACCTTTGGTTTCGAAGATTAAGCACAAACAAAACTCCATTGATTCTCTATTTTTAAAACAAGGTTAAGTTTGCCTACTTACCGCTGTGGATCCTTTGCGTACTGCTTCCTGTGCATACTCAACCTGTAACAGATGACCGTCAGGTGAGAAAATGGTAACGGCGCGATCGTAACGTGACATTATTTATTAAAATATTTTCAATTTATTTAGTAGTTTCACAGGAAAGAAACAAGATATTCCACAGCCGCTAAATAAAATCCGACGATGATTATTGCAAAAATTGTTTGTCAGCTTCTGGGTTGATTAAATTTGTATTGAAATTTGTACAAGTTAGTGTTGTATTTTTATGCAGTAGCTTTCACAATACAATGTTTACATGAAGGGGAAATATTATTTAATCGATGTCGCAGGAAAAATAGAGAAGTAGATAGGCCGGTTCATGGTAGAAGAATTCCATTCTTGTTTCGCGGGTTTTCCTCAATATAAGAATTTTGTTAAATTCAATAACAAAAAAAATGTTCAGAAAATATTCAAATTCGGGTGTTTTCAAAATGTTTATTTCAACGTATACATCGACAAAATCTAGAGTTTTTGTAGCGAAATATTCCTTCAGAGATATATAGTACATGATTTTGAAAAGAAGTGTTGACCTTTCATTCAGTTATCGCGTTTTTTCAATTTTTTATTCAAAATAAATGCAACAAGTTGTTTGAATTTTTATTGTTTTGATACTAATTCTGACAGTACAAGCCTAACAGGTACCATGGGTACAATGAAGAGAAGGTAGGTCAACTTTGAAAAAATTGCAAGTATAGATTTCTACCTGTTTGGCTTGTAATGTCAGAATTACTATCAAAACAATAAAAAAGCAAACAACTTGTTGCATTGATTTTGAATAAATAATTGAAAACCGCGAAAACTGAATGGATGGTCAAATTTTCTTTTCAATATCATGTTCTATATATCTCTTATGGTTTATTTCGCGACAAAAACTGTAGATTTTGTCGATGCATTTGTTGCAATAAGCATTTTGAAAACACCCGAATTTGTATATTTTCTGAACAATTTTTTATTATTGCAAAGAAGACACACACATAAGCAAATGAAGTTGACATATTAAGCCAAGAAAATAAAAAAATTTAAATCATATGGTATCATAGCCCTACCTTGATATCATTGTACCATGGTCTGACCCATGGAGACAAGGTAAGCTAACATTGAAAAAAAATGCAAGTATAGATATCTACCTGTTTGGCTTGTAATGTCAGAATTAGTATCAAAACAATAAAAAATCAAACAACTTGTTGCATGTATTTTGAATAAATAATTAAAAACCGCGAAAACTGAATGAAAGGTCAACACTTCTTTTTAAAACCAGGTTCTATATATCTCTAAAGGATTATTTCGCTACAAAATCTCTAGATTTTGTCGATGCATACGATGAAATAAACATTTTGAAAACATCCGAATTTGAATGTTTTCTGAACAATTTTTTTTGTTATTGAAAAGAAAACACATACATAAACAAATAAAGATGACATATTAAGCCAAGAAAATAAAAAAATTTAAATCATATGGTATCATAGCCCTACCTTGATATCATTGTACCATGGGTCAGACCATGGTACAATGGAGACAAGGTAAGCTAACATTGAAAAAAATGCAAGTATAGATATCTACCTGTTTGGCTTGTAATGTCAGAATTACTTTCAAAACAATAATAAAAACTAAACAATTGAATAAATAATTTAAAATAATTCTATATATCTTTGAAGGCTTATTTCGCTACAGAAACTGTAGATTTTGTAGATGCATACGTTGCAATAAGCATTTTTAAAAACACCAGAATTCTAGTATTTTCTGAACAATTATTTTTATTATTGAAAATATAAATACACACAAACAAATAAAGTTGAAATATTCAGCCAAGGAAATAAAAAAATAAAATCATTTGGTATCATAATCCTGCCTTGATTTTATTTTAGCATGCAAGTTCCCGTCTCTGATTTGTGTGTATATGATTTATGATTACATATTTTGAAAGTTTTTCAAATGTATTTGCATTGAACGCTTTGAAAGTTATATAAAATGTTTTTTTTTTTCAATAACTTTAATAGTTTTACAAATTTTAATTACAAATTTCAAATTTCAACTATTTTTGACAGTTCACTGTATCGCCAGCTGTGTTGCTGCGTCTACCTGAATTATTGCACCATGCTACCAATTGGACAACATTTGACAGTAACGTTCACAATCAAGTTGTTGTTGTTTTAGTTGTTTTTATTGCGTTCGTTTGGCTTGATGTCTTTCTGTCTCTGCTGAAATTGTCGAATTAATTTTGACAAAGACAACGAACGGGAAAATAAGAATTGATTAATTTTGTTTTGTTTATAATTTTCGCTGTCGTCCGTATGTACGCGTGAAAATATTTTAAAATTTCTTAATTTATTTTTGTGCAAAAGTCCAAGAAAATATAAGCAACAGTTTGTGTCCGTCGAAAATAGAAAGAAAAAATATTTTGTGCATTTGAAATGCGGTATCAAACATTGGGAAAAAAGTGAATTGTAAAGTGTTTTGTGTCTGTTTGTCACAGTTTGTGTAGAAAACACGTCAATAGCTCTCCTATGATTTCAAAAATACCCCAAAAATTTAGAAAAAGAAAGGAGTAAAATACACAACAGTGCGTCCAACAGTGGCTAAGAAAAAGTACAACCGACCGACAAGCTAATATACATAATAATACGTCCATTTCACATCAGTGTACTTATATGCATACATATGTACATGCACATACATCTGTATATATTTAGGTGTAAAAATAATACAATTGAATTGAGTAGTGAATAAAAAAATAGAGAAAAATCCAATTGCAACTAGCAGCGGGCTCAACCAACTACCAAGCATAAAACACAATTGGAATCGACAAATGTGAAAAATTCTTGAGCTAATTTGGTTCGAAGATCTAAATGTGGCATTACACGACAACGGTAGAGGCATTCGATGGCTAAAAGTGGAAAGTCTCTAAAGTGAGCACAAGTAACAAAAGAGTTGTAAGAAGAAGAAGAATTTAACAAAAAAAAAATCCTCATTTCCAATCAATACGACCAAAAAGTGGAAAAAAAAGTTAGTGAATTGTCAGTCAGTGAGTGTGTTAATGACTAAGTGCCGTGGAAAGAGTGAGCGAATACCGAACCGACCGTATAGTCGATAGTCAGTGGTGGTAAAAAGAAAACGTCAAAAGCAAAAACAAAATCTACGTTACTTTTGTTTTGTCGTTATTGTATTTGTATGCAAAGACAAGGCAAGAGGAAGAAGAGAAAAAAAAACATAAAGAATCAACGACATCATCAACAACAACAACATTAACTGCTAATCATATATTCAACCTACCAACTGATCAGAAAGAAGCCCTTTTGGAAACCAAAGTCAATCAAAACAAACAAATAAAAAAACAAAAACAAATCTCTATTGTAAACTCCCCTTATAAGAAAGTGGCTAATAAGTGATGGCATTAGCGCGTAAATTAACCGAAAGAATATGTAAGTAGTAATGTCATTTCTTTGTTTTTTTTTTTTCATTTCCAATGAGTGGGGAGGTGATTGACATGCATATGTTATGTTCTCTTGCCAGCATCTTATGAGTGTTTATGTTCTCCAAAATATATTTTTAATAGCTGTCAAATGCATCGGCACTCCAAAAAGAGCATTAGAATAAGAAAACATGAGAAAAACAAAGCAAGGTTATGCGAAAATATTATTAGATTTTTTGCTTTTTGTTTTTTATTACTTTTTGCTTTTCTATTTCTACGTTTATTTGTTTCCTCGACGCATTCAGTTTGTTCTTTCTACATTACCCCATGTATCGTTTTAATGGTGTCATTTTATGTGGCCGGCAGGCAGGCAGGCAGGCCCCACCTCTCCCTGCCGGCATTTGTTTTGTGTTTGTTAGTCTCTCCGTTCAGTGCCACAAGCGGTGTATTTTGCTTTAACGGTAAATAAAATTCGGATATTGTAGAAATTGAGAGACCGGCCGCTTTTTCTTTTTCTGTTTTTGGACGTTTTTTCCTTTGCATTTTTTGTCTTCCTTTCCTTTTTTGGCCATAAATTGGAGAGTAGCGCGCAAACAAAGGGATGAAGTTTTCCTTTCGAAGGGTATTCTTAAAACGAGTGACAGAATTTTCGATGTACTTTTGTTGGGAGTTCAGAATTTTAGCTACTATTTGGAAAGGCTGAAAGTTGAGCAAAGATTGCAAAAAAACTCCTGATTTACAATAGAAAATTATAGATGTTGTAATTGTCAGTTTATGGGTGAGAGAGCTGAGAAAAATGCCTTCATATTTTAACAACGTCTCCCGCCAACAAACTGACAATTGCAGCACTTACAATTACTCAAAGAGGGAGAAGAAGTCGTAGAGATAATTGAAATAAGGTTTTTGGTTACATTTATTTCATTTTGTTCAATATCTCTAAAAAATGTAAAAATTAGCACAAAAAAGTTGTTTTTCTCACAAAAAGTGTTATTTTTGTATTCAATGGCAACTATGTTTTTTAAATGAGTAATAAGATGCTTATTTCATAATAAAGTGGGAGCTATTACTATGGGTTTCCGAGCTCCAGATGCGACAATTTTTTAACCACAAGGGTTCTTTTTTTGGCAATATATGGTGTAACAATTTTTGTGGGCTACATGATAGTCCCTGTTGCTCTTGTCCCAACAGAAGCGCCCATGCCATGGAAATTGGTTGGAGAATGCAGTTCAAGTCTTCAAATTATCCTTAAGTGGACTGGAGCTATACCCTAACGTGTTCCTACACAGACAATTTTCTGCCACAGAGGTTTTAATCTTTTGCCAGTTTCTGGTGCCAAATTTGACATGTTTCTGTTAAGAATGTGGCTACAATCAGAGGCTATAGTAACGCGTTTGCTTATACAGATAGATCGGACAGAAAATTTGGCTCTAATTGTTGAAGTGAAGCATAGTGGCAACAGGACGGCGCTACGTGCCACACAGGCGAAGCAACACTCGAGGTTTTGCGCCCTGTTTTTGAAAACCGAATTATCAGGAACTAAATATATATCCGTATGCCACTTCGGAGCTGTGATTTGACACAGTTGGAATATTAGTTGTGGGGTGCCGTTGAAGATAGGTGTTACGCCGACTAGGCAGAGACAATTGACGCTTTAAAGGCCAATATTCGAAAAGCCATTGGTAAAATACAGCAGCATATTGTATTCGATAACGTGCTTAAAAATTGGGCCGAATTGGTGAAGGGTACTGCTTGGCCAGCCTAGGCGGCCATTTGAATGAAAATATTTTCTATTATAAACCGGAGTATATTCTGCAGTTTTTAATAGCATTTTCAAAAGTTATTTGGCGACCCTCTATAATTCAACACTTTTATTTTAATACCCTATACTTTGTTTGTAACAGGCAAAAGGAAACGAGATATACCCATAGTTCCTTTTAATGATCTGCATAGAATCACATTCTCAGTCGTTTTATGCATGATTTTTTAAACAAAGTACAGGTCGCATTTATTGACCGATCCAGATGAAATTTTGCACAAATCATTAGTTTGACCCAAGGATGAACCCTATTGAAATGACAAGTAATCGGTCAAAATTTAGATAAAGCGCCCATATATATCTTCGTCCGATTTGCTTTTTATTGTGCACCAAACGTGTAATATCAGCCCGAATAGTATGGAATTTTGCACATACAACCAAATTAGGCCTTAAAATAATGTCATCGAAATCGGTTTAGATAGATAGCTGTAGCTCCCATGTATACAGGGTGAAATTATAAAAAAAAACTTCAACAAAGTCAAACGCCATAATTTTCCTTTTTTTAAATTTTATTGAATCAAAGCAAAAATGTCGGAAATAGCATCCTATTTTAGAATATGTTTAGATTTGTTAACCTTTGACACGAATTATGGCCTTCAAACGGCCAATGAAACCGTCACACGCTGCCCGAATGTTGCTTTGCGGTATTTTGGCCCATTCCCGGCGAAGCGCTTCCTTAAGGTGATCAACACTTTGGTATTTTTAGTGCCAAACTTGCTTTCCAAAATACTCCAGACACAATAGTTCAACGGATTGGTATCCGGAGATTTTCGTGGCCATTGTGCGCTGGAAATGAAGCGAGGAACCTCATTTTGTAACCATTCTTGGGTGGCGCGTGCTGAGTGCGATGGTACTGAGTCCTGTGCACAACGGATGGTGCACATTTTCAGCTGACCTCTTTGACAAGTAAACACGATCATTTTGTTTGTTTACAAACTGCTGGACGACGAATTGTTTCTCATCGGGGAAAACCAAATTCGGCAGTTCAACACTTTCGGCCAAGCGAAGCAATTCTTTAGGTCTTTTGAGTCTATTTTCTTTCTGTTGTGATGTAAGTTCATGCACTTTTTGAAATTTCAATGGCTTTACCCCGAGCTCATTTTTCAATATTTGCCGAATTAAATATTGCGATATGTTCAGCTCAAGAGCCATTTTTCGGCCACGGCGACGCGTTTCTCGATCAAGTCGCTTCTTTACTTTTCGAACCATTTCTGCTGATGTTTCTGTTTCCTTCCGTCCACTTCCTTGACGTCGGTCTACGCTACCAGTATCACGGTAACGAGCGATGGTACGAGACACAAAAGATTTATTCACATTTAAATGCTGGAGTACTCTAACGATAGCCACTTGTGGTTTTCCAGCCAAATATAAAGAAATTACAATATCACGCTTGAATTCGATCACGAATAACTTTTTTTGTGGAAAATTTTCACCAAAATGCTTTTGTTCGCTTTTAAACAATACAACGAGCTGTCACTGGAATAATTTTAACAGCTGTCGGATGAGTGGCCTGGAAATGACAGCAGTCTGAAGTTGGTTGTAGTTTTTTCATCTCACCCTGTATATGAATAGGGTTACATCAACAAATATATCATAATCCCCAAAAATCCTTATGGCCTTTAATACATAGATTATGTTCGAAGATGGACCATATTTGTTCCTCTCCCTAAATGGTAAAATTAAAAAAAATATACATTTCAAACAAATTGTATCGTTTCACGGTGTCTTGGTCTCTGTTCGCAGACTTTCAAAAGCTTTGGGTAGATGCTTTCCAAATTGTTAAACTTAAAGATAGATGCGGATCCCATTGAATCTTTTTCGGCATTTAAATCGAGTGATGGTATATTGTGTGCCCTGTCGTAATTTAAAAATACCGAAATTTGAACTAGACAAAATCGTACAAAAAATCTGTTTGCAAATTGCCATAATTATTATTTTTCAAAGAATATAAGTTTTTAATAGCTTACCATTATGCAGCATTTGTTACCTTTCTCCATTTAAATGCTTCAAATTTTTTATGGCCGGCATATTTTACATCATTCAGATTTTATTACTTACTTCACCATACCATAGTGGGGGAGCTATTGTTTACCTTATTAGCTCAATGCATGGCTCAAGGTAAACTAATGTGAATTCATTGCTAAACACTACCTTGGCCTTTTATTTCATATTCACAATTTTATTATTTTCAATAATAAAAAAATATTTTATTTATTTTAATTATTATCATTTCTAATTACAGATGAGATAAAAGCACACAATGGCAACGTTACTTGTTTGGATGTTGGTGAAACAGGTCGTGTTTTAGTTACCGGTGGCCAAGATCGTAATGTAAACCTGTGGGCAATCGGACAGACAGAATGTTTTATGGTAAGTTGTAATTGCCAAAATGTTTCCGATTTTATATCAACACTCAAATCTAACCCAATTTCCGTATTTCTTCCAATTTGCAGTCACTAACGGGTCACAATCGTCCCTTAGATTGTGTCCGCTTTGCCTACAACGATGATTTTGTCTATTCAGCCGATGATATTGGCATTATACGACGATGGGATTTGAATGCACAAACAATATGCTCCACATTGAATGGTCATATGAAAAGTGTGCGAACATTGGATTTCAATCCATCCGGTGAATATGTTGTATCCGGCAGTAATGACACAACAGTAAGGTAAGTGCGTTTTTTCCCCCATTGTGTGTTTGTGGGTTTCAAGGTTGAATTATTGGAGTACATAATTGTTAGTTGAGCAAGAAAATGGGAAGAAGAAGAGGAAGAAATTTGAGGTTCAAAGTATTTTTCAATCAAACGGCGTACAGTGTTTTTAAATTGCTTTTGGGGTAAAAATTCTGCAGCTTCTGAGTGGATAAACAATTTCTGTATTTTCTGCACAATCTGAACTACCCTGGACGGGGGTTGTTGTTGTAGCAGTAGTACATGCAGATGTTTGGATTCTGCCAATCTGGTTCGAGCTCTATGTTTAAAAATTCGGCTACCTTAATGGGCTGTAACTGGAGTGAGTTGGGTAAGTTTGGCGGTGGAATTAAAGATAATTACGTCACGCACATCTTCGTCAATTCGTGCCCAATACGAATTGAGACGTCTCCGCCATCCTGAACAAAATTGCACAAAACTATCCTGGTTTGGCTAGGCAGCTGGCGTTTTTCAGTTGAAAAGAATGGGGGTGGACTCCGAGGACGGCATTCATCCTGTAATTGCTGATGGCATCGCCGACTGCATCAGTATTATTGCCACTCAGACCTGAATCATAGGTTTCTTCATCTAGAGGCTCTCTCTTGTAGTCTTGGACCTCTCTCTCTAGATCGTGTATGTCCTTCCTGATACGTCTGAGTGGGGGAGATTTATCCACCATATGATGGTTGGGATGACACTCACGGTAACACCAAGAAGGTACTGCAACGAAAGCATATGATTATGCTGTAGATAGGTCACTGGTGTCGTGAGAAGGCAATCCATCAGAATTCTGGCGGGTTTCGATGAACACACTAGGGCCGCACTTCTCACCACAGGCCGACCTATCGCTTTATAAAAGGTCAACGAGGTCTCCTTGCTCCTGCGAGATAGTTGTACATCCTTACACGCATGCCATCAACACCGGGGACCGACACCATGATCGAAAAATTATCGCCCTACTTAACGAACTCTATGCCGTCTGGAGGTCGATGAATTTCAGAAAGGTAGAGTTTAAACAGTTCAGGAGATACCACTCCACACTGGGTCACTCTCTGTTTCATTTTACGGGGATTGGACTTCTGATTCTGGAATACCACGTTCGATGTGATTGTCAAACGCTTCAAACTTGGCCGGAAGGTTGTTGCTGTAGCAGCTTATACTCCTGTGTTTATTCTGACTCCTCTCAATCGGGTTCTGCTTCTAAGTCCAGTTTCAAAAAGATTGCAACCTGTACGGGTTGGGTCCATAAAGACACCACAAAGACACCTTCACTTCTGGTGCGAACCCTACTCAATACGTTGTAACCATAACAACATTGTAGGCAGCAATCTTCATTGAGCTTGGTTTTCGCCACCACTGCGATCAAAATGTTCCTCCGATTCATAAATTCCATTATCTCATCTATTTTGCCTTGGAGTGCCGTACTCCGACAAAGAATACGTTGCTGCAGTACGTCGCAAAATAATCCCTTTTCGCTGTGGTGTCACAACCTACTTTATCTCCGCATCCACTACATCGCAACGAAACATTGTTTCGGATCAATCCGGTATCCTAGAACCGGCTGTCGTGGGATCGACAATTGAATTTCTAAACTTTTTTCCGGTAGTTGATCGGAATAGCATAAATTTGTGCATAATTAAGTTTTATGAATGATATTCTCAGTGGCCCAGAGGTTCAATATTTTCTTTTTGGGTAACAATTTTTTTTTATTTTTGGAGAAATTTTCCTATAAAATGTCAATGGCCGGAATAAACAATGATGTATATTCCTAATCCAATGGGGGAATTTAATATTCGATCACACCCCTGGGAATTTGTTGGACATTTTCCCAAAAAAAATTCCCAAGAGATAAGAAAATGGTAATGTCTTAAATTTGAATTAAGTTTTATGAATGACATTCCCAGTGGCCCAGAGGTTTGATAGCTTATTGGAAGCAAGAAAATACTCGTTTCTTTTTTACCATTTTCCTGTAAATGTCAATGACCGAAATAAAAAAATGATGTACATTTCCAATTCCAAACGAGGAAAATTAATATTCAATCACATCCCTGGGAATTTGTTGGACATTTCTCCAAAAAATTTTCCTCGAATTTGTCATCTACATGTCTATTTGATTTGTTTATCTTGTATTTCATTTGTATTATTGTTAATTTCCTGTCATTTGAATTGAATTTGTAATTATGGCTGTTAGAACGTTTTACAATTATCGAGGAAATTGAAAATTTGTTTCCAAGTTATTCGATTCTAAATGTGTTTACTGAAGCGTAACAAAAACCAAACACTTGTTGCGGTTTTTGGTAGAATAACTACGCTAACCTTGTCCTCCGTTGGAGTATGTGTGTGTACGTAGGTTGCATGGTTGTGAATGGTTAAATAGATAATTCAAATAAATAAAAAACACACTTACATATATACATATTTGTATTATATCTAATTTTCACCTACTCTTGAATGATTTTCAATTTCTAGATTAACATATGAATAGAATTTGGAATAAGATGTGGAGGCAAGGGAGAAAATCAACCACCAAGCTCTTTATTGGAATTATGTAAAATTGTATAATAAAAGAAGACGCACACACACACTCACATGCATGATGGTGATATTCAATGAAATAATTTCTACACATTGTTTATTTTTTTTTTTGGTTTGTTTCTTTATCATCTTTGGATGAGCCATCAGAAGTTTGTTGCCATCGCTCCAATCAAAAATGAATTTGTGAAACAACAACAACCGAAAACTTTTGTTTGTTTATTCAACGAAAATGATTTGCTTGGCCATACATGACGTGTGTTTTGAATCTTTCATTAATTAATTTTTTTCTTCTCAATATTTCAAATTGTATTTCCAAGACAGGCAGACAGAGTCCAATAAAAAGTTTTTTTTTTTTCTTTTTTTGTATGGCCCACAAACAATTGCCATTGTATCTCCTCTCCAATCATTATCATCTAACTCTGGGCTATTATATGTCATAATGCCACCATGCCACCATTATTAAATCTCTTTTCCCCATTCCCGTTATAAATTATCGTTTAAATCATCGCATTGAGACATTTTTCCATGTGAAAACATTTCAATTTATTTGACATGAGGTCAAATCTATGATCTGGCCAATTGAAAGATAGATGGATACATTTATTCTCAATAGACATCATATTCTGGCCATGCAACGCAATTATCACACAATGTGTTTTTATGGGGGTGGTTGTTTTTATATCCCCATTGACATTTATTGCTTTCATATTGTACGATTATTACTTGGAATATGTAAATTTGTATTAAAATGGAAATAATTCACCTGGGTGAAGTGTCAATTAGGGGGGAAATGTATAAAAATGGAAAATTGGAGAATATGTGTTATATAAGGTAGGATATTTTCCATATATAAGGTAGGGTATATAAAATTGTATTATTTGGAAATAATTTACCTGCGTCAAGTGTCAATTATTGGGAAAAAAATATTGGGAAGAGCGTTTTTAACTTGGGCGACAACTTAAAAATTTTCCATACTTTCTGGAAAAATCGACCAGGTTAGGAAAGTAGAACTGGGATACCAAGGACGGCATTTATATTGTAATTATTGATGGCGTCTGGGACTGCATCAGTATGAACTAGAGGCTCTCTCTTATAGCGTTCCTGACATGCCTGAGTGTGGAAGTTTTATCCACCATATGATAGTTTGGATGACTCCCAGGATAACACCCAAGCAGGTTCTGCAACGAAAGTATATGCTTATATATATAGTATATATATAGTATATATATAGTATATAACTCCGAGGACGTAATTGTTGATGCCGCCCGTGACTGCATCAGTGTGAATGCCAGATTCCGTCTGGGTCCAACGCTTTGGATTACTTAGCGTTTCGGAGGACATTTGAGAAGAGGTCTTCGCTTCGCCCTGTCGCTTAAAGTATCTAGCGCACGTCTACGGATCAATCACCGTTACGTCAGTAAAAGTGGCTGAGGTCCTATTATCCTTTTTTCCCGGGTTCGATTTAACCGTAACCCCAGCTTACATCGGTTCCAATGTTGCAACCCTTCAGATTCGCTAGTCACTTTTTCCTCTTATGCTCCTGTACAAAAGGGTGACTTCCACTGCCAATTCCCTGATTCTGGGATTAGTATGGTTGCAATGACGAAGATCATCACGCTCATTTACTAGTCTCGCCGCCTCTGCAAAAGTTGCAACACTTCAGATTGCCTAGCCACTTTTTCCTCATATGCTCCTGTACCAACCGGCTTACTTCCACTGTCAAATCACTGATTCTGGTATCAGTCTGGGAATTTCGATCTTATTTCGGGTATTCGACCAGGTATATAGCTAGCGGCTATAGTTAAGGAAAGTGTAGCTTTCAAAGGTTATGAAATCTGACGATTTCTAAGTGGAGACGATTATCGGGAGATGGTCTGACCCATGAGAAATAAAGGGTTGTCAAGTTTATTTTTTGTGTCTTCCTGTTTAGGCTCTACTTTCATAGTCTGCTGGATTGTCCAATCAATCATTTATTTTCCATTTTAATCAAAGATAAAGATGATCCCTCCACATCAATGATAATCAATATTTTATCCAGATGCTTACGTGAAGTATATCTTTTACATTCCTGTCATCCACAGCTTATTCCATAAAAAAACACCCATTTAAACCCTTATCGATGAGTTGAATGATTCAATTACAATTGGGCCACTTAATGTGTCTTCTTCTCCTTTCCTACTTCGTCGCTTTTCATTTAAGGTTGATATTACTGGCCAGCACTTGAAAAAAATGGCAAACAACGCCAGAGAACAATAAATTACAATTTATTGCACATAATAACTCTTCTCATCTTCTTTGTTTTGGATACTTTTTTATTTTGTGTGTGTGTGTTTCCGTTATCACAGCACAATAAACTTCCTTAAATGCCAGATTTGGAAAGTTTCCGATTTTGGATGTAACTTTAATTATTTTTTGTTGTATGTGACGTAGATTCTTCGAAAACG